TACGAAGGTATGAGGCAACCATGGATACAGGCGCCCAGGGGCAAGCATCTTCTTGCGAGTAGAGGTAAAGGGCAGGGTGTTCTTGGGGAAGACGTGTCTTTGTTAAGTGATTATAGTAAAGTTTCCAAAAGCGCCCTACATGCGCCCGTAATTATGTAAAGCGCCCCGTTAGCGCCCGGTCCATGTAAAGCGCCCAAACTTTGCGCCCCCATTTTTCAGAAGCGGATTAATTATTATCTACAAAACTATCTGTTACGGCAACACAGCAAAGCGCCCTTTCTATAGCGCCCTAATTTCGCTGTGTTCCGACCAGGAATTCCATGAGACACAAAAGCGCCCCAAAATAGCGCCCGGCAAATCTAAGCATAGCAAAGCGCCATGTTTCGCGCCCATCTTTTGCAAAAGCGCCCTAACATTGCGCCCTCACAAGAAACGCGAAGATTGGTAATAAAGGGAAAGTTAAAGTGGAAGCAAAGCCGATTGGCAAGGAAACATAAATTTTTATATAATAAAAACGCAAGGAAGGTCATTACAAAATAAGAAAAAGATAACACCCAAAGACCGCTAATCTACTCGGCGCCTGAATTCGCATCCCCAGCACTAGGCGCCCTTGGAGAAGGAGAGGTGGGAGCAGATGGCTCGGGCGCCCCACTTGTCCCGCGAGGCGTCTCCATCCCACCGATCACATACTCAGCCATCTCCGAAAGATCCCAAGTAAGGTCGGGGTGGTCCTTCTGCAACTTCCCCTGCAGGATTTCAATGCCGGTCAGAATGGCATTGGCGCACATGGACTTCCCAGTCTCTGACTCCATCAAGTTGTCCAAAGATTGCCGAAGTTCGGAAATTTCTTTCCGGGCCCTCTTCAAGGATTTCTCGCTCTCCTTGTGGGCGTCCTTCAGCCTCCTCTTCTCCTCCTTGAGGATGTCAATTTCACTGGCCTGGGCGCCAGCTTCCTGCGCCAGCGCATCCTTCTCAGCCTGCAGGTCGGCCAGTTTCCTGCGCTCCTCGTCCAGGGCGCCTTGCAGACGCGACAACTCCATGGTGGCCGTCATCTGGGCGTCCTCACACTCCTTCGCAAACTGCTCGCGGCGTGCAGTTGCGTTCTCTAAATCTAACTTCAGCTGAGAAGCCGAAGAGGAAGCTTCGAGCGCCTCCCGTTTCGTCTCATTGAGGCGTCGGGCGCCTCTTTCAGCAAAAAGAAGGATCTGCAACCATTGGAAAAGGGTCAGCAAGTGGTGCAAAATAATAAGTAAGAAGGATCTGAAAATACAAGTACGAAGAGGCATACCTTAGCGCCCACTTGGGCCAATTCAGCAAAATGGTGATCACTGGTCACCTCGGACGGTACTTGCCAGGACTTGGCGGCCGCGATTGCCAAGCCCATGGCACACCCTCGGTCAACGGCGACCAAGGGGGAGCAGTTCATATTGACCCGTCCCACCTCAGTACACCGTGGCCGGAAGATGGGGGGGCGCCCATCAGGGCCAACGTAGCGCCCCTCTTCATTCAAGTGAATGCGGGCGTCCTCCACAGTCTCCGCCTCCACTTCCACCTCATCGAAGGCGTCCTCTTCGCAGGCGTCCTCCTCGCCCACCTTCTTCTTTCCTCTGGCGGCCCTCTTGCTGGCCGAGGTTAAGGGGGAGCCCGCCCTCTTCCCCTTTCGGAGCAAAGGCTCCTCTTCTTCTTCCTCTTCAGCGGAGTTAACCTCCTTCTCCGCGGGGTCAACATCAGGCGTCCCCTCGCCTTCTTCCGGGGCGGACGACGCCACGCTTGCCGTGTGCGCCTGAGCGGTGCCACCCTTCACCGCCCTCTTCTTCCCTTTCCTCTTCTTGGGGCCGGCTGGCGGCGCCTTTGATTGGGTGGCAGGTTCCTCTAGTTGAAGGGGCGCCTCTTGCTGAGCAGGCGCCTCTTGTTGGGAAGAGGCTGCCGCAGCCGCCTCCGAGGCCATAGTCGCCAGCCTACTTTTCATAAGCTTGGCAATACTCGAGTAGTCCGCCCCTGCATATGACAAAAGTAAGTTAGTACATAACCCAAACAAGGGGATAAGGAAGCAGAACACCTAGACGCCTACACACCATCGTTATAATAAGCTTCAATAATTGGAGGACGATTATCTGCGGGGCGTAAGTCAACAGGCTCCCCCTCGCAAATTAAGGAGGCGCCAGCTTTCTCAGACGCCGTCAAAACCACCGGCTTATTGAAGTCATCGACATGGCCTAACTTCCATTTCCTCATAAAGGCGCCCCCACTGGCAAAGAAGGAGTCTTGATAAGCCTTCACGAAGAAAAACCCGTTGAACCAGCTTCGGTTCAACTTAGGGCATTTCTTGACAAAGTGATGGGGGCAGCTTTTCTTCTTGCGCTTCTGGAGGGATAAGCAGTTGTCTAGAGGCACCATCTTGAAGAAGTATCTGAACAAGTTGAAGGTGGGCTCCACGTTGTGCTCTCGGCACCTCAACTTGAATAGGATGACGACCGTGATGACCGGAGGGGTAAGTGACGCCCCTACCCTAAGTGACTAGAATAAGCTCAACGAAATCGACGAAAAGAGAAGGACCACTTACCACGTTGAACTGGGCGCCTTGCTTCACCACCATCGCCGGAGGCGCCTGCGCCCGAGGCGCCGGGTGCAGAGGTCTTGTCTTGTTGTGAAGACGACATCTTTTAGACGAGAGTGATGTGTTGGACGCGACAAACAGAGAGGAAAGAGGACAGAGGTCAGAGCGGAAGCTAGAGAGAAGTCAGAGCAAGATTCTAGAGAGAGGGCGAATAGAAGAAAGTGACAGCATCACAAGGGGGGAGGGGTATTTAAAGAAAAACGAGGGCTCACCCGTCGCATGACACGTGTCAGTCATGCCGAAGGAACCCTTCCTCTCCCCCCACCTTTTGGTCTCTTCGCGTGCCACAAAATCACAGGCGGACCTTTGAGCTTCCCCCACCCTTTCCTTTTCGGGGAAATTTCTCAACTCCCAAATTTCGAATTTCGAATTTTCTTTTCTCCAAATTTCCCCGACAAGCAAAGTGTGGGTGAGGGGGGCACAAGGGATAAGGACACTCGTCAAGAACGACACCCTGAAGCGCCCGAAAGGGAGGGTTAGTTAAAAAGGCGCCCCGTTTGGTAAGAGGCGCCTAGGCAGGTAAGAGGCACAGAAGCACCCGGAAGAGCATTCGATAAGGGACCGAAGCACCTGGGTCACAACTAGAGGTTCAGTCAGGCGCTCGATGGCGAAGCCACGAGCACCTAACTGGGGGGGCAATTGTTGGGGGTATTACCCAGCGAGCTAGGAGATTGGGCTCCCCAAAGAAAGAGCTAGGGGGCAAAGCCCAAAAGGGTAAGAGCCAATATTCGCTAGTGGCCCACGAGCCCAAGAAAAAGGACCTCAAGAGTAAAGTACCAAGAGCCAGGTGGCGGCCAACCGGCTGGTGGACCACGGCCTGCGGGCGCCTGTCAGGTGTCAGGAGTCTGACAGGGCGGTTAGCTGTCTCACAGAGCACCAAAAGCCAGGTGGCGACCAGCTGGCTGGTGGACCACGACCTGCGGGCGCCTGTCGTGTGTCAGGGGCCTGACAGAGCTGTGGAATACCAGTCAGGTGTCAGGAGTTTGACAGGGCGGTTAGCTGTCTGAGGGCGCAGAGCATTAAATGAGGAAGGTGACGTGGCAAAGATCAACCTCGGGTTCGGTGAGTATAAACAGGGGCAGTCGACAGCATTTACGCAGGTTGGCTTCTCACACTAAAACCTGATTTTAGACTTCTCTCTCTAGACTCTGCTCTAACTTGGGCGTCGGAGTGCTAACGGGCATTACCCAGCCCCTTAGGCGCTTGTCCTTGCAGGTTTCAGGTGCCTGTACTGGGTTTGAAGGGGTTGAGATCGAGGAAGGTGTGATCGGAGGAACTTGGCACCAACATATAGATAATATGTTTTTATGTGCTATTGATTCTTTTGTTCATAGTATTGTTTATTTTAATTGTTATTATCGATTTGTGTAGTTGTGTACCTTGATTTCGACAACAAGTGGTTGTTTATTAGTCATTTTCAATCTCTATACTCTATTAACTATTAAATATATGAAATATTGAAATTTATATGTCATTTTAGACTGACATAATTTATAAGGTTTGAGAAATAACTTTTGTTAAAGAACAAATGGTTGTTTATTAATATTTTTAATAACTCACACTCGATAAATGATCTTAGAACCAATGATTGTAAAATCGTACAGGAAGTTGTACTAGACAAATTAGTGATTCGATATTTTGTCATGAAATTGTGGTTTAAACGTGGTTCAATAATTTATACTGCTAAAAACCGCCTACTGGTAAGATATTTTATGCTCGAACCGCTGATATAATATGATTTCACAAATAGCGCTTACAACCTGAAAATATATTCTTTATGACCACCTCAAAAGTTCTTTATCTCCACTACATCTGTATTTAAGTGATAGCCTCCACTTCTTAAACAACTTGATCTAATTTATCATTCCATCCTTCCCAATTTTATGTCCTAAGCATTTTCTTTCTCGATGTTTTAATGGAAAAAATCGAATTATGATATCCTTAAACAAAAGCAATAAACCATACTCAAATAAGTTATTTTGTTATATAAGCGTACCACTGTGTTTTTGAAAATTGTCTTTATATAGGGTTTAATGATTTATGACTGTGCTAGGAGCATAGTTAATAGAATACAAAATTATTAGTATGTTGAAGTCTTAACTTATATGAATTTAAAGATCATTTTAAATTGGCATAATTTATCGAGGGTTTACATATGGCTAATGATGATATTTTTAATATCATATTTAAATGGATTAACTAACAATTTGTTATCTTATTTATTGATTTCATTTCGTTATTCAAATATCAGTCTTTCATGATCATGTTAAACCAATTTTAGATTCTCGTATAACACCTGCAATTAAACGGTGAGGCTCTAACATTTCTAATCAAACATCAGTCTTTCAAGATCGTGTTAACAACAACCAAACCATGAAATGAAGGCGGGGAACCTCCATGAAAGCACCATTAACAACAAGCAAAACGCCATGACAATGGCTTCCACAACACGAGCCATGCTTATGAAGAAATCACTAATTAGTAATTAAGCATCAAATTACAACTACAAACACTTAATTTATTCATGTATTCCAGTTTCAGGGGAAGGCTTGAATGACCGATTGAACCGCCTTGATGGGCGTCACGGAGAACCGGCTGAACCCGGCTTGATTAAGAACATACTCCCATTCCTTCAACGTTCTCTCTTTGCCACTGTTCGTATGAGCCATCATCACCATGTCAAACATCAGCCGAACATGTTCAAGCTTCCCATCTCTCTCTCGATCCACCACTCCTTCGGCTATGATCACTTTCCCCTGCTTGTTGCCCTCTGCAATGGCTGCTCTGCAATTCTTCAGTATCTGGATGCACTCTTCGTCGCTCCAATCGTGCAGAACTAGCTGCAGAATTTCAGCCCAAGTGAAAGGAATTAGTACAGTACTCGGTTCTTAATCCGATTAATCCGTAACCTGATTAACGAGACTGCATATATAGTTATATACTAACCATGAGGAAGGCAGCATCAGCTTTGGGAACACTCTGAAACATGTCGCCACCAACATGTGTCACACCTTTGGATTCTGGTGCCACAGAGACAACATGAGGGAGATCGAAGTTGATCCCACGAATCCAGGGGCAAGCTTCGACGAACAATCGTAGAGTAGTTCCATTCCCTCCCCCAACATCCACCATGGTCTCAACCCCATCGAGCAAGCCAGGGCAGCCCTCGACAATGGCTGGCACAGCCAGCCGAGCATTACAAGCCATGGCATCGTCTATCAGCCTGCCGAGGCCCGGATTGGCCTCGGCGTGCTTCCACACGTCCTCTCCGTGCGCCTGCTCGAATGCAGGCGCGATGGAGCCATCTCGGACTCGAGAGCTCAGGAAGAGCCATGATTCCAGCATGACGCGACTTCCCTCCATGAGGAGCAAGTCGGCCATGCTGTTGCTCCTGTCCCCCTCCCGTCGCCTGATCAGGCGACGGGAGAGGGGCGTCTGAACATAGCCCACCATCGTGCCATTGTCCGCTAGCTTCTCCTCGAAGATGCGGTGGTGGGTCAGGAACCGCATGATTCGTGACAGGGATCGCTGGTCACAGCCCAGAACGGACGAGAGTTGGCCCAGTGATAATGGGGAGTCTCCTGTATGGTCCTCGATCGCCTCGGCTATGCCGAGCTCGATGGCGCATTTCACCACCGCCATCTTCGTGAAACCGAAGACATAGCTCCATATCTCGACTCCAGCTGCTGCCTCTTCATCTAGCTCTTGCTCTACTTTCAGTTCTGTCATTTTTCTTTTTGGTTACTCTGTCTTTCCCCAAGTTTCCACTAGTTCAGGCTTTGCATTTTAAGAAATCCTCAACTTGTTGAGTGGAGGTGGTGGTTACAATTGTACACGATGAAAAGAAGGCATAACCACCAATAATGGTTGTACCTGTGGGATAAGGAGATAAAGGGCCAATAATATTTATTAGTTTGTCTTTTCCATTGCAATATAAGTATGTATGTATGGGAAGAAGAAAGGTGCCAGAAGAGGGAACTAAAAAGAAAAGAAAGGGTGTTTATCTTTGTAATAACAAGTGTCAAAGTTAAGGCCTCGTTTGTTTGAGTGAGTTTGTAAGTTGAGAGGAATCCAAATATTTTCTTTGCGTTGATCATATATTCTACCACACTTTCGCTAATACCTAACAGTTCTTGGATTTGATTTGGATCCTAAATCATATCAGCCTACTGTTTTCTCTTCTCTTTACATTGAGGTGAATACTGAATCCCTTTAACTTACTGTTACCTGGATGGACTGCGGTTGTGTCTGGGGATAACTAGCTGGAAGGAATCCGTTTCTTAGCAAAAGCAGACTTCAGCTTCTCCAATACAGAGAGCAGATAGGAGTTTGAATCACAGGCATCTGCAAGCATCTCGAATCTTTTCTTGAATCGACGGTCCTCATCGTTCTGATCATCATCCGGTGTCTCTGGCAAGGGAGATGTTGATGGGTAGTTATACTGTATCAGCTCCATCATCATAGCTTGTGCACAAGAGACAATGCAAAACATCGGTTTATAAAGATGTGTTTGTTGCTACGAGCATAAAAAGGGGCTTCTCTATTAGCTGCTACTACATCAGCCAATCCATCGAAATCTTAGAGTAATTTGAGGGTCAAATGACATAAAGTGCAAGGAAACTATAAGGTCAATGACAAATCGTCATGGAACATTGATTTTTAATGAAGTTGGGATGGGATGAGATATGAGTCTATGAGTTTGGTTTGGATCGCATTGCAATATGTAACACCTAAGCACAAATCTGAAAATGATTGGTGAAGGGGTACTTCTAATGGTATTATATTACAAGCTTCGGTAATTTGTTAAAAATCAAAGTTCAGTTGCCAGCAATAATGTTTTAGACCCAAAATTCAGTGATCATTTGGCTTACCTCATGTTTTGGTTTCTGTGAGCAGTCACGGATGAGAGACTGAGCAAGCTTGTTCCTGAGAACTATACGATCCTTGGCACAAGGTAGGAAGATAAAAGATGAAAGATGGTGTAGAACAAGAGCAAACACCATTGACCCCCTGGTTGCAGATCGATCTAGCGGACCAGAAACCCACGACTTCATATAACCTTGAAGAACAGCTTCATTGTTCTGCCGCAGAAGAACCCAAGCAGATTACAACAGAACACATGACAGAAGAAAATGAAACATGGACAGTTAGTTGATGATAACTTCAAAGATTTTACCTCGACAGGTTCAAGGTAGCCTTCTGGCCTTCCAACACACTTGTCCAATGGCGGCAGAATCTCATCGGTGCAAAGATGTAAATATGTAGCAATCTGTTGCCCAAAAACTACATCACCGTAAGAGTGTGAGGCACATACTTGTTAAGCACAGATGCAAGGAGATTCAATGCAAGGCCACGTTGTCCTGGTATCTGAAACGATCAAGAAAATGAAGGCAGGGTTAAGATATGTGAACACAGATAAGAAACACTGAAGTTTACCTCTGTATTCTCTCTCTTTGTTCCCCTCTTTTTTCTTTAGAATAAATTCCATCACTTGAGATTGACATCCTATTCTATATAATAACAAAGCAAACAGGGGTATGCATTATCTTAACTAGCCACACTTCTCGTCAATTGCACGGCTTCTTTAATCGAGTAACCAGCAGCTCCAGGGTCCCCCTCTGTTCTTAGGTAGTCACGTTCTGTTAAACAATCAGCCCCCCCAGCATCATTGGGTATGGCACCTACAAAATGAAGCAGGCATATTAAAGAATACCTGTCTCTACTATGCAAACAATGACCCTATAGTGTGAGGCACATACTTGTATGAATCAAAGAATAACGGAGCAAGCACCACCCGTGCTTTAGTAAAGGGCAATTAACATTCCTCTTGCCAAAGCAGAAGACATTTGTATTGCGTACCTAACATTTTGGTAACTTAGGAAAAATAAAACTCCACACAAAAAGGAAGAAGATATTTAGTGATTAACTCCAGCTCAGTATAAGCATGCACGAGCCAACACTTTGTAGCCCCTAATCATTGTAAACACATAGATAGTCACAGTAGCATTTAATTGGCCTTGGATTTATAAATTACCAAACATAACTAAAGCAAACAGTAAACTTTATGGCAAGCATTCCTTTCATTCAGCATCATTAAGCCTAATACTTAACCTGCATTCCAAGAAACCGAAGACACTACTATCTTGGAAGAGTATCCAACCAATAAACATAAAAAAGATATACAACAGTCAGATTTACCAGTCTCAAAATCTACAGGGATGACATTCCCCTCCAAAGAAAATCTTACTCCCCTAGCAGCCTCCACTCTGTCACTCCAAGCATTCCATGAAGTACAGCTGCTAGGTGTTTCTGGATTTTCATTTTTCAGGTCATGATTTTATCACATTAGGAACATCATTTGCTACACGTGAATGAGCACTTGAATCTTCGATTGATGGACCATTTGCAGGTTGTTTTTCTAGCGCCACATCTGATTCAGAAACATTCTGCTGCTTCAATTTCTGCTGACCTCTCTTTTTCAGTAAGTTCAGCAGTGAAGAATTCATCTTCTCCATTATCTCAGCCTGTGCTTCTGCAATCTCTTCTTCGGCTGACATATTTTGTAACCGAGCACGATTCTCCACATCAATCTCACCCCCAAGCGACATAGACCTTTGCGCAACTCCAGTATCATTGAATATGGAACTAGGAGCTCCACTTGAAGGTCTTTGATCCTGCTTCCTCAGCTTTTCAGAGATCGCATTATTTGTAGTCTTCACTGTCCGAGGCTGCTCTGCAGTGGATTCAGCTTCACCATACATCGGCTCGTCCACTTCAGTTTGGCGAACCGAAGAACTCATAACGGGCTCCAAGTCCACTTCCATTAGAACGTCATTACCTACAGAGGACTTGTTATTAACATTGCCACCTACTTTTCCATCCTTCTTCAACGTCTTGGTCTTCTTTTCGCGCAGTGTACCTTACCCTCCTCCGACGAACTCTCACGCGCAAGCTCTTTCCAACGACTAACATTCCAACCCTTCTTCACCTTCCTCTCTACCGAATTCGCAAAAGCCGAAATTGGATCATAATCAGTAGGGTCAATATCCTCCTACTCTTCTTCCTTTCCATCATCATTTCTACTGTTCTCATTCCCTCCCTTCTTGTTGGTCATAGCATTCCAGTACTGCAAAATTCAAAAACCTTACTCCCTCAGTTCACCTTCCAATTCCTTCCTAAACTACAAAGGGAAGACCATAAACAGCAGAGAGAATCCGGCTTACCGGCCCATGCGCGCGGTGGCGAGCGACTGGAAAGGGGATAACGGTGGGCCTGGGCGGCGGAATCGGCCGGAGAGGTTTGTTGAAGCCGTTTTCCGATATACCTTTCTCGACTATGCTGTCAATGAAGTTCGAAGCTCCTTCGATCATGGCGTTCGCTCCAAGAACGCCAGCCGTGAACTTCTTTGTAGCTTTCCTCTGCGCTTCATTCTTCTTCGTGGTCTCCATCAGGGACTTCCAGAATCTACAGAGAGCTGCCAACAAATAGAAGAAGGCAAAGAACAAGCGTCGCTAGACAGGGAAATTGAGAAAACACGAAACGAGAGGCGACGGAGAAGAAGCGCGACAATGTGAACGATGGCCCATGGGCTTATAGTTTTGGGCTTTAAGGCCCAATGAGCCCATACCATCTAGCGCGCGGATTTTTAATGAGCGGTTAAAACCCGTGGTTACCAGCCATGGGCGACTGAGAGGAAAAACAAAATTTGTTCGTCTCTCAAAGGCTCGAGCTTTTTTCTTCCCCCCCGTTTCAGCCATGGCGGACTGGTCTCAGCTACCCAGAGATCTCATTGAGAGAATCGGCAAAACCCTCGACACTGCCACCGAACTCCTCCGCTTCCGCTCCGTCTGCAATTCATGGCGATCCTCCGCCTGCTCGAGGGAGCGCCGTCTATCCAGCGGATTCCAAATCCTCCCCAACGGGATCACGAAGAGTTCGTTCGGATTCTGCCTGTCCAAGAGGGCAGTTTACCTAATCGGCTTGCCCGATTCGAGGAATCTCGGCGGGTGGCTGGTGAAGCTCGAGGAGGTAATCCCAGATAGAAAGCGCCTCGTGAATCCCCTTTCGAGGAATCCTCTGAAATCCGAATCTCTCCCGGAGAATTTCCCTAGAATGCTTGACTTGAATGGGATTTCCGTGAAGGAATTAGGGCAGGCGTACGTATTGCGTCACGTTAGCTACAGGCCCAATTCGACTTCTTTCACCGACGCTGGGGATCTGTACATGGAGAAGGTGGTGATGATGTGGTTGGATTCGGAACCCAGCGAGTTCGTTCTGCTCACCATTCATCTCTCGGGAAAATTGGTGCTCTTCAGGAGCGGGGACAGGACATGGACGATCATAGGAGAAGGAATGGGGATGGATTCGCCTTATGATGATGTGATTGTTCACCAAGGGAAGTTGTTTGGAGTTGACAACACTGGCAAAGTTGTGAGCGTCAGTAAAGATGCCGACTTGACTCTTGTAGCGAATCCGGTTTTCGGCGGGGACAAGAAGTATTTGGTTCAGTCGTCGAGGGATCAATTGTTGCTGGTCGATATGTATCTGAGTATTGATACGGAGGAGGAGAATTTCGACATCGGGGAGGAGTTCATGGGGCATCTTGCTCAGTACATGAGAGAGAGGACGGTGAGGTTCAAGGTTTATAGGCTGGATGCAGAACAGAAGGCTTGGGTGGAGTTGGGAAGCTTGGGGGATACGGTGTTGTTCATTGGTGATGACTCTTCGTTTGCTGCCTCGTCTTCTGATCTCTATGGTTGCAAGGGAAATTGTATATTCTTTGTGGACACCTATAATGCGAGGGAGCTTGGTGGATTGGGTAAGGAAGATGATGGGATGTGGGTTGAAGGTATATGTGTGTTTGAGCTGGAGAGTGGCAGTATGGGGCCGTTGGTGAATTATCCAGAATACCACAAGATCTTCTGGCCGCCTCCAAGATGGCTACTTTCACCTCCTTCAGAAGTAAGTTTTTTGTAGCTGGATGTGTTCTGTATCTGTATTTGTTGATTCCCCTCTTTCGCCATTGCTTGATTATTGGAGTGGTAGGTTCAGTGCAACTTAAAGAGATGGTTTCTAGCTTGTTCATGTTTCTCTGTGGATGGATTGAGACTGTTTTTCTTGTTTTGTTTCTGTTCTCTTGACGGGTTCCGGTCTCATTGGCTCAATTCCCATTTGAATGATGAAACAGGTGGAACTTGCGAAGCAAGCTGAAGGGTTGTCCCTGTGAAGTTGAGCTCAGCTTCAGTTGATCCCCGTCACCATCCTGGTGAAGTCCTAGCAACCTGGTTGATCATGAACACCAATGACTTTCTGCAACCGGTAACTTTCCTATGATGACCACATTCTCTGGATGAATTGACTCATAAGTCTGACATTGTCCTCAAAGCACTGGACTTCTCGTCGTTGATAGTTAGTTCCTTGTTTCCTTGATCGCTTGACCTTCTCTTTCAAAAGCTGAGTCTTCAGGAGTTCATATTAGTCGCTGCCTGTGGTGCTACATGTTTTGTACAGCAGAAACAGGCATTATACAGCCTTTTGATTTTTTCATCGCTTGGCCTCGGTCTTTTCAAGATTTGTTTATTTCTCCCATGATAGATTATATGCTTCTGTAGTTATTTATCTCTAACCGAGTTCTTCGTAATAAATCTGTACTGTACATACTTGTGAGCGTTCTGCTCGAAAATATAAACGAGAATGTTTCTGTATTTCTATGTCGATTTTGGTTCTTGAATATGCTTGTGAATTTGCTTTAAGAGCTCGGGAGGCACTTGAGAAATTGGCCTGAAAAAGGCTCGATAGAGTAGGATAGAGTTATAAGTCAACAGTGATGGACAGAAGTAAGCCTATTCCTCAACTAGCAGTTGATAAGGGCATGGCCAAAACTTTAACAAGGTTCTTCTATTGCTAAACCATATACAAGGTTAGATACTACCACCAATTCTACTACCAATCTACCAAGTCTTCTACTATAAACTATCTTCGAGGCGTCCTGAGGAATGTGATTCAGCAGAACCTTCATGTAATCTGAAAGTCGTCAATCTCTCTCCGGGGCATCTCCAGAAGATACTCTCCGTGCACTCAGATTGCCGGTATACGACCATATCTTGTCATACTCCAACGGGAATGACTTCCCTAGCTTCCGATCCTCGTTAATGATTTTGTTCAACACCTGCTGTTGCCTTTCTGGGCTGCCAGCCAATGGGGTCGACGAGCAGAAAGTCGGAGTGGCAAATGGAGATGCAAAGGGGCTGTGTTGGATGGAGAAGGGGCTAGGTGACATTCGCTTCTGAATAGGGAGTCCGCCTAGACCGCCTCTGTTGAAGACTGAAGCAGCTGCAGCTTCTTCTGCCACACATTGCTTTGTGGCGTCGTCCACAAAAACAACATCGTCGATCCGCGCCATGATGTTGAATGCCAAGCTCTCCATCACTCTTGAGTAACTTTCCAGAATCGACTGCCCAACATCCTGCAATGAAAGAAAAGTGGCAGATCGCTTTCAAAGATTGAGCATAGATCCATGAATCCTTCTTTCAAGAAAAGTAACGTGGATGGAAGCCAAATATACCTTGTTATACTGAATCTTGTTCATGTCTAGGGCAGTCTGTGGGAGACCCGGAAACCGTAGGTGCAAGCAGTGTAACAAGGTCTCTGCTCGTTGAGCCAAGCAATGCTTCTTCTCGCCATTAGCAACAACAAGACCCTTCACCTTGCTCCCTAATGTCGAACGCCTATAATCTTGGATTCGAACCTTGGAACCATTGATCAAAACAGATGGATGATGCTTATGACCTTTCGGAAGACCTTTATGGTGCTTCTTCTGGTCCTTCCGCTTCCAAACATGCAATGCTGCTTCGATCTTGTTAGCGATTTCTGTGGCCTGATGCTCCGTTGTAATATCCAGGTGGTCGAGAAGTGCTTCCGGCGAGAAGTGCTCAGCCGTCACATATCGATAAATGAGATCACCCAAGCAAGCTCTGCCACTCTAGTTAAAACCAAAATTGATGTCAAAACCCATTGAGCATGAGCTTAAGAAACAGAGAAAGACTAACTTTAACCAACTACCTTTGGCAAGGTTTCCAAGTATGCAGCAGGAATTTCCATCTCAGCAAGCACACTGCTATTGATCGCCATGGCAGCCTTCAGTATCTGATTAGTGCAATCCCTAAACTGCTGCAGCTTCTTCCTCGCGTCCTCTGAAAGCCCTTTGGGAGGCACTTTTGGACAAGGCAGCCACCACTTCTCTTCCTGCCGAATCGAAGGCCGCCCACCGGAGAAACCAGGTGGATACAAACCCTCCTCATCCCGCTCCTCCGCCACAACAATCCCCCGATCCACGTACCAAAACTCGGTCTCTCTGAACTCATCGAGCATCCCTATCAGCATTGCATCGAGCTTCTTCAATGCCGGAAGGTTCATGTAGAGATCCGACCTCGGTCTACTTGCCATAATCTCGTAAGTCCCTCCGCCAGGGAACTTCTGAATCGAAGGCACGAGCTCCACTATCGAATCGCTCACGCAGAGAAGCCACTCCATTTCTCTCCGCCACATTGATTTCTTCTGCGCCGCCAGAGGCTCCAGCCTCCATAGCTCGCCGAACACAGTAGCTGCTCGGGTAAAAAAAAACAGAGAGGAAGAAGAAAAAAACACATCTTTAGAAAACAATGAACAAGAAGGCGAAGTGGGTAAGAAGTAGAGAGAGTGGAGAGTTCGAACCAGAGAGATTGGTAATGGCGTTTGAAATGGCGAGCGCGGTGCAGACTCCTTTCCCACTTCCAGACATGTCCTCCCCCAATAGCAGCTTTGCGAATCTCTCCATCATCATCTCAACTTCTGCACACACAAGTTTTTTTTTTTCCAGCCAAAAATAAGATCCCCCATTACTACTCTAACCTAACAATAGTACAGAAAACAAAATCAAACCTCCGAAACTGAAATCTCCTAAATTGTTATCAGCTACCAAACAAATTAAACCACCACCAAAGAAAAAATTGGATGGAGGGTAGTGCTCTGTTCAAAAAGTACCAGACAAATCGCCGTCCCCTCGCTTCTGAACTTTCTCGTCCCAACCCAGATCCTTCCTTCCGCCGCCGACGACAGGAAGCACAAACCCCGCCGGCGGGAAGCAGAAGCTCTCACCTCGAGGAGACGGGGTCATGGAGCTGGAAGCACCCTCGCCGCCGTCGAACCTGCGACAGGAGAAGCTGCTGCTGCTCTCCGACTCGCTGACGTCGGCGCTCAAGCTGTAGCTGCCGCATCTCTCCTCACTCTGCTGCTCGTCGTCCGACGACATGCTCGCCATCAATCTCCGGCGAGCTTAAACAAAATACCCAAAACGAACAAAGCAAAGATCTTCCTCTGCCTCCCACTCTCTCTTAAACCTCAGCCGCACAGCACATTCTCAAATTGTCTGCTGCTGTATGCAAGAATCGGGAAAGGGAAACGAAGAAGGAGAGAAGATAAAGAAAAAGGGAAATGCTCTGTTTCTCTTCCCTTCTGCCTTCCTTTTTTTAGCCACTGAGTTCCTCTCTCTCTCTCTCTCTCTCTCTCTGCCTATCGCCTGCGACTGCAAATTTCTTTTATTTTATTTTGCTATTTTATAAAATAATTGTTTTTACTGCCTCGGGGCAGGCTGTCTTTTCAGTAACGAGGGGTTTCGCACCCCGACAATTTCCTTTTCTCGTGGGACCCACCACCTTCCTCTTATTTTTTTCTTCCCGCTTTTTCTCTTTCTTCTCGTCGGCTTTATTTTACTTATTATTGGACCACGTGGCCGGAGAAATGCTGACGTGGTTGTGGCGGGCAGGGGGAGGGATAGGAAGGGGACGGGCTCAGGTTAATGAAGGATGAGCTCGGCTTACGAAAGGGTTTATAGAGTGTGATTAAGAGGTCTGACTTGAGTTGACTGACTCAGCACTCCATATTTTTCAGTGCGCATTAATTAAACTGCTGGTATTAAGGTTAAAAACTAGGATGATTAGTATGAAAACTAAAAAGCGAGTAGTCAGTCTTCCTGCATTTGAATTCTCACCAAAATTTCCACCAATCCTTATAATTACTTGTTCCTCTGTCAACGAATTAGTTTGGGAACTCGTAACTCGTAAGTTTTAATGGTTTGGACCGGAAAATCAAGTATTTTGGGAAATCTAAGGTTTTTCATGATCAAATTATATTTGAAATTTTGAATTGATTACAATTTTTTTAGAACTACTTAATTAGATCGGTTGTTGTTTACATTTGTATCGTTTTTTTTTATCGCACCACATCATCACATATTTGTGTCAAGTTGTCAATACAACAAAAAGTGTTAAAATACACCACATCACAGGAGACTTGATGAAAATTATAGTTGTTAATATTCTGGAAGAATTAGAAAGAATAATATACTTTTATAATTTATCAAAGTACAATCTAAATGTTTTTAAACTCTTTTGAAATTACAGTTTAATTGTTTCGACAACAGAAAAGTATGTGTGTTCGAATTCCCAATGTTCTTTGGTTACAATTTTTTTTCGTAGTGCACATTCACGATCACAGTCCAGCCTTCTATTTCAGTTGGTGGTGGTGACCAAACATTTGGTAAGCACATAATGTAGAATTCATGTATTTGAAGAATTCATGTATATTGTAGGTTGAGTTGTGAGAACTTGTGTAATATTAGAATGCATTGTTTGGCTTGCATGAGTTCATGGTAGAACCCACATAATTTGGCATGAAATCTCAAATACTTTGGGTAAACCCAAAGCATTTGAGATATCATGATCACATGAATTCTAGAATTACATGGTGCACCAATATCATGATATCTGTCCAAAAATAAAACAAGAAAAACAGTGGAATCTCAAATATCATGTAATCTTGAAATCCGTGGGTAGATTATACATGCTTACCAAACCATCATTATGAGATCACATGCATTACTTAATTAGTATCTGCAAATGGGCAGAGCGTGAGAATCTTGACCGTCGATATACACATTGCCCGTATACATGTAAGTGACGACGGTTGATGATGGAAGGTGATGATGAGTGTGATTTTCGAATAAGAGGACCTGAAAAGACAATAGATTCTTCTCCTTGCGAGATCAACGCTGATGCAATCGCCTCGTTCTTCGCCGGATGTTCTTTCCGACGTAGACAACGTGTCATCGGTGCCCTCGCCGTTCCATGTAAAATTTTGTGGAAAGGTAAAATGATGGCGTGTTTTGTTGTAACAGCTTTCTGAATTATTTGTTGCTGATAATGGTGGAAAAAGAAGAAAGAAGCAGAGGACCGGCCAGAGGCAGAGTACCAGCAGGAAAAACAGGGGAGTCGAGTCGTGGTAGAGGCAAAAAAGGCAGAGCACCACGTGACGACAAAGCTGATGGTAAGTTTGTACGTAGGAAAAAGGAAGGAGAAGGACCAGTGTTCTAAGGAGCAGCCACAGGGGGAATAGGTCGGCTGGTGGTTCAGGCTTCTGCCATAGCTGCAGCAGTACAACTGGTAATGCAGAAATTATCAGCAGTAACAGTAGGCAGTTTTTTTTTTTGACCAAAGGATCTTTATTGCTCTTTGAAAAGAAAGGTTACAGAGAGGGAACAAAAACCCAGAATCAAACCAAGAACAAGGCAACACGAGAGCACAGGATGATATCAGACTAAGCCTGGGAAAATACAGCAGGGCAAAGCAAGGCCTAGATTGACATCACACACCAAACAGCCAAGCTCTTGAAACAAAACGCAGAACTTCATAAACCCTCTCTTTTCCAACCAAGTCAAAGGGCAAAAAGATCAAGTCAGCTTGTCCGATCACAACGAGATCCATGGCGAATTGACAAGCAATGCCATACGCCGTCGCCTGAGGATTGTTCAAGACATCCAAAACAGTGAATCTCAACACGAGATTGCATGACGGTGGAAGAGGCTGTGAAGCAGATTGCTCCAAGCTGAGAAGGCAGAGGGGCCACGACAGTGGGGTGTGTTCAAAAGGGAGCCGAGCTTCCTGGAAAGAACCACAACCCGCCACAAAAGAACCGATTCCCACCGCAGCAACCAGAGATGACTCAGCCCTCCACGATCCAACGACGCTCCAAGCACCAACATCAACCTGGGGAGGCCGGAAGGGGAAGGATGAGAATGGCTTCACCTACAAGATGAGACCACCAGCTTGGAAGAGCAACCAACACACGCGGCGAGAAAGCCTCCCTAGCTGCAAACTCCAGATCCCCAGAAGAGCAAAGCCTTGAGACTGGAAAATCCTAGATCTGGAAAGCCACCACGGCTGGAAAGCCATAACGGCTGGAGAAAAAGCACAAAACCAAGAAACAACAACGAAAAGAGCATGGAAAGCAAGAAAAAACACAGGAAAAGAGAAGCACTTGGGCTGCCGCCGGTCACCCGAGGGAGCCGGCGGCAGCCATGGAAGGGTGGAGAAGAGTCTCGCTTAGAGAGAAGGGAGAGTGAAATTCAAAAGGTAAAGTAAGAGAGAGAACTTATTCAATTAATACATCCCTCCTCAACAGTAGGCAGTTGGCGTGAGAAGAATGATTTTGTGTTTGCAATTGGATTCGTGGTGTTTTGTTTGTTAGCTTGTTGTGTGATCATTCTGGTCGTGGACATGTGTTGTATACTTATATAAGATCGATGATGTCACTTATGGATGGTTGGATAGTAGGTTTGGAGGACGAACAAGACGAAATCTAATTTGCGTTATGTTATGTTTCTGTCATTTAAATTTGTTCGATAACTATAAGTATAAGAGACGATAAATGGGTTAAAAGCTTTTGTATTGTGTTTGTTGGTTCGTGCATGTGTTTGTGTTTTTCGTTTTTTATGTTTCGTTAACTCACTTAATGTCGGGTTGTCGGTTGGCATGTAATATTGGGGGGGGGCCAAAATCGTCTAAGTATTCATCAATATGAATAATGAACACTAGCTAGATATACAAACCAACTAAATCACACTTAACACAATATGAACACCATAGATGCAACTTGATTGGTACTCTGTATGAGGATGCTATATTTGCGATAAACATGCACGCAACACATTTGAGTGTGTTTCACTTTGAAACAACACGTGAAATCTCAAATGTACAAAAGTTGTATGATTAACAAATCTTGTCAATTAAATTATATATTTCTCCAATTTCATCAGGTGGATGCGATCAAGTCGGGATTGTAACATTCAATCAGTGAAAGAGTACACGTTATTCACTATTATTGTACAATATCAACACAAAAGATCAACGATAAAGTAACTTTCATACTGAATTTTACCAATTAAACAGGACAATTTGTGATGTCCTGGTTTCATAAATGCAAAGAATAATATACTTGGACCACTCTATCCATATCTTTTTATTTTGTTCCTTTGCAGAAGTCCCTAACCTAACTCTACTACAATGCCATAATTACCATTTACCACCTACAACTTTATTCCACTTCCATTATATCCCCACCACAACTCTCATGATTCTCTTCAGCCCCACTCCATTCCTCATCACCAAGTCTGCATGTGTCAAATAACTCATTACCAGATAGTAAATGCATACTTAATAGTCCATCGACCCCACCACACCAACCATTTTTTTGTTCATACACAGGATTAGAGAAAATAAATTAAGCTCATAATTTTGACCTGAGCTGCGTGGGTGGGAGCTAATGATGCCCCGCCCTTCTTAATTAACTATCATCAACAGGCGAATATGGGTTTATTTGTTTAATCTTTTCTGTTTTTTCTATTTGGAGAAAATGATTAGTGTCAACACGTCTCTATACATGGAGAGATATCATTATTAACACTTTGTTTACATTTGGGTTGGCTGATCATTAGTGGGATGCTGGGGATGGTTTTGCTTGATTAAGGATGGGCTTCTGGAAGAAAAGGTGGGGAAGTTTGATTAAGATGGTGTAACTACTAATTACTAGGATTAGGTTGGACAAGCAGCTAGACTAATGGCTCTATTAGGCAAACTCTGGCTATGGCACATGGGGTACTCAAGTAGTACAAGCATGGACTTACTCACTTCTATAAAATGGATTGTTCATTGCCAATGTTAATCAGGGTGTAAATGGTTCGATTACTTTAGATTGTCCATCGTAACTCGTCTGGGGATGAATGTTCGAGCGGTTGGAAGAAGTTGAATTCCGTGTCGTAGAGATATGATTTGAATTGAAAACTAACATGTAGTAATTAGAGTCGCACCGAACTGCATTGTGCAGTTAATTTGGCATGTTTAGTTATGATTTGGTCAATTTATATCATTGCATTTTAGAGGATCCTGCTTAATTTGTACTTTAGAAATACCATATTCGAGGATTGAAGTCGTGTTGGATTGGAGTTTGATAGGCTTTGATCCAATCTCAAATACCCACTAGGACGAACTATCACCCACTGACGGACTAGATTGACTTGTTTTGTTGGGTACATCACGAATTGAAATAGAAGACACCCCCATACAGGTCACCTATTGCATAGCAAACTACAAACGCATCTTTTGTTATGGTCCGCCAACGTTACAATGGACAATGGCATCCAGAGTTCATCATCTTTCACACTTTTAAAATCTATTGTCTTTCTTTTACAAAAGTGTATGCTACATGGTTATCTTCCATGGGAGAGATGCATGAAACACATTACAATCCCGATTGTTTCAGAGGAACATCGATCGACGAAGTTGGCTCGATTCTTTTCTTTGTATTACCTAGAGTATTCACTATAGATGGTAGGTGACTTAGCTCCCATCATAAGTGACCACAGAAACCAGTAAAATGCTTCATTACAAAACAATTTAATTTTCCATGAACATAAATCAAATTCTAACATAATTGATTGAAGGATGAGGCGAGCAACCATCTTCAAAACTTGGCTTGATTTTGTGTACTTGCTTGGTTAAAAATGTGTTGTTGCGTATAAAAATGATAATATCACAGGAATGTTGTTGAGTACGAGAAATCCCAATGGTTTATTGTAGGCCGAACAAAGCCCAATAGAAACAAACGAAAGTCAATCCAACTAACGTACTCCCCTAGGCCCGTTTTCAAAATGGGCCCACAGAAATCCAACTAGAACCGGCGACGAATGACGCCGACGATAAAATCCCTCTTCCTCCGTGTACGTTTCTTTTCTCAATTGTCGACGTTCTCCAAATTCTGAAGCGCTCGATCGCCAACAAATTCAATCCCCGAAGAAACCTTGGTCGATTCGTTTTGTAATCGGCGGCCAAGATTCAGGCAGCGCTCTGAATCGAATCGGAATCGCGGAACCATGCCGAAGAAGATGGGGGTGAACAGCAAGGCCGAGGTGGCCAGGTCGCGGAAGAACGCGACGGAGAGCGAGAAGAAGGAGCGAGAGGCGAAGGAGAAGGAGGAGAAGTACTGGAAGGAAGCGGAGGGTCCGAAGTCCCGCGCGGCCAAGAAGCGGGAGGAGGAAGAAGAGAAGCGCGCGGAGGCGGCGGCGCGCAAGGCGGAGGCGAAGCGGCTGGCGGAGCAGGAGGAGAAGGATCTGGAGAAGTCGCTGAAGAAGGTGGACAAGAAGGCGACGCGTGTCGCGATTCCCGGTCCCGAAGGTGACCGAGGCGGAGCTGAGGAGGAGGAGGGAGCAGGAGCAGGCGGCTCTGGAGAAGAAGTCCGAAGAGGCGAAGAAGAAGCAGACCAGGACGGCGGAGGAGGAAGAGTACGAGAGGCTGGTGCTGGTCGAGAACACGAATCGCGATGATTCGATCATTGAGGCCAGGACCGTGGAGGATGCTATTGCTCACTTGACTGTTGCGGAGAGCTTGCCCGTTGATCGGCATCCCGAGAGGAGGCTTAAAGCTTCGTTTAAGGTGTGTTTATTCTTCGTCATATTGATTGAGAAGAGATTGATTATGCAATTGGGCAGTATGAAATTGGAGAATTATGATGATCATGGCCTGCTAAGCTTATGATGATAGCTGCGATTGAGGTGGAATTCTATTACTGTGATTATAAGCTGGAGTAGTGCAGCTCGTGATTGAGGAGCTGATAGTGAAAGATGAAATTTTTGATTCATTTTCTTTTAGTAGTGCCGAAGGGAGGGTTCGTTTTCAGGTTAGGATGAGAGTGTGACATTTAGTTTAGATGGGAAAGTTTTCGGACGTATATCTGGCCCTGAATGCTTCCCGTTACATTATTTGCTAATGGCATTGGTCTCCAACTAGGTAAGATGTGGATGGTATGCTTGAGTTAATAGATCAGTCCTTGGTGTATGATCAACTGGATAGTATCTTGAGCATTGAGGGCAGCATATTCAGATTTTGACGTAGGAAGTATATAAGAATAGCTAGCATGCTGTTAATACCTGCTGACATTGGGTCAGTTCGAGTGCTCCACTTGCTAGAAATGGTTACAGTAGCCTTGTTGCTGACATGCTTATTTTATAATGGTGGGCTCAATCATGATTCAGTTGCTTCGTGTGATTTGTTATTCATTAGTGATGGTGCATTTTACCATCAACGTTGCAGTTTCTTTGTTTCTGTAGTTCCTTGGTTTGTCAATTCTTATAAAATGTTTTAGACTCTTTATCATCGATTTGTTGGTCAAATATCTGTCTTGGAACTGTTTGAATATCCTGGGCGAATGACAAACTGTGATGAGCGAGCAGATTCATGTTAATTGGTGCTCGTCTCCCTTGTTGCAAATATATGTGACATGACTGTTAGTTTGCTACCTTTTAGTTCTGCTAGACCGATATTGGTTTTGGTAACTTTTGAATGGATAATAGGATGCCGATTCTTGTGTTTCTTTGTGCATGCCTTGTTTGTTGTCCTGTTTGGGGGTAAAGTATTCAGCATGTTTCCTGTAACATAGGCTTCTTTGTTAACTGTTCTGTGCTCCATTCGGCATCCTTGCCTGGTTACTTTTTTCTCGTAAAAGTGTCTGCCTATTGTGGTTGGTTTTGGGATATGTTGTTTTGATTCCTGTCATCTGTTAATTGTGTTATGTCTTTCTTTTCAACCTGTAACAGGCTTTTGAAGAAGCTGAGCTCCCAAAGCTTAAGGAAGAGAAGCCAGGACTAACTCACAATCAATACAAGGACATGATTTGGAAGATGTGGAAGAAGTCCCCTGACAACCCTCTCAATCAGGTATGCACTTGGGATTGCCATCCACCTGGCGATTCTGATTCTTCTAAACCCTTTTTTCTTCCACCTTAGGATCATGGTTCTGAATCTGAATAATAATATCCCTCCCTGCACAATAAAACACAAGAGTGGAACGATATATGACTTTGAACTTTGAATTCTGTTTTGCAGATTAGTAGTGAGTAAGCCTGTGCCCCTGTCACAAAACAAAAAGTGGGCATGACTCAGTTTCATTCTGGCTTCACTGCTCGCAAGGAGCCTTCCTTCTTGTCTGTTGAAGGTGGTGTCAGAAGCTAGCGGCGTAGCCGAGATGAGGTGTGGGAGGATGATCTTCTTATATGGTTGAGTAACTGGTAAATGGTGTAAATGGCATCTGCATAAACTGCTGCTGAGGACAGTAGAATCGTGTTCTTCAGTTCTTGGTTGGGAAGTTTAGAATGTGATTGAATCTTACCTATGCTGCGTTATCCATTGTTATAAAGTTGTAGCCCAAATAAAAATGAGATGGTTGTGGGGGTAAGTTTGGTCTGTGTACCTGGGAAACAATGTGGTGGTTGTGTAAACAGTCTTCTTCGTCTTCTTCATCTTCTTCATTTCAGAACAATAAATTTCCCCATTTGTCAACTTTTGCCTGCTGGTCTATTACTATTGTCTTGCCAATTCCAAGTTTTCTGGTGTTAATGCAAATTTCAATTGAAGGGCGGGGGAGGGATGAAACAAGCAGGAATTCACCAGACAACTTAAGCTTTGGTATCGCTGGACTGTTTGTTAGTTCGAAGTATTTTCTTCTTTTTCGAAATTTAGCGACCAGTTCATTAGTGACCAATTAACTGTTACACCTAAAGTCTCATCTGGTTGGCGGTTCATGTTGTACAAACCAGGGAAAACGACGTCGTAGTAACTGTCTTCATCCTCGTTTCTCCACAGGTGCGACTGGTTTCAGTCTTTGTCTTTTCTGGGATCAAACATTTCGAACGCAGTCGACTTCTCGATCTGTTTGATCAATGGGTGTCGCCGGCAGGAAGGGAAAAGGTTACACCTTTGCCTTATTCGCCGGCCTCAACGCTGCCTTCGCCGCCATTGCCGCCAAGTTCTTCTCTTTCTACGTAATTTCTCCCCTCTCCCTCCCTTTTACTCCCAGATTAAACTGTTTATAGGTACGACCAGATGGAATAATTCCTTTTTCCATCATTGTGGTTTCTCCAGTACCTCTATCTGGGCTCGTCTCCGTGCAATTAAACTTCCTTCCCAGTTCCTTTTCCCCTGCATCGCTATGGCAGGTTAATTTATGACTTATTGTTTTCCCACCCACTTGGTGCAGATTATCCGATACGGCCTGGTGGTGTTGTTTAATGTGACGATGTGGGGTTGTTATGTCAATAGCCTCAAGGCTCTCTCGTCCCTACAAGCTACAGTTACGAACTTCGCCACCAACTTCATCTCCTCTGGCCTTGCTGGGTCCTTCCTGTTCAATGAAAGCTTGTCCAGTAAGGTAAAGTAGAGGGCTCAATTCATTAACTGACATGACCCCCTGATTAATTCATTGCTTCTTTCTGTTAGTTGAGCGCTAAAGTCGGCAACTTTTTTGCTTAATGGCATTGTGTTGGTTATATTTCTCCTTCCAGTGGGTTGCTGGTGCATTGCTCATTGTAGTTGGTGTGGTCATACTCAGCAATTCGAGTGTCGAACAAAAGGAACGGGCTGATTGATGTGAATTGTGAATCGATTTCGGTATATGTTGTGCTTGTGTCTACGGCGGTACAAGAATCATTGAAGCTTGGTGATTCTCACTCTAGAAACTATTTGTTTTCTGTGGCTAGGGCTGTGTGAAATTCATGAATGGTGGACCACTGCCAGATCAGATTCATTCTTATGTGAAGTGTTGAGTTTGTAATTTACACTTCGACTGTACGATGTCTTCAATCTGGTTGTGCTATGCTATCCACATGTCAGGCTCTTGTGTTCCCATTGTGCATTGATGGTTGAGGATAACGAATCGGTTCTTTTATGTCTTTAGTGATTAATCGACGAGTTCATTCTGACTGTTAGTTTGATTCAGTGTCGTCTCAGGATATCGTCCAGTTTTGAGAAAGAGTTATCGTATGTTCTGTAGTTCAAAAGGAACGGATTTTGCTAGCATGACCAATCCTTAATGTGCTCCAAGTTCTTACTGTAATATTCTTTCCAATGGTGAAAATGGTAACTGCAGTCAGCTCAGGTCTTAATTCTGAGTGATCGGGAGAAGTTGGATGGTTATTGAATGAAAGATTAAGTTCCCATATAAAGTATTAGTTGTGGATGTGATTTGTCAGTAGTGACAAGACATTGTCAGCTGGGGAGTGGGGATGTTGAAGTTGCTTTGGCTCAACTTTAAACACATTTTGATGAGCTTTGTCTCTGCATCTATGGCGTTCACCCAACTAACTCATTCTGGTGCCCATCATGTTCAATTCCCATTTCTTACATGGCCAACCTTTGTCTTGCTACTGGTTTCTAACCTATGAGCCGACAGTTGAGTTCAGTCAGTCATGTGGACGTGCAGATGTTCATTCACAAAAGATCTAACCAAGATTCTAGAAAAGTGATGGATGGTGGGTTTCCAGCCATGTATTGTTGAAGACTCCGAGATTGTGCTTACTCAAAGAATTAGCTTGGCTGGTTCCTTTTTTGGTTCTTAATGCTTTTTGACTTTTGCCCATTTATGTAACAGCGATGTGATGGTCACTTTCGCTGGTCCAGTAGAAGGCTTGTCCTTTCAGTTGACACATTATTAAAATTCTGGACCATTACCAGCTTCTGTTGTTTTTTCTAGCTGGGCCTGTTGGTAGATAGGAGGATGATGAATGCTGCATTTATTGTGGAATTTCGTTCCTGGCAAGATGTGGAAATCGCAGTCATTTATCCATTGTAAAACAAAGTTTAGCTTGTCAGGAAGTTCATAAACTGCTCTGAGCTTCTCAGAACTGCAATCATTAGCATGTTATGCATAACCTGAAGAACAAACAAGATTGCATTCAAGGTAATTCATCTCTTTGCAGGCAATAAATATGTGCTCCTTTTGATATTCTGTTGAGTTGTTGTTATGTGTATGATTTTGACCTTCTCTCTCAGGAATCAAATACCTTTAACAACCTACTCTTACCAAGTATGCTAGAGAGGAAGAAAACCTGGAGAGCGAGGCACCCAGTTTGACAGAGAAGTGTTTAATTTCTTGAATGGGATTTTGTACTTGAGTATGAGGAATTTTTTTTGTTTATGATGATTGGGAGATCCAGCATTGAACAGAAGTTTTTCTCTCTGCTGAGAGCAAACGCACCGAAGCAGAAGAAAATTGTGGTTGGGTTGAAATCGGATACTCACAGCAGAGAAATGCTGCTGCGGGTTCTTCGTACTTTAGTGAATCCTGGAGATATTGTGTTAGCTGTTCATGTTCAACAAGTTTCTAGTAGTTTCGATCCAAATACTTTCCACATGCATGCAGATCTCTGCAAGTCTAAGCAGGTAACTAAATTTCTGAGTTTCCAACTGGGCAAAAAGAGAGATGCAAATGATTTGTTGATGGACTAATCCATTGATTTTTGTTCATGGTTTTTTTCCTCCATCAAGGTTGATTTCCTAGTTAAGGCATGTACTGAAGAAACCTACATTTCAGGATTAAGTAATCAAGTACGACTCAACTCTGCCACAATCCTCATTCTTGGTTGCAGCCTTCCATGGTATGGTACTAACCACTCTGAAAGCTTTTGAATCGTCCTCTCCATCTTCTGATACCACAATTTTCTGATTTTTTCCAGGCCTAATGAGTCGGTAGTCAAGGCTTTCTTAAGAAGGCTGCCACCCACCTGCAGCCTCCTGGTAATTAACAACGCCGGGAAAATAATATTCCAAAGCCAGGGAACCTCTCAACAAGGATCCACTTCTCCAGTTCTTAGACCATCTCCATCTGAAAACAGTTACTTTCACCAGCCAAAAGTCGAAGCGCATCGTCAGTTGCAAAAGTCTTTCACTGCACCATCCTCCTCAAAGGATAAACCAGTTTCCAAGACGATGTTTGAGGTGCCAGAGAAGAAATTTCTCGACAGGCTGGCATGCTTACAAGCCACACGGTCCTTAAGACGTTTCAAATGGCAAGAGCTCGACTTAGCTACTAATGGGTTTAGCCCTCAGCGGTTGATTGGAACAGGTGGTAATAGTAAGGTGTATCAGGCCACACTTGGGGGTAATGGTCAGGCTGTAGCTGTCAAAGTCCTGAAGAGCTCGGATTTAGAGGATCTTCTCCGTGAGGTTGAGGTTTTATCCGGGTTAAGGCATGAGAACATAGTGCAGATAATTGGTTTCTGTGACGGTAAGGAGATCCATGCAGTGGTCTATAATCTGTTGAAGGGGAGCTTGAAAGAAAGTTTGAGACAACTGGATTGGAAAGAGCGAATGGGAGTTGCGATTGGAGTGGCCAAGGCGCTTGAGTACCTTCATTGTTCATTTACCCCTCCCATAGTTCATAGAGATGTGAAGTCATCCAATATTCTACTTTCTGAGAACATGCAGCCTCAAGTAAGTTACAAGTGAAATTGCTTACATAAGAATAAGTTGCTCATATTTTCTGGATACTCAGATGAGGATTTTATTTATTTACTTTTTTGGTTATGCAGCTCTCAGATTTTGGAGCAGCAATAAGACTGCTCAAGCTTGACCAGATCTCAGCAAACACAAAGCCGTTTAGTATTGTTGGGACATTTGGCTACTTGGCTCCCGAGTATGTGATGTATGGGAAGGTTGATGAGAAAGTAGATGTTTACTCTTATGGAGTTGTTCTCCTGGAACTCATCACAGGGAAAGAAGCCATTCAAACAAACCAGGCAAACTGCGAAAGCTTGGTATTATGGGTAATTAACTTTCAGAAAGGAAGCTTCTTTCTTCACCACGAAGCTTTCTGTTCTTCTCTTTTGCTATCCTGGTTTTCTGAATCATAAAATTCGCAGGCAAGATCTCTGTTGAGTTCTGGCTTGTGTGACCGGTTGATTGATCCTCACCTTAATGGAATTTACAACAAGGAAGAGATGGAAATAGTAATGTTCCTTGCTCGGCTCTGCCTCATTCATTCTTCTCCTAGGAGACCATCCATGAAAATGGTAAGCTCTCTCCCTTTTTATTTTATTCTTTCCCCTTTGTGCATTCCATTTTCCTAAGAACTCAATTGTGTGCAACTCAATCTGAGCAGGTATTGAGATTGTTCGAAGAGCCAGAACACTGGAGAAAGATGCTGAGGAACAAGGATGAATTCCTCCATGAGAGTGGTTCCAAAGCCGAAATGCAGTTGGATCCACTGGATGACCAGGCGGCTAATGGTATGCCTGCTACTGAAGACTTGTATAATAAAATACTGTCACCTGAATCATCGGATTTGTAAGTGTTACAACTGAATCATCTGATATATAAAATTGAAAAGGCCTGTATACTGTAAGAAGCATGGCTACGACAGTAGATCGACTGCTTCTTCTTCCTACTTTATTCAACTTCTTTCTATCTGCTGAAAATCACAGATTTAGTGAATTTGTCCTAATGCCTGGAGTATGGTTCTCATATCAGTCCACCTTTTGAAGTTGTTCCGCACAATGATTTCAAACAATTTTAAGTTACATGTCACTATGACTAGCTATTTTAACTTGGCATGCCTCTATTCATTAGCCACCATGGCTAATAGCTCCAATTCTAAAAGCTAAGAGAATTGGCTCATAGAGATATACAATGAATTAAGAATGTAAGAAATGGAAAGAGCTTAGGAAAATAAATGCAATGGGAAAACAGGAAGAGCATAGCTGCTCCACTTTTATTGAGTCATCTGATAAGTACTTTCTTGGGCTAATCAAGCCTCAGCCAACTGCTTGAAGTTGATTGGTGCAACGAAGAAGGGTGGGCCCGAATAGAGTGTTACAGCAGCCAGCTGTGCAGCTTTCTGTGTAGGATGGAATAAGTCCCAGAACAAGTAATCATCCCTAATAGGGCAAAGACTAGCAGTTGGAGTGCATGGTGCTTGGGCATTCAGTGCTCCTTGCCCACAACATGCCCCTCCTCCATCTTTGAATCCTGGTATTTTTTTTCCGCACAGATGAATTTGCTCAGAATTAGGTGTAAAGAAAGAAGAAAAAAAACTGCTGATGAATTTGCATTGACGCATGTATAGCTCACTTACCGAATCGATTAGGGTGGTTGATGACATTGATGGTCATTAGAAATGCATTCCCAATTGAAAACTTCATGTCATGATACTCTGAGCTGAGCTTATACATGAGCTGAGTAACTCTGGGATGGAAAGCCAGCGCAAGATCGTTCAACTCCTCCAAACAACCGAGGGTTCGATTGAAGAGCCTTTGAGATGGACAGCAGCCGATTGGTGCAACGGTAGCAATCCCAAACTTCCTTGCTCCAAGTTTCAGTAGGTTCTGCATATTTTTACATATACTTAGAAAGCTTATATATTTCTTACTTTCTAACACAGTTTCTTTCAGGTTTTGCCAGGAATTATGTTGCTTACCCTTAAGTGCTTCTCGTATGCTTGGACCAGAGAAGCTATGAACTTCTCCTTTGGTTGCTTGCTCTTTGAATGGTAATGAGTAAAGAGGTCATTGCCTCCAATGCTGATAAAGAACAAGGATTTGGAGAAAATATCTCTGGTTCCTTTTTGCTTCCTTACACTGATAATTTTATCATAGACGTGTGAAAGTTGATGTATTTGTTCAGACAATGGGATAACATTCTTTCTGCTAATCGGCAAGCTGCTGGACGAATTGTTCGCCTCGTCAAAAGACTTGACAAAACTGACCTGCAATGAGAAGGAAGCAAGTTTTTTCACAACTGAGACTGAACACTCCATCTTCTGCAGTATCAGGAAAATGTTGGGTGAAAAGACGCAATATCCTTTACCGGAGTTTGTCCTGTGAGGTCGAGAATTCCTGATCCTCCTGAAGCAAAGTTGACACCTCTGAACTTAGGCTTGGTGAAGCCTCTTGGTTCCTTCCTGAGAAGGAAGAAAGTGTCTGGGCTTCTCCTGTGTCCCATCAATACAGCTGCAGATAACACAGTCTTATTATCAACACACGGGGAAAAACTCGGTTCCTTACTAATGTGGGTGATGATCGTTCAGGGAAAGTGTACGTACCGAGCTGGTCAGCACTGTTGAATCCATTGCTGAACCTTCCAGTTGGTCTGGAGTAAGGGAAGTCAACCCCATTGCGAGGAAAATCTGCCCTGGCATTGCTTCCAGGCAAGAAATTGTTTGTTCCAACGTCTACCGTCGAGTCCCCCAAGATAAAGATGGCAGGAGGTGAAGCTGCAGCAGCAGCTATAGCTGAGTTTGTACTGAACACACCAATGCACGCTAGACAAAACAGAACAAGAGCTTCAAAATTCTCCATTGAGCTTCCTGTTCTTCTTCAGAAGCTATGTTCTTTGCTTATATCTTTTCTGGTAGAGATGAGAAGGGTATGGAGGCTACTTATACTGGTGGAAGCCGAAAGGCGAAACGAAAATGACATTGCTACAAGAAGGAAGACACTACTGTCCATGTTCGGCACAGCTGGGGGAGCTGACCATTTCAGAAGGAGCATTGTTCTCAGGTACTGCTTTGGGAACAAAGTAAAAAAAAAAATCGGCTTTCCGATGTTGCCTCGATGGGAACATAGCATGCTTCGACGTTATTGAAGACTTGGAGGGCTATATTTGCCGGCGTGACGCATTGTTTGCATAGACATCACCTTTTTCCTTTCTTGTTTTGTCACGGCCTGCTTGGAACATAGCATTGGCTCTTGGCTCAGGCCGCTCTCAAGCCTGTTTGGTGTCATGTGTTTGATATCTAACGAACTACTTCGGAAGATATTGGCCAAAATTACAGTTGATAGTTTGTAGTATCTCAATTTCTTAGCAGATAGTAATGTTGGTTTCCTGGAGCTAGGATTGCTAATAGTAGGGACGTTGGGCAGGACATCTGTGTGGTTCAACCTTACCGAACCTGAGTAGAGCCAACCATATCGGAATCAATTTCGGTGGGTTCAAGTGGTGTTCCTGACCTGCAGTATATTTGTTTCAGTGTGGTTTGGCTCAACTGAGGTCCAATTGTGCTTTAATGGAACTGGTTTCCCATTCCTCCAACCGAGAAACCCGAATTTTCGAGCCCGTTTGCCTTATGGTTTCGCAGCTTCAAACCCCACAATTTTTTGCATCAAACCGTAATGGATGGTTTGTGGTTCATTTCTTTTATATGATTTCAACTGAATGATCACTCCTACGTTACGGGAACCGAAGAGGAGGAAAAATCAGAAATGCATTGCTCAAGAACTTCGTGAATCAGTAAGTTTATTTTTTCTTTCCAAATGTTGTAAAATAGAATGTGAAGAATATTGATCTTAGATGCTTATTGGATTTTCTTGTTCAGGAAGCAAAACAATGAAACAATGGGGATAATTTAGAAGGCGGCAGCCAACTGCTTGAAGTTGATGGGTGCCACAAAGGGTGGGCCGCCATAGTAGAGGTTCGAAGCAGCGAGCTTTGATGCAGCCTGGGTAGGGTGGTACATGTCCCAGAACAGCATCTCGTTCCGGTTGGTGCAAACGTTGGCGTCAGGAGTGCAGTAGAAATCCGCATTCAGCTTCCCAAGTCCACAGCATGCTGTATTGATGATCTTGAATCCTAGGAGCAAAAGCAAAAGGTCCTCACTTCAGAACCAGCAGCAGAAAGATTGTTCCACAAGTATGTATCTTTCTTGTCAAACAAGTTATATATTCATAAACAGACTGTTCTTATTTTCAGCAGTTGTGTTACCATATGATGCAGGTCTCTTGATCAAATTCATGGTCATCGAGTAGGTATCCCCAATGGAGTATTGCATCCCATCGAATTCCGAGCTGAGCTTGTACCATCATGGTTTTGACCTTGGCATTGAAGGAAACAGCTAAGTCGTTCAAGGGCTCCAAGCAGCCTGATGTCTGGTTGAATCTCCTCTGAGCTGGGCAGCAGCCAACTGGTCCGGCGGCAATGATCCCAATCTTCCTCACTCCAAACCCAAGCATCGTCTGCAGTATCCATAACACATCAAACAGTAAGTGGGGGAAAAAAAGTTCCAATGTATCAGTTAGAAATAATGGTGTCAAATGGGGGCATTGGTCGACCAATTTTGTACTCACCTTCAAATGTTGCTGGTATGTGGCCGTCAGTTGAGAGATGAACTGTTCCTTTGACGAGCTGCTGCTGTTGTCATGGTAGTAGTGGAACATGTCATTGCTGCCGATGCTGATGATGAACACTGAAGTCGCGAGGTACTCCGCCGCAGTTTCAGCACCTTTGAAGCTGGCGAGCCTCGAGGAGATGGTGCTCAGTTGCTGAACCTGCTCGCTCAACGGGACTACAGTCTTTACTCCATCCTGTTGTTGATACATTCATCATAAGTCCGTGAAACAACCATCACATCCCAATAACATGAAACTCCTACAATTACAATTCGAGGAGGATTTTAAGATTGTACCGGGCTAAGTCCAGTTGTGTCAAGAATTCCAGACCCTCCAGAGGCAAAGTTAACACCTTTGAAGCTCGAGTTCTTCAGCGGAGCTGTGCCATTCCCAAGCGCGAAGAAAGGTGGTGGACTCATTTCCAATCCCAGCTGCTTAGCTGATATGAAGATCATACAATTTTAACAGTAACCCTTCAAAAACTTGGATCTTCTACCATTCTTTCTACCGTGCTTTCATTTTGAGGTGATACATAACAACTCAAGTTACTGTCAAGAACCCATTTTCGACACATTTTGCAGGATGTACAATGAACCAAAAAGAAAAGAGAGGGAAAGGGAGCCACAAACCAAGAAAATCAGCAATGTTGTGGCCATTGCTGAACCTGCCAGTAGCTTTCGAGCCGGGGAAGTCGATCCCATTGTGAGGGAAATCAGCTCTGTCAACGCTTCCCGTCAGGAAATTGTTGGTCCCAACATCAACTGTGGAGTCTCCCAGCACAAACACAGCAGGCATTGTAGCTTCAGCCGAGCCTATCATCATCACCATCACCATAACTCCAATACCAGCAAGTGAAAGCACAAAGCTTCTTGTGGTGATCTCCATGGTAGTGTCTTTCTCAAACTCTTGTGTCTGATGTCGTTAGGTGAATGAATGAGTGGAATGCTGTGAGAACTGAGATGGTGGTGTTGAAATACTTATATGGGAAGGAATTTGTGGGGTTTTACAGTAGGGAATTTGGGAGGGGGAAATGGCAAGAAATAGTATCTGTATGTCGACAGACACTCTGTGTAGTATGAATGCTACTATTTGGAGTCACTCAGGTTGAAGATGACTAGAGTTTTGAGCTTCTGAGAAAGGAATCATCATGGAGTTATTATTAGATGAAGATTACTAAAATTGGTGCTTCTGCCATTGGAGAGGGAGAATTAACTTTTTGGGAAAGTCCTGGTCTTTCATTCATGTAAGCCTTGGGCCTCCACATACCTAGCTCAACAGTCTTCGGCCCAAGCACTATCAGGCTTTAGGTCCTCTAGCACCCAACTAAAAATTGGATTGAGCCTGAAAAGTAAAAAAAAAAATGTATATTTATTGTAAAACTCACAATTTAAATCTGATTTGCGCGAACCAATATGTCTCGATTTGTTACGTGCATGGATTGTCTTTGTATAAGACAATTGTCTCAAATTTCTTCGATATCTACACATATTTATACTCTTTGGACTTCTCAATATGGGGTAAATGACACATTTGGTCACTGAGATTACTAAATCGTGTCATATTTGGTCACTAGAAAAATTTAATATCAATTTTGGTCACTCGAATTACTGACACAGGTCACATTTGGTCACTCTCCTGTAGCCTCTGTCCAACTCCGGTCACTCGAATTATTGAAAAATGTCACATTTAGTCACTTGGATTACTGAAACATGTCACATTTAGTCACTCTCCCAAAAGTTTCCGTCCAACTACATTAATGGAGTTGGACGGAAACTGACGGGAGAGTGACTAAATTTGACCAGTTTCGGTAATTCGAGTGACCAAAATTGATATTAATTTTTTCTAGTGACTATACATGACACAATTTAGTAATCTCAGTGACCAAATGTGTCATTTACCCTCTCAATATGATATCCGAGCTACAATCTCAAAATAGCCTTCATTTCTCAAATAATTTCACTTTCTGGTAATTTTATTTAGAGAACATTTATCAATTGTTCTCCGTGTGAAAGTCGAGACATTATCTTCATATAAAAAAAATTACACATCAAACTCAAACGATCTAAATTTAAAACCCAAAAGAGCTTATCAAGTTGACTTCAATCTTGAAATGTTTCAATTTTCAAACGGTTGCTTATCTCCAAATAGCAATTCAAATAGGCGATAATTACTTGGGAATTAAAACGTAGAAAAAAAAAATCTAGATAAAATCTCCAATACCAGACAGGAAAAGTACAATAAATCGGCCTCTCAAGTTCCGATGGTTTCTCTAATAAAACAACCTAACTAAGATGAGAGTTACAGTTAATAGAAACACTCCTTGACTCTACCCTAACGATGATTAAGAAATAAGAACACGGTTAACCGAAGGAATATATAATTTAATTAAGATAAATCAGCCTGCAGTGTGAATCGAGATTTCTTGCTTGACATATACGAACTGATTAATTATCCTGACAAAAATGTTGTATAATAATAATTATTATTATTGTATTTTCCTGATGAACGCTAATCCCAGCAGTTTGCGGCGTAGAATAGGAAACTTAACGAACTTATTCGGGGCCGTTGGATGAGAAGGATGAGTTGGAAATCATAAAGTCGATGGAACCAGAACCGTCGGATGTGCGGAGGGAAAGTGGAGCGACCACGGAGGCTCCGTGCGCCGCCGTCCAGTGATCACGGGGTTCATCATCCGCCGTTGGTTTGGTTTGGTTAGCTGGCTGTGGCGGGATGACAGCTAGGATCAAAATGGAAATATAGTTAGAAAAAAAAAAAAAAATTGATGCCATGGAGTTTTTTTTTTTTTGTGAGAGATGCCATGTAGTTTTCATAACACATTAGAAAAATCCTACATCAACAAAATATAAAAGAGGACTAAATCAGTGTTATTATTCGTTAGGTTTTCATTCTTTTGGGTAGTGATTTTGGGATGCAAATACGGTTTATCATTGAATTTTGAATGCATAATATATGTTCTAGTTTTATAATCATTGTCTGGATTGCTTTTTACGTTTCATACGATATTAATTTTTCAATTGGATGAACAAGAAAATTTATAAATGATCAATTTATATGTTTTGACTTATTGAATAAGGTGTGTTTTACGAGCCATATAACTTTATTTTACATGTGTAGTAGTTTTAATCTTAATTTACCATGTACTTATATAGTGAAACCTTTTCCCACTAACACATTAAAAAATTAAAAACCCTTTTCAATTTTGGGCCAACAACAATAATCCGAATATATATGTCTATATATTCTATAAACAACAATAATCCAAATATTGGACAAGATATATCATCAAATGTGAAATCTTTTCATACTCTTATATATTAATCTTCATTTTTATTTTGATTTTTCCCAAACATAAAAAGAAATTTATACCCATTCTCAAACTCTCCCCTCTAAGATCCCCAACCTTGTTTGTTGTTTCCATAATTCCCTCACTTTAAATAAACTCGATCAGTTACTCCAAAACCAAAAACCCCACGAGAACAATTTCCCACCTCAGTGTCTCATCTCCTCCATTTTATTATCAGCCGCCAGTCTCCTCAATCCTTCAAACTCCTTCAATCCACTGTTTTCATACTTCCTTCTTCTCTGATCGTAGAGAAGAAGGAGGGAAAAGCTTCTTGAATCCCTCAATCTTTGATCATTTTCCAAGGAAGAAGAAGCAATGAGAACCAAGAACTGTCAGCTTCTGCTACTTTCCGCCGCGGTGGCATTGCTCTGTTCCGCCGCCGTTTTCGTCAGCGCCGGAAACCCCATCAGGAACTTCGACTGGACTGTCACTTACGGCGAAATCCAGCCGCTCGGCGTCAAGCAACGGGTAAACCCATTTTCCGTCTCCTCATTTTCTCCAATGGGTCGGGTCCAAATTTTGTTCGAAATCAAAATTCAGTTCTGAAATCGGATACTCAAAAGTTTTTTCAGTTAACAGAGTCAAAGGTTCTGCTTTGATGTTGTGCAGGGGATTTTGATCAATGGGAAATTCCCGGGACCGACGATCCAAGCCGTCACCAACGACAATCTCATCATCAACGTCCACAATCACCTCGACGAACCTTTCCTAATCTCCTGGTTCGTAATTGTCTCTCTCAGAAAAAAAAAAAAAACAGGGGAGTGAAAATATCATTTCGTTTTGACTCTGTTTTTGTGTGAACTGTAATGTCTTTTCTCAGGAGCGGGATTCAGAACAGGAAGAACTCGTACGTCGACGGAGTGTACGGAACGACTTGCCCGATCCCGCCGGGCCAGAACTACACCTACAAGCTCCAGGCGAAGGACCAAATCGGAACGTTCTACTACTTCCCTTCCCTCGCCTTCCACAAGGCCGCCGGTGGGTTCGGCGCCATCAATGTCCTCAGCAGGCCGATGATCCCCGTGCCGTTCGCTCCGCCGGCCGACGACATCAATTTCCTCGTCGGAGACTGGTACAGGACCGACCACAAGGCCCTGAGGGCCAAGCTCGATAGAGGTCACAAGATTGGTTTCCCGCACGGAGTTCTGATCAACGGCCATGGACCTCATTCCCCTCCCACTTTCACCTTCCAATCGGGTAAATAAATAAATTCTGATTGTTATTTTTGTTCCGATTTTACTTCAGGTACATCTTTTCTGTTACTATCGAATCTCGTCGATCTCGTAACAGCTTCTAATTCGATCGAAAATTATGTCGAATTTCGTTACTTACAGGTCAAATTTTCCTTCTTCAGGAAAGACGTACAGGCTGAGGGTCACAAACGTCGGGCTACAGAACTCACTGAACTTCAGGATTCAAGGACACAACCTGAAATTGGTAGAGGTGGAAGGAACTCACACGGTTCAAACGGTGTACTCATCGCTCGACGTCCACGTAGGACAGTCCCTGTCAGTTCTAGTGACAGCAGATCAGCCTGCCAAGGACTACAGGATCGTCGTGTCGACTCGTTTCGCGAAGAAGGTCCTCACCTCCACAGCGACTCTGCACTACCAAAACTCCGATGGGCCCGCCTCGGGCGACATCCCCAACTCTCCGAAGAAGATCAGCTGGTCGATCAAACAGGCTCTGTCCATCAGGTAAGTCTGTACATTTCTCTCTGGGGAAAAAATTTTTTTATCGAAAAAGGTCGCGAATTCGAACCTGACACGTTCGCGTATTGTTTTTTTTTTCTTTCCCCGTCGCGTGTCAGGACGAATTCTACTGCGAGTGCAGCGAGGCCGAATCCACAGGGATCGTACCACTACGGTCAGGTGAACATCACGAGGACGATCATCCTGCAGAGCGCGGCAGCTCAGGTCGACAGGAAGCAGAGATATGGGATCAATGGAGTGTCGTTTGTTCATCCTGATACTCCGCTGAAATTGGCAGATCATTTTAACATTCCTGGTGTGTTTGAAGTCGGCAGCATTCCTTATGCTCCTCCTGCGCAGCCGAGGAAGCTTCACTTGAATGCTTCGGTGATGGAAACCGATTACAGGACGTTTGTGGAGATTGTGTTTCAGAATCGTGAGAAGATTGTGCAGACTTATCATATCAATGGTCACTCTTTTTGGGTTGCAGGGTGAGTTCGATTGTGAAGATTTTGGGTCTTGTTCTTTTCATTTTGTGCTGTTTTTTTGGGGGGTTTTTTTGGTCGACATGGCTAAGTGAATGAACTTGGGTTTGGAATAGGATGGACTTGGGAGTGTGGAAGCCCTGAGAGCAGGAAGGGGTACAACCTCAACGATGCCGTGTCGCGATACACCGTACAGGTGAGTATATGACTATTCACATACTAGGGTTCTTGAAAGAGATTTTAGTACATGATTGAAAGTCTAGTTTCTTCTGAACATGATTAACATTATTGTTGTTGATCAATGATGTGGTTGGTAGGTATACCCGAGGTCGTGGACAGCCATCTTCGTGGCACTGGACAATGTTGGGATGTGGAATGTGAGGTCGGAGTACTGGCAGAGACAATATTTAGGAGAGCAATTCTATCTCAGGGTCTTCACCACATCGACCTCACTCAGGGACGAGTACCAAATGCCTGAGGACTCTATCCTCTGCGGCAGGGCCAAGAACATGAAGCCCTAAATTCCAGAGACGTAATTCTTGAGATTTGGGAGAGATTTTATTTTCCATTTTATCATTTAAAACTCTTGTATCTTGGATTGTGCTTTCTCTGGTTTGTTTTTCTTTTTTGGTTTGCTTTAGGTGGTTACGGTAGTATAGTATGTAATTCGGGACTTTTTTCTCCTATGTTCTTCTCTTTGGGTTGGATTGTCATCGTGATGATGAGGAATAGAAAGTTGAATGAGTCATATCTTTTAATCCAAATTTGTTTTCTTCCACCGAAATTCATTGTTACAGTTTATCAAAGTAGGCCATTAGTGAAGTGAATATGCCCTTTGTTGTCCTATGTAATGTTGGATATTGCTACAGAAGAAATTTGGGATACTTTGATGGATGGATGGAGCTCTGGGATGATGATCCATGAAGCCACGTATACACTAATCTGAGATGGGCTCAAACTCGTTATCCATTTCATCTAAGTCCAATCCAAGTGTACTCCAGGCCCAAAACACATTGTTGAAATCAGTATAGATTGTGTTTGATTATTAAATATCAAAATTTTTCTTTTTGCAAGAAAACAACCACATGCGTTTGCCAATTATGTCCAATCCAAGTGAATTATTAAACTATAGATAATTCAAGATGGGATTCCCAGGTGAAGATCAAATCTTGCCCTTGATATGTGGGGAAAAACCCCCCACATTATTTAAAGAAGAAAAGCCCTCTCATAGGAGACTTTAATCTAACATGTGAAAATTGAAATTATCCTTTCCCAAACACATCCTAGGATTTCTTTATAAATCCAATGTAAGTAGATAGTATCCATAGCCGATTTAACATGTCGATCATATTCACTATCAAGTTATTTAGTATCACAGTTATTATCGTCTGATGCTCCGATTACACTATTTGATTTCACACACTTTTTGACAGAATCTACGTGCTAACTAATCATTTGCCTAGTGTATTACCTTTTTTTAGTAGAATCCCTAATATTTTGTATGGGAGACAAAGACGCTACGAAATTATAACGTAGATGTAATAGAAAAATAAAAAATGTGTTAGTGTTGTGGTATATGATCAATGATTGAACTTCTCCTAACAATTCAGTTATTGGGATCAACTGGTTTTTAACATGGTATCAGAGCTTTCTGTGACTGAGAGGTCGAATCTCTATAACAAAAAAGTCGACTGAGAAGTTTTATGTTCGATTTCCGGTGACCCCATTTAACAAACACATGCCTGTACAAACTTCAACTCAAAAACTTTTGACGTAGCAATCTCTGTAACAAAAAATCAGGAAAAAGGTCAAAAGCTGCCTCCATCTACTTTGTCATCTTCTTCAGTCTTCACTTTCAAAGTCTCAAAGAAGAAGAAAAAAACGTTTCTCCATCTTCAGAGATTTCCTTTACCGCCCATGTCTCTCTCTCTCTCTCTCCCCCCCCCCCCCCCCCCCCCCCCCCCTACCACTGCAGTGGGCCCTCCTCCGCCATTGTCCTTCTCCTCCCGCAAGGTTCAGAAAACAAAAGAGAGAAAAAGCTTAACTCGTCCATTTTTTAATGGGGCTGGCAAACAGTTGGATTCAACTCTCTCTGCTGCTTTCTTCCGCCATTGGTATTTAATGCCTGCACCTGCAATCGTTTCATGTTTTGTCCTGTCGCCCTTGCTGGGTTCGTTCACATGTCCTAAGATCTGCAGTCTCTCACTGCCTGGATCCATTATTTTAGTATACTTACTCTGATTTGCCGCCCCGGGTCGGGGGCTTTATTATCAAACACTTCGAAAGCTCGTTTCTTTCCTACTCGCACCCGCCCAAGTTCGCAAATGGGGAAGCTCTTCTGCTCTTCCTGCTGCCTTCTCTTCTTCTTATTGCTCTGCTTCGAACTGGGTTCGGCGGGGAACGTGACGTACGATGCCCGCTCTCTCATTGTCGACGGCCATCGGAAGCTTCTCATCTCTGCTTCCATTCATTACCCGCGCAGTGTTCCCGCGGTACTTTTTCCCTCTTTTTCGCGCGCGACCCGTTTGATGAAATGCCTGAAAGACGGTTTCTTTATGTCTTTTTTTTTTGTGTGTGTTTGAGGTTCTTGTTCTGAGTAATGTGGTGTCGTGTGGCAGATGTGGCCGGGGCTAGTGCAGACGGCGAAGGAAGGAGGAGTGGATGTGATTGAGACGTATGTTTTCTGGAATGGCCATGAGATTGCTCCTTCAGTTGTGAGTAATAAAATGATTTGTTCGTAAATTCGTAATCGTTATCATCGACCTGGGGGAGATTTGCTCTGTTTTGGCTCTGTTGACGGTTTTCTTGTTTTGGGTAATGTTTAGTACAATTTTGAAGGAAGATTTGACCTGGTCAAATTTGTGAAGACTGTTCAGCAGGCTGGAATGTACTGTATTCTTCGTATTGGCCCTTTCGTTGCAGCTGAATGGAATTATGGGTATGCTCATCTATCACCAATGAATCTTTCCAATTACAGTAATGAATCTTCCTTGGTTTTTGTTTCTGTTTCACATGAATAATGGACCCTTCTCTCCAATTTTAAATTGTGTAGAGGTGTGCCTGTTTGGTTGCACTACATACCTGGAACTGTCTTCAGAACAGATAATGAGAACTTCAAGGTATTGGAAATTACTTCAACTTGGATGCCTAATTTACTGGCAGGTCAGTTGTATCTTAAGTCTGGATGGTAAAGTGATTGTCTTTTGATGATCTGCTTTACTTGCTTGGGTTGCAGTTTTATATGCAGAGATTCATGACCTACATTGTGGATCTCATGAAGAAAGAGAAGCTTTTTGCTTCTCAGGGAGGTCCTATCATCTTGTCACAGGCAAGTATATGACCTATCAATTTACTATTCAAGACGAATAATTTTTCATTCTCCGCGGTTGATCATGGCTGGAAGTTGGTTTCTTTCCAATTGCAGGTGGAAAATGAATATGGATATTATGAGCAAGGCTATGGAGAAGGTGGGAAGAGATATGCCCAGTGGGCAGCTAAAATGGCTGTTGCTCAAAATACTGGTGTTCCCTGGATAATGTGCCAGCAGTATGATGCTCCTGACCCTGTGGTGAGAGGCTTATAAAATTTGGCATCCTAAGTATGTTTTAGATGTTCTGTAATTAGCTGAAACTTACAGTTATCAGTGAGTTTCTAGGATTATTATTCCATGAGATGCAGTAACTGGTTTCATTTTGGTTAATATTTGCGAGCATTTATATGCTATGCTGCTTCTTCATTTTCTCTTTATTTAACTTGTTTCCTTGCTTTTATCATGCAGATTGATACCTGTAATGGGTTTTACTGCGATGCATTCAAACCTACTGCTCCACACAGGCCGAAGATTTGGACCGAGAATTGGCCTGGATGGTAATTACTGATCCTATTTTGTTTACCCATGTTATCAAGTTAGCTCCTGAGAGTTAATGTAAGAGTCATGATTTGGCCATTTTTCCACTTTCAAAAGTTTATCATGGCTCCTAATTATATTACATATCTTCGTTGCTAATAGTGCCGTTACTACTTCCAGGTTTCAGTTATTTGGGGCCCCTAATCCTCACAGGCCAGCTGAAGATGTTGCTTTCGCTGTTGCTCGATTCTTCCAGAAAGGTGGCACTGTGAATAACTATTACATGGTAACTTGTTCTTCTCAATCGCTTCGACCTAGCTGTATATGATGTTGTAGCTCAGTTGTTTAAACCAGTTGGTCCTCTGATTTTCAGTACCATGGAGGAACAAATTTTGGTCGCACTGCTGGTGGACCATTTATTACCACCAGCTATGACTATGAAGCTCCAATCGACGAGTATGGTGAGTGACCGATATGTTAAGTTTTCTCTTTGCATTTGTAGTAATGCAAACTGAGTACACATACCTAAGGGACACCTATAGTCTAATACAAGCATCATGCCTGTTTTCTTGTGGTTGATTAAGGTTTACCTAATCCTTCCGAAATGGGGACACCTTAAAGAACTCCACAGAGCTATAAAGCTATGTGAGAACTTGTTGCTAACCAGCAACCCGGTCAACATCTCCCTAGGCCCTTCTCAAGAGGTAACTTCTGCATCTTAGCCTGCATTAATGTAAAATATTGTTTCCTTGCCATTTGGGCAACTTCCTGAACCATTTCCTATTTCAGGCTGATGTTTATGCTGATGCATCGGGGGGTTGTGCTGCCTTTCTAGCTAACACGGATGATAAAAATGACGTGACTGTCTCATTCAGGAATGCATCATACCACTTACCGGCCTGGTCAGTCAGCATTCTTCCTGACTGCAAGACAGAAGTATACAATTCTGCAGAGGTACATCATCCCGATATGCAACCACTTCGTGCATCATAGAGAAGCAACTCTTTGTGAAACTTCAACATATAACTCATCCTTTTTTAATTGAACAGGTAACATCCCAGGCTTCTGTGGTTGAAATGGTTCCAGAGGACTTGAAGCCCTCAGTACAGTCATCAAAGGACTCCAAAACCCTGAACTGGGAAGTGTTTGTGGAGAAAGCCGGTATTTGGGCAGAAGCTGACCTTGTTAAAAGCAGCTTGGAGGATCACGTCAACGTTACAAAAGATGCCAGTGACTACCTCTGGTACACAACAAGGTTGGTTGTTACACTCAAAAAGAGTCAGGCAGTGCTATTTTCTTATTATGCAAATAATATACACCCAATGGCCTACAACTTATAATTATTATATTTGTTGACAGCATTACTGTCAGTGAAGATGAAAAGTTCTTAAAGCAAGGACGGTCTCCAGTTCTAATGATTGACTCAAAGGGTCATGCTGTCCATGTCTTTGTCAATGGGCAACTTCAAGGTTTTTATTTCTTTTGGTTTCTTCAGAAGCAAGTCCACTCTTGTTTCTGACCTCCTCGACTGAGAATAACTTTGATATGATATTCAGGTAGCGCATCTGGCAATGGCACAGTTTTCCCTTTCAAGTATAAGAAACCTATAGCTCTCAAGGCAGGGAAGAACGAAATTTCTCTGCTGGGAATTACTGTTGGATTACCGGTAAGAGACTCTTGCATTATTGTTTTTGACAACATTGTTGCTGGGTATTCTCTATTCAACATTCCTATTTACCTTCTGTTGTTAGACTGCTGGTCCTCGATACGAATGGATCCCAGCTGGACTTACAAGCGTTGTGATCAAGGGGCTTAACAATGGACCAGTAGACTTGTCAAAGAACACTTGGACTTATAAGGTACATTTCTCCTCTTGAGGAAAGCTTCTACTTTGAGTTATACGGAGGAGTGTTAAATTCTTTTACCTCTTCTGGCAGATTGGTCTTGAAGGAGAAAAGCTTGCTATATATACACCAGGTGGTATGAATCGCGTAAATTGGGTTGCAACTCCAAAAGTGCCTAAAATGCAGCCTTTGACTTGGTACAAGGTAATCATCTAGTTGAGTTAAATTGCTTTTTCTCCATGAAATGAACACAATACACTAAGTCGGTAAAACCCATTTTTTCCACCTATGAAAAACTTAAAATATTCGACAGACCATCGTGGATCCACCAACTGGAGATGAGCCTGTAGGACTAGACATGCTATACATGGGGAAAGGTCTTGCTTGGTTGAATGGAGAAGAAATAGGCAGATACTGGCCGAGGAAAAGCCCTAAAAATGGCAAATGTGTTGAACAATGTGATTACAGGGGCAAGTTCATGCCGGATAAGTGTCTCACTGGATGCGGGAAACCCACACAACGATGGTAAAAAAACTAACCAAACAGCAGTTTCCATACATTTTCTTTGAAATGTACCAACTCTTTAGGCTTCTGACTTGACAAAACCTGCTGTTTCTTGGGTGATAAGGTACCACGTCCCTCGGTCATGGTTCAAGCCGTCTGGCAACACTCTGGTGATCTTTGAAGAGCGAGGAGGTGACCCCACAAAGATCAAGTTTTCGAAACGAAGAACCTCTGCAGTATGTGCCTCCACCAGTGAGGATTACCCCTCTGCCACCCTCCATCTCAAGTGCCCAGAAGACACCCACATCTCGAAGGTGAAATTCGCCAGCTATGGAACTCCGAGGGGAGCCTGTGGATCGTACCAGATGGGAGATTGCCATGATCCCAACTCCGTTTCAGTTGTCGAAAAGGTGAGCAAGCAAGCAGAACATGACCATAATCTCGTTTGGAATGTTAGTTTATGGTGATATAAAGAAAGTCTTTTCTTTTTTGCCCCATTTTCGTTGCAGGAATGTGCAAAGAGAAACGAGTGCAAGATCCAAGTATCTGCACAAAAGTTCAGCAGCAAAGGGAATTGCTCAGCTGGGAGAAGGAAGCTTGCTGTGGAGGTAATCTGCAGCAGCTGATCATGAAGCTGAGAATTTTCAACGGTTTAGTGTGGTGGTGATGATGAAGCTAGGAAGTGGAGGAACGGAGATGACTGAAAGCCTACGTTTTATTATTCACTACGAGAAGCTGTAAGGCTACCCTGAGGTAAAGCCAGGAATTCACAAGTTTTGTTTGTTAGGGGTAAAAAAAGAGCAGGAGAGCAATGTAGGAGGAAGAAACCATTGATTTTTACCCCAAAATGTTTGTTATCATCCACCAACAGCAACATGCCGATGGAATACTGGCAAAAAGCACGAATTGCCTCGCAAAATCTAAAAAATAGAGGTAAAACGTGGAATTTATGATGGATAATAAGTTAGAATATAAGAAAAAATCAAGTTCTTATTCAAAAAATAAATAATGAGCGAACGAGGGCTAGCCTAGTTGGTGAGTCCGCACACTTTGCATTGTAAGGTTGTGTATTTGATTTCTAGTGATGACACTTCCTCTTTCCCTCTAGTAGTACTATCCTGTAACAGGTTTTTATAAATAAAAATAATTTGTTATTTTTCTATTAAAGTGATGTAGCTCACAATATATCTAGGAAAACATATTCCAAAGATGTCATTTTGAAGTATAGATTCAATATCGGGTGGGTGTGGTTCACGTACTTATGCATACCAAAAGAAAATGTGATAAATTGTGCTTCGATAGTCATCTGGTTGCCCTTACATTTTTCGGTTTGTACGAGTGAAACGTGTTAAACCATCTCTCAGTCAATTTCATTCCTTAGAATAATGGATGGAGAGTGACACAAGAGTGAAATAGATTTATTATTTTCTCGAGAAGATGAAACGAGGGATGGGAGATCGTCCTAATCCTACCCACTAAAGAGAGAACTTGATTCGCTGATTGATTGGTGCTACCTAGTCGTTGATTCGAAGTCTTCCAAGTTGTTCTATAACTACATTGAAACCAATTTGTTTTTCTCTGAGTTTAGTTGGGTTTGGAGCCGCAAAGATTATTATATTTCTATAACAAAATTTAAGATGATATTGCATGTCAGATCGATATCTTTACACGTGACTGCACTATTCCTCCTATTTTTTGGGAACGATCACATGATATCAATCGATCACGTAGATCTCTATTATTATTATGATATGGATTTATCTGTGTTCTAATCCATGTTCATCTTAATCATTGTACGGTTTTCGCAATTGATGATAAAAACGACAAAAAACGTGAATCACAATCCGCCTCGCAATCGACAAGAATAATAATTATACAATGATTGTAAATATGCATACCACATTAGCTCTATTGTCGTTATATATTTGATTTTGGATCGATCTGTACTATAATTTCATGTCGTCTTCCGCATTTGATAATATAATGATAAAAATGCGCATCACAATTACCTGGTGAGCGACAAGAATGATAACTATATATACAATGATTGTAAATGTACATACCACATTGGCAGTTGGCACATTCACTATGGTATGAAACTTTAAGTTGACATTTCAGAGTGGGTAGATTCTGTTCCAACCTACAAATTAATGTCATAAATGAAATGTTAAGCCGTTTTCTTGTCAGTTTGTTTCCATAGCTTTTTTGCATGGAACTACACTGCCATTTGTAAGAAATAATTAAGGTCAGATTCTCACCATGCACTATTTTTAGTCATTCACATTTATGAACAGTGAATTTTCTGGTACAAGTCATGAAAGAAGTAATTACTTTGTTACCTTAAAAGTGTTTGTCGATTTTCCTATATAAAGCACTACGAAATTAAGTAATTTCTCCATCCATTTTCTTTCCCCATAGGTGCACTTCTTCTTTACATCCTTCCAAAAGCTTAGCCATTTCCTCCCAAACGAAATCCTCTGATATGGCTTTCTTCGGTGGATCCAACTCGATATCATTCAATTCAACTCCCGAAAGTATCGCCCCGAACCAAAATTCGATCGATTCTGGTACCAATGACCCACTCCTTACCCTCGGACTTGCTTGTTCGAGTACTCCTACAACAATTCCGCTGGGCGAGAGAGAGCATTCATGCACATTTATACCAGGTCAGTTCGGTGTCAACAAACGTATCACAAAAGTCAAGAAAACGTATGTTACCGCATACAGACCCGGACCACACAATCACATAATTGCGCCGCCCGATATCCTCAACCAAAACTCTCTTCCTGAAGGTTTTGTCGTCACCAAAAAAATCGAGAAAACTGTCGAGTATTTCTTCCCGTCCCCTCCAATTTCAACTCACCACCATTTGCATTACCTGACCAATGCATCTCATCACCCTCAAACCTCTTCAACCCATGATTACAATTCTCCTCCTCCTCCTCATCATCATGTCCAACCCCATCAACCTAGCTACCCAAAAGCTTCCATCAACAACACCCCCAACACCATGAACCATCCCTTCACATCATCCAAACATTTTGTGCCTCACACCGAAACCCACCCAACTCAGCCCAACCAGTCCAAACCACACGGGAAGGACAGTGTTGTTATTCTCGACGACCATGAATTCGTTCCTCTTGTTTCAGACGACGACGATGTTAACTACTTCGATTCTGATGACGATTTCGCAGATTACATGGGAGAAGACGAATACTCGATCGACGACGACGAGGAGATGATACACCGATCTAACCCGGGGAGAACTCACAGTCTCCCTCACCGGAAACACGGGCCGTATGGATGCCCGAGGTGTAACGAAGTGCTCCCAACTTCACAAGCATTTGCTGCTCACGCCCGTGGTCATTACAAGAACGAGAGCAAAGAAGAGAGGGATGAGAGACTTGCTGCGAGGAAGAGGAGGAGCCGGTTTGCCTTCGTGGGCTCATCGTCGTCGTCTGGCGATGGACCGACGACGACGACGACGACGACGTTGCCTCCTGGAAAGTACACGGTGTGGAATGACCATGATCCTCATATTCCGCCGGTTATAAGGAACATAACGGGGAAAGAATGGAGGGAGATTCAGAGCATGGAGGGAGCTAGTTCGAGCCAGGCAGACGATCTTGATGAGCCGTAGAAGGGCAGAGAAGAGGCAGAGGAAGAGCAGGAGGTTGAATGAAAGGCATGTGTGTTTGTGTGGTTGAGTCAAAGATGAGAATAAATGTTGTTTGTTGTTTCTCGTTTCGAAGTTATGTGCTTTTGTAAGATCCATGTGTGTTGTTGTTTATGTACTTTGTTTTTTTGTTTCAATGTAGTGTGGTAACCAAGGTTGTCAACCCGTGGGTTGACCCGGACCCGGTCGAGCTAGTGGGTCAAGGGTTAATGGGTCAACCGGTTTAGCCCGGTTTGGCCCGGAAATATAGAAAGAGTCATTATATTGTATTTATCCTCATAAATTATATCAAATCTTATCTAACATATGAGTTATAACATATAATATTACACCAAAATAACATATCGTATTAGATCCAACATATAGTGAAAATTCACACACACTTATATAACATAAATATTCAAATGTTCACCTTAGTATTCCCAAGATTGAGTTAGGCGAAAAGAAAAATTGGAAAATAGGCGCATTTCGCAAACTAAAGAAAAAAATGACACAATTTGACCTCCAACCCGGTACCTTATAGCGGTCGGCCCGGCGGGTGCGTGCGGCCCATTTTTCTCACCGGGTCAGGGTCAAATTGGGTCGACCCGTGGGTCAACCCGCGGGTTGACAACCTTGGTGGTAACTGGTAATGAATGATCTCTGGCCTCATTTCGAACGTTTACTTTGATGAGATGGTGGTTAGAGGGTGGAAAGCATTCGATTCGGTCAGAACCGGGTCGAACTGAGATAGGACTGGATCAAAAATAAAGAAAAAACGAGAGTAAGAAATTTGACTGATAGGATGTTTTGTTCATTTGGTTCAATTCTGTTCAATTAAAATTTAATTTCGGCTTACTTTTTCTCTATAAGTAAAATTCATACGACTGATTTATCACTCATATTTGAGAGGATGTGAATGAAAATTCACGAAAAAGGATCCACGGCTAGTATTAAAGGAGGAAATTATGCAAATACACAAATTATACATCGGATTCGTTAGTCCTGCATACGAATGTACATTGGATGTAGACATACATGGTAGTATATTATCAATTTTTTCCACATGTATAGTAATACCAATTAAAGGAATTGAACAAAATCTTACTCCATAAATTGATAGGATATAGTTTCCCAACTTAATTTTTGGGTCTATCATATTCAACCCTTTATTTTGGACAATAACTAATCACAATACCATAACTTAATGATAAAAAATACACTGTACAACTATTAAGAAACATGTGCCAGCTTATCATCTTAGTTTATAAGTAGAGAGCCTAAATATCAAATCATTCTCATCATACACTAGTAGATTGAAATCTTCTCTCTCGCATGCTCTAAGGAAGTACTAACTAGGATATCGAAATGGAGAAGACATCCATCAAACTCGTCTCGGTATTGGTTGCAGTGCTCTTTCTCGTTGCTCAATGTGCGTTACAATGAGTTCCTCTCGAATTTTGATCTTATGCTTTTTTTGCTTTACTCTCTAACAGTTATTTCTCGTTTCTTTCATATAACACGAATTGGAAAACTATATTGCAGATGGGGGAGTGGAGGCCAGATCGACATTAACTCCATGCGAACAAGACGGGGATTGCGCAGCTGTTTGCCCAACTATCTGCACGGTTCATGAAACATGTGAATGTTACAACAAGATATGCAGATGTCTTGTGGATAAAGTCATTAATCCGGTTGTCATGGGGATAAAAAATCAATAACCGGTTATATGAGGAGGTTTTTTGTGAGTGTATTTGATGTTGATGGAACCTTTTAGAAATTGAGGATGGTTTATTTCAATTTCAGCGAATTTTTATGAATAAAGCAATTTTATTTCATAGATGAAACAAAAAATAAGAATACACAACCCTTAAGTATGCACTCTACCACATACCACTTGGGTCAAGTAGCAACTAGTTATTAGTTTGGGTACCTCAATAATAATGACCCAAAGTTGAGGCACCAAAATGAAACTTATTAATCCTTCATTTTGATGAATAAAATCGTGAAAAGGGCGTGTCGATAATACACTTTTTTTTTTGTAAGAATTGATAATACACTCTTAATTTTAGGGTAATGGATATACCTTAACATAAACTAGATATTATCACAATTTAATTTTAATCACTGAGATTAATCTAATATGATATTTTAACCTAACTACACAATTTGTTCATGCATTTTATTGTTGGACAATGGACGCTTATATAATGCTTTAGCATTTATTCAGAAAAATATTATGAGTCTTGGAGATTTCTAAGTCATTATAATTTTATTTAGTATCGAACACCCACATATCATTACAATAGATCGTATCAGAACCAAAATTAAGAGAGTAACCTAGGTTAGCAAAAAAATGCAGCTTGATCATCAGATTATTTGTCCTTTAAATTTGTGTTTATAATTGAAATTAGATGGTTTCTGAAGTTGTATAAAACAAGTTTTCGAATTATTGAAACTACGAGAGTAGAGCTACAATCCATCTAGTGCATAAAGCATTGCATTATTGGGAGAACGAAACAAAATTATCGAAAATTTTATCACATATCATTAATTCTGTCATTCAGACTATCTCACAAACAAATCATAAGAATTCTAATACATACTTATAAGTCCCCACCACCAAAACTCGGAAAGAAACTCAAATTCAAATTTAATTTGTAGTAAACATTTCTAGGTAGGAGGTGCCACTTGGAAGGTTTCAAGAAAGGAAAACAAGAGATGAGAGCTAAAAAATAATAGAAAATAGAGTTTTGTTTTGGTTTCTAATTTCGGATTTGTGCTTTCCCAAACCACCTCTTTTGATCTTGAAATAACGAATCAGTTAATCACTGATACCACTCGATTTCTTATAATCCACCGCTCAGACATTGGAAATTGTACAAGTTGCTATTGACAACCCACATTAATGGCTCGACGAATTGTTATTTTTACTAAATAGTTATTTTTGGAATCAATCAGGCCGAACTAAACTGAACTAAACAATAGGGTTTGTATCTAATAACAAAGGGGGCAAAATCTAGCACTAATACCAAAGGGCCTCCGAACATTCAATTGGTAAATGTGGGTGGATGAAAGAAGAAAAAACACACACCCTTGTAGGTAGGGGTGGAAATCGGTACGGTATCGGTATCCCAATACCAAATACCGAAATCCCGAATACCGAATTACACCCTAAAGTCAATCCCAATCCCTAAATAATTTCGGTATCCCAATCTCAATCCCTAAATATTTCGGTATCCCAATCGGTACTTCGGTATCCCAATCGGTATTATCAAATACGAAATTAATTACCTTTGCAATTAATAATTAAATATATAAATTAGATTTTATTGTTTAATTTACGGGAAAAAGACTAAGCAAAGAGTTTTGAATTAGGATATTATTATGGAGAGTGGAGGAGAGGAGACATCTCAAGTTCTTGTTATTGATAATCTTTAATTTGACGAATTAGAGGTTGAGCGACGACTATTAATAATGATGGAATGATCTGTGTATAATTAAATGACACTTTTGGTGGTTGAGGGTCATTTAGTAGTAAATGAGAGAGTTTAGTTGAGAGGATAAAATACAAACTAGCTTATATTTCGGTATTGATCGGTATTTCGGTATATCCCGATCCCAATCCCGTAATCCCTAATACCGAATAACAATTGAAATTCAATCCCAATCCCAATCCCAAGAAATAATACGTGTATTCGGTAATACCAAATATAGACAAATTCGGTACGGTATTCGGTATATCCCAAATACCGGTACCAAACTTCCAGCCCTACTTGTAGGTACATAAAAGGTATGAATATATCATTTTTATAGATAATATCAATAAGATAAAGTTAGATACAAAGTATCTAACTTGTTGTATTACTATCAAATTTTTTCTCTCCAAATGTATAATAGTAACAACAATAATAGAAATTGCAAATCAAGATATTCAATGAATTAATAGATAAGCATACGCTTAAGATATGAGGATTTGGATTTACGTACCATATTCACCCCTTCTATTATGGGAGAATCATTAATCACGATACTATAACAAATAGAAAATAATACCCATACAACTATCAACAAACATTTCACCTTATCATCTCGTCGCTATAAATACCTCTCAACATAGCTTCGACGTGAAATCATTCCCACATCCTAGCAGATCGAAATCTCCCACCACCCGATCTCATCATCATCATCGTCTCAAGTTGCTCTAAGAAATTCCGCTACGTTAACGAAAAATGGAGAAGACATCCATCAAACTCGTCTCTTTCTTGCTCGTCCTCAGCTTCCTAGTCGCTCAATGTAACTGGCTTCTTCTTCTCCTCCTTAATCTCTTCTCATTTCGTTTCGATCGTATTTTTGCGTAAATAAGACATGTAGTTTGCGAATTATCGAGATCGATTATTTATGCAGATGGCGGAGTGGATGCGAGGGCGTCGACGTTGTCTCAATGCAAGAAGACAAGGGATTGTGGTAGCATCTGCGCAGCTATCTGCAGCCCTGGAACTACGTGTGCATGTGTCGACAACTTCTGTAGCTGCAATCTGGCCGCCGCCAGTGTCGCCGGCGGCGGTCGTCGTCAGTCCAGCTCTATCACCGGAGCCGAGCTAATTAATAATTAAGTTCAAGGAAAGATTGTACTTGGATGGTGAATTGGGGATGATGTCGATTTCACTAGCTTGTGGTTCTAAATGGTATTTTTGTTTAAGAGTTATTGCCAAAATAAAATTTGTTATTTTGTTTTGAATACTATAATAAATAAAAATGGTTATGACAAATTGACAACGAATCCTGATGGGTATTCCCATTATACAGACCATAAGTAACTTATGGGGATGGAGGGAAAGAGTGGTGAGTATGTATTAGTTTGAGGACTCCAATTAGTAAAAATAAAAATTTGAGGGCTGCAAAAGTTATTTCTAACCACACAGTTAGTGCAATGCAGAATAACGTTTTACACTCAATAAATTAAAAAAAAATAACACCCCTTCCTTGCTAACGGAAACCCAATGGGTAACAGTTTCATATGCGGGTTTGGACTTTCTAGTTGGGCCCAATATCCTTAACAGGCTCTTTTCCAGTGGGCCTGGTTAACACCTTAAAAGAAAGATCTATTCGACGGCCAGCGACGCAATCGGTAAAGAATTCCCCGTACACTCGAAATAAAAACCTACGCAGCCGCTCTTTTAAGTTTTAACTTTTAAGCCCGATCACGATCACGATCAGTTGCCGGGTTCTTCAATTTCCCGCCGCCCCCGCCACCGCCACCACTACGGCGGCACTACCTCCAGCGTCTCTAGCTACCCCGCATTGTTTGCTTACCGCCTCCTCCCCGTCGCCGATACAAGCTTGAAGGTGTTAATCCTGCTCTCTTACTTTAACTAATTCCGTTTCACGAATTTGGGCTCTGTACGCTTTCACGTCGGATTTCCCTTTTCCCGGTCCCGGTATTTCAATATCTCCGACGAAAGATTCAAGTTTTCCGAGTCTTAATGAAATCCCTCAATTGGGTTTTATCGATGATACGGTAGAGAGGGTTTTGGTCGGCGGAGAAACAATTTTTCGTTTTGTTGCAACTTCTGCGATTTAGGGGTTTATGCCGAACTTGCAGAATTAAGCGTTGTGGGTGTGTACTTGTTTCCGTTGTGTTTTGACCAGGGAATTGTCCACCATGGTGGAAGATCAAGATGCAGGGATGTTCAATGTCAAACAGACAATCGGCACGGTGCTCTGCTGCAGATGCGGCATCAAAATGCACCCGAACGCGGCCAACATGTGCGTGAGTTGCCTGCGATCGGAGGTGGATATCACCGAGGGTTTACAGAAGCATGTAGTTATCTCCCACTGTCCAAACTGCGACCGCTACCTGCAGCCACCCAAGAACTGGCTCAAAGCCCAGTGGGAGTCAAAGGAGCTCCTCACGTTCTGCGTCAAGCGGCTGAAGAATCTCAACAAGGTGACATTGATCAACGCCGCGTTCGTGTGGACCGAGCCACACTCCAAGCGGATCAAGGTCCGCCTGACAATCCAGAAGGAGGGCCTCGAGAAAGCTTACGTCGTTGAGTACGTCCAGCAGGACCATTTGTGCGAGTCTTGCTCGAGAGTCGCGGCCAATCCGGACCAGTGGGTTGCATCAGTGCAGCTCCGCCAGCATGTTTCTCATCGCAGGACGTTCTTCTACCTCGAGCAGCTGATACTGAAGCACGATGCTGCTTCCAAGGCTATAAAGATCAAGCAGATGCATCAGGGCATCGACTTTTTCTTTGGGAACCGTAGTCATGCTGTGAAATTCATGGAATTTCTAAGGAGCGTTGTCCCGACCAAGAGTCGTGATGATAAGCAGCTGGTTTCTCACGATGTCAAGAGCAGTAACTACAACTACAAGTACACTTTCTCGGTCCAGATCAGCCCGGTTTGTCGCGAGGATTTGATTTGCTTGCCTCGGAGGCTTTCTTCCAGCTTGGGCAACATTGGGCCTCTTGTTGTCTGCACCAAGGTGACCAATAGCATTGCGCTGCTCGATCCTTTCACATTGAGACACTGCCATCTGGACTCTGATCAGTATTGGAGGCATGGTTTCAAGTCCTTGATGACCAGTAGGCAGCTAGTGGAGTACATTGTGCTGAATATTGAAATCACCTCGCCACCAATGGAGGCGAAAATCGGTGGTGCCAGGTACCTATTGGCCGATGCAGAGGTGGCTCGATTGTCTGATTTTGGTCTCAACGACAACATCTTCTGGGTGAGGACTCATCTGGGACATCTTCTGAACACGGGCGATCATGCCCTTGGTTATGACCTCTGTGCAGCGAATAGCAACGATAGCGAGCTGGAGAAGTACAAGAGTAGTCTCGAGGTGCCGGAGGTGGTCCTGATAAAGAAGAGCTACGAAGAGGCGTGGCAGAGGAAACGAGGGAAGCCACGGAAGTACAAGCTCAAGCACCTGGAGATGGAAGTCGAAGACAGAGCCAGGGTCGACGAAGAGAAGGAGAGGTCGGATTACGAGCAGTTCCAGAGGGATATCGAGGACGAGGAGAATCCCGAGCTGCGGTTCAATCTGTCTCTGTACCGTAAGGAGTACCAGGAGGAGTCAGAGGCCGGCTCAATGGCTGATGATGCTGCTGCAGCTCCGTTGGAGGAGCTGCTTGCTGATCTTGTGTTGCTTGATGAGAGGTGATGAGGAGGACGATGATGGCATGAGGGAATGTGGGAAGTGAGGGGAGAGTGTGTTGGTTGTGTTAATCAAGAAGTAATTTTGAGTTGCTCTTTTTTATGCGCCATTAGTGTAGAGTTTTGGGTTCTTACAAAAGCACATAACTTTGAAATGAGGGAGGAAACAACATTTATTCTGATTTTTTAGTCAACCTGAGCATGGTGGAGCATGGCGAGACCATTGTCAACAATATGATGATGTTTGCGTTCAGCACAACCATTTTGCTCAGGAGTTTCTGGGCATGAGGAGCGATGAAGAATGTCATGGGCGGAGAGATACGTTGAAAGTGATTGGTATTCACCTCCTCAATTCGATTGAAATGATTAGATTGGGAGACGGAAAAAATTCGTCTACTAATTGATGGAATTGTACGAAAGCACTTAGTAATTGAGATTGTATTGTACAAAATAAATTCAAGAGAATTTGCTATAGTGATCATAAAAGAGAATATAGTAAGATTGGGAGTCATAGAAAAAATAGGGGTTGGACCCCATACGTCGCTACAAACAAACTTAAGAGGAGCAATGACACGAAAGAACGCAATGAAAAATGAAAATTTGTGAATTTTACCAAACGAACATCCATAACAAAGAGAAGACTAGCTAGAATTGAATTTTATTTGACGGTGATGAAAAGCATGTTTAACAAGGCGGAGATTAACATGTGCCATATATCCAAAGACGCAACAAAAGATTGAGCAGGAAAGGAACGACAAAGAGACAAAGGGAAAGAGTAGAGGTCATCTTCATCAAAGCCTTGATAGAGTTCAACGCAACGCAGCTCGTGGGCAAGAATCAAGAAGCGTTAGCTTGTGAATTTTTTTCGTATGAAGTATCCGAAAACCGTTTATAAAAATCATTTATAAAAATCGAACCTCATTTGTTCGTGATGTTGTGTCCGGTCATGTGGGTTTTGGTTTATTAACCGTTGTTTCTTAGCGATCTTCAAAGTTAGTCCAACTAAAACCGATTAGGAACTTATTTGGTTATTAACAAAAGTTCAATCTAGATGTTGCTCAACGAATGCGCGCCTCTTCTAACCGGTCTCGCACTCTCGCCCAGGCTGAAGGTCAACAACCATAGAGTTGAGCCGGCAACCAACATCACATGTTACCTGAACGGTCTAATGCAAACAATTTAAGAGAATACTACTACTAAGAGATAACAATAGTAGAACCTCCTCCTCAACTCTATTTCAAATCCTCGGCATATGGGCGATGAAGTTTTGGGTTCATGCGATTACTCGATTGAAGCCAACCCTCCTTGTACGAGCCATCATAGCTGCCTCGTAATTTTTCATAGTTGGGAATTGGAGTAGGCCAGAGCTGCGGGAAAACCATGGAACCCGATTACCCTCATAGCCATTTTTCTTCTCATGCTAAAACTTTCACGCTCAATTTTTCTCGCACAGTTCAACAGGAAAAGGGTAAATGTTGGATCTTTACCTGACATAATGGAACTTGTGTATAGACCTTCAACTTACTCTTCAGCTATTAGTTGGCACTCACCAAATCAAAGAACGCTTACATGGATGGATACAACATGACTTTAATCAGAATGAATATTCAATTTATCACAATCAGATATGGCTTCATTGCTGTAATTCATTACATGGTAGAATCAGCGGCGTTGTAAATGATGAACACACAATGCACATTGATCAAGTACTTTATACAGAGTAATCACTGAGCACAATACCTAAATTTCTCCCTACAAAGTCGTGTAGCTTCGAGCGCCTGCATACATCAACATAACCATTAGACAGATGATAACAGGTGGATATACATCAGTCACCTCACCCTGGACCTAACTACCTGATTGTGAGTAACAAGTGAAGAATCAAAGAATGATGCCCTCCTCATCTTCCAGTTTCATCCTCTCGTACCCTTGATTAGTTTGCATAGCATTGTCTCTTCGTTTGAGGAACCAAGTTCATGAGACTGAGAAAATGAGGTTCAGCTTCAGAATTCATATCCAAAAAGAAAGCAGAAACTCATCGCATCCTAATGGAACGAACCTAAACCCTCCTCTTCTGCTACTAAAAGCTGGAGCCTTTCATGGCTTTTAATTACAGCAACCTCTCGTCTTTCTCATCTACAAAGCAGTTGTTTAGTCCAGTGTTGAACACAACCCAACCTAAGAAGTGGCATTGAAGAGTAAACATACAATCGAAGTGGCAGGTCTCCATCAGTTAACAGTGTGAATCATAAAGGCTGCAGCTTTTTTAACCATGTTTGAATAATGATTAAAATTAAAAGCATGAGGAGATCAACTTTAACCACTCATTATATAGACCACCCAGTATATGGTAAAAATGACCCTAACAGGATGATTCATGAACTGGCTTATAAGGTTGTACAATGTGTGTAGAGTAGCCATTGGAAATGAAAATTTCTGACAAGCAAGACAGTAACTTCTTAAAGAATTGAGAAATGCACCGGTAGACAGCAAGTCCAGTGCGGAAACAAATGAAACCCATCAGCCCACAAACGCATAATGATAAAAACGAGACCTAAGGACGAAGTATAACAAAGCATAAAGGGCATGTGACATATACTACTTGGATCATAACCAGGAAGATTTCTTTGAAAACGGACACATGACAGACATAATATTTCCTGAAAAAAACCTTATACTTAAATCATCAACAACAACTGAACCAATATCCCTGAATTCGTAAACATGTATAATCGCAGGAAACATCACATAGATAGAGAAAAATAAGGCCACACCTTACATTTCTTCCATCTAGGATTATTGTTGAGCCTTGGATCGACTAATAGTACTGCAGTGCAACTAAGCGTTCTTCCGTCCCTCTCAAAAACCTTGCTTCTCCGGTTGGTTGCCCACTTGCCTGTAACGAGAAAGAGAGATTCTTTCACTGCCAAGTAAAGTATTCAGTGACTAATAAGATGAAAAGGGAAAACCTGCACTGCACTAATACAGATCAGCAACCGCATCAATAGCATAATACTGGAGAGCTTTCCAAATCCTACATTAACAGGCATGAATCCACAAAAAGCTGCAGGTAGAACTTACAATATCTTCAGAAGAAGGTTTTCAACCATGAGCATAAGCAGCAATGTAGAGTGCAGCACCCCCACAGCTCCCTGAGATTCCTTCCTGTCTGCTAAACAACCATTACCAATCTAAGAATCACAGCCATACTTGAGAGCTTCCCAAATTGCTATATCTACAATTTGATGAAAACGACAGTAATCACACAGAGACAGTAGAGAAGTCAGTAGCTCATACCCCGCGTCTGTGGCATCACCGGAACGCCGTTGTCTCAATTTCGCACCAGCAGCACCTCGAAGAGAAACCAAATTGACAGGAACACAAACAAAAATAAGCAAAGCGATTCTAGGGTTCGTCCTGCTGCCGACGATCTCTTCCTCGACTAGCCATACTGCCATTGTTGACGGCCGACGCTGCTCAAGCTCTCTGGTTCTACCTAATGCCTTCAAGAACTCGCTTTGGCGGATGCGAGAAAGATGGTCTCGGAATTGGAAGGGTTGGAGAAAGAAAGCAAGGAACCGAAACGGAAAAAAGACAGAGGATACAGACAAATTTACCATTCTATTTGCATTCTTTTCTTTCTTTAATGGGTCCATCCATACTCGATACCATAGTCGTATTTTTACATTTTCTCACCAAAAGAAAAGAATCAAATGAAAATTGACTAGTATTAAGAGATTGTTGAGGAACCAAAAATGACTAAAGGCGCCATAGCCGCCGCCGCAATCACCAAACTCTGAGCCCTCGAATCTCGATATCAATCCATGGCGATTCTTAGTTCCAAAAAGAATATGACTGACAATGACAAAACATTCTTCAAGGACTCCTCTTCGTCTTCTTCAATGACTCCGCCTCTGCCTCGGCGGCTGCATCTTTCTTCAACCCGACGAATCTTTCAAGGCACCAATCGGGAGTCCGATTTCCGCCCAGTTCCTTTGCGATCAACGGCCAGTAAGTGTTTGTCCCTCCCTTGCCGTTTAATCAAGCACATCATTCGCTTCTCTTCTGTTGCGGCCCTCCTCTCCCTCAACGTCCTGGAACCCTTCTCTGACAGCGCCCAAGACCGAAACCAGAATCTTGCTTTGCATTCCACATGCGAACGAGTCCCAACATTCCTTGCAGCCAAACCCTCCCAATCCACTACCTTCAGAATTTGTTTCATCAAATCCTCAGTATATCCAGCCTCCGGCTTCATCATCTCATTAACGGCCTGGCCATACTCATCGTTGAAGCCCTGCAACAGTACCCTATCCTCCGAACTCTGCCACTCTTTTAGATTGCAGCACCAAGGTGTAAATCGCAATTTCAATTGAGCGGGCGCCATGTTGCCGCCTCCAATATTACGAACCCCTTCGTTGACTACACCCACGATTTTCCTGGCGATCATGTTAAAATCAATCCAATGTACCTTCCTCATTTTTGCAACATTCTCTGTGGGTAGCTAAGATCTCCGGTTTCTATGTCCTTCAGGAGATTCTGTCTATACACCCTTTCGTCGGCAAAATAGTGTTTGGCCATGATCCTTTCGATTGCTTCCCTCACGGCTTCTTCTGCCTCGTCCTCCATGTCGTCTCCTTCCATCTCTATGTCTCTCTCCCTCTCCAAAAACCAAGAAAGAAGAAGAAGAACAAGAAGAAAAGGAAGAAAGGGAAGTGAACGAACACCTCTCACGCTCTCTCTCTCTCTCTCTCTCTCTCTCTCTGCAAGTGAATGAGTTTGGAGCTGTTGGCTTTGGCGGGAAAAGAACAAGCTCTCAACAGAATCTTAACTGATTCTCGAGTGAAGGTCAAATCGGAGAGAAGAAAGCAATTCTTCAAGTATCTGCCTGACAGTTCTTGCTTTCTTCTCTCCGATTTGACCTTCACTCGAGAATCAGTTAAGATTCTGTTGAGAGCTTGTTCTTTTCCCGCCAAAGCCAACAGCTACAAACTCATTCACTTGCAGAGAGAGAGAGAGAGCGAGCGAGCGTGAGAGGTGTTCATTCACTTTCCTTTCTTCCTTCTTCTTGTTCTTCTTCTTCTTTCTTGGGTTTTGGAGAGGGAGAGAGACATAGAGATGGAAGGAGACGACATGGAGGACGAGGCAGAAGAAGCCGTGAGGGAAGCAATCGAAAGGATCATGGCCAAACACTATTTTGCCAACGAATGGGTGTATAGACAGAAGCTCCTGGAGGACATAGAAACCGGAGATCTTAGCTACCCAGAGAATGTTGCAAAAATGAGGGTGGTACATTGGATTGATCTTAACATGTGCGCCAGGAAAATCGTGGGTGTAGTCAACGAAGGGGTTCATAATATTAGAGGCGACAACATGGCGCCCGCTCGATTGAAATTGCGATTTCTGCAATCTAAAAGAGTGGCGGATTTCGGAGGATAGGGGACTGCTGCAGGGCGTCAAAGATGAGTATGGCCAGGTCGTTAAGGAGATGATGAAGCCGGAGGCTGGATATACTGAGGATTTGATGAAACAAATTCTGAAGGTAGTGGATTGGGAGGGTTTGGCTGCAAGGAATGTTTGGACTCGTTCGCATGTGGAATGCAAAGCAAGATTCTGGTTTCGGTCTTGGGCGCTGTCAGAGAAGGGTTCGAGGACGTTGAGGGAGAGGAGGGGCGCAACAGAAGAGAAGCGAATGATGCGCTTGATTAAACGGCAATGAGGGACAAACACTGACTGGCCGTTGATCGCAAAGGAACTGGGCGAAAATCGGCCTCCCGATTGGTGCCTTGAAAGATTCATCAGGTTGAAGAAAGATGCAGCAGCCGAGGCAGAGGCGGAGTTAATGAAGAAGAAGAGGAGTCCTTGAAGAATGTTTTGTCCTTGAAGAATCGCCATTGATTGATATCGAGCTTCGACGGCTCAGAGTTTGGTGATTGCTGCGGCGGCTATGGCGCCTTTAGTCATTTTTGGTTCCTCAACTATCTGTTAATACTAGTCAATTTTCATTTGATTCTTTTCTTTTGGTGAGAAAATGTAAAAATACGACTATGGACCCATTAAAGAAAAGAATGCAATAGAATGGTAAATTTGTCTGTATCCTCTGTCTTGTTCCGTTCCGTTTCGGTTCCTTCCTTTCTTCCTTTCTTTCTCGGTTAATTGCATGATTGGTCACTGAAATTACAAAAAACGTTCATGTTTGGTCACTGAAAATATTTAAATCCAATCTTAGTCACTCAAATTAGTTAAATGGTTCAAGTTTGGTCACTCTCCGTCCATTTCCGTTAACTCTAGCTTACGTGGCAGTCAACTTTCCTAGTTGACCGTTAAATATGTGACGTGGCAATTAAAAAATTATTAAAAATAAAAAGATAAACTTTTATATTTTCCACTTCATTATTACATTCATTGAAATAAAAAAATAAAAAATTAATTCCTTTTCTACACACCCCAAAACCTCTTCTTTTTTTCTCCAAATGCGTCGACTCGTCGCTCCAATCCGCCTTCGACCTCAACGCCTGCTTCGATTCCGGGCCGGCGTTCCATCGCTGCTGATCTCTGGAGGTCCACCGCCGACGCCCCGTCCCCCCACGGCCACCACCACCACCATTTCCACCGAGCACCATCCCCTTCCCCATCCTCCTCCCCTGCCGCGTCTTGGAATTTGAAAGATCGAGCCGTCGAGGGAGGAGGAGCAACAATTTCATCCGTCTGGAGCGGTCCTACTCGTTCGGATTCGAGCGTTCGGAGAGGATGCTGGTGACGGAGCCGGCGACGGTGTCGCCGTGGAGATCGAGCAGGAGATCATCGGCGTGGAGCAAGCGGCCGTCCCCATTCGGATCGTACCAGTCGAATTCTTCCAAGCATAGATTGTTCTCGTCGTTCAGGTACTACTACAGATCGGGGATCAAATCGCCCTTCTTCAGGCGGAGATCTGGAGGCGGAGGCGGCTTCTTCCCCCTCTCGGAGCGATTCCCCGCGCACCACCACCACTGCGGCGGCGGTTCTTCGAGGCGGAGCAAGTCCATGACAAGTCCGATGTTCCCGAGACCGTCGTCGGTGTTCTCGTAGAGCCGGCTGAGGTGTGGGGATCCGGAGGCCCTAATTTCTCCGGACAGATTCAGCCACAGCATGAGGTGAAATGCGACGTCGAGGTTACAACGCGTCGTCAAAGCGGTGGGGTTTCTACGGCGGCGGGCAGGTGTTGGAATTTCTTTTTCTTTTCTTTCTTTTCTCTGGCGCCGGAAGAGAGAGAGGGAGAAGAATTAATAGAGGTGGCGGAGAGGCATTTAATGAAAAAAATTGACCAGAGAGGGAAGGGAAAGAATTAATAGAGGAGGAGGACGACGATTGTACATAAGAAGACGCGGCAGAGGATGGGGTCGGGTAGGGTATTAGGTTTTTTATTTATTATTTATTTTTTAATGAATGTAATAATGAGGTGGAAAATATAAAAAATTATTTTTTTAATTTTTAATAATTTTTTAGTTGCCACGTCACTAAGTTAACGGTCAACTTTGAGAGTTGACTGCCACATCAGTCAAAGTTAACGGAGTTGGACGGAGAGTGACCAAACGTGAACGGTTTGAGTAAACTGAAGGACCACCAATGGATTTAAATATTTTGAGTGACCACACTTGAACGTTTTTTGTAATTTCAGTGACCAACCGTGCAATTAACCCTTTCTTTCTCCAACCCTTCCGATTCCGAGACCATCTTTCTCGCATCCGCCAAAGCGAGTTCTTGAAGGCATTAGGTAGAACCAGAGAGCTTGAGCAGCGTCGGCCGTCAACAATGGCAGTATGGCTAGTCGAGGAAGAGATCGTCGGCAGCAGGACGAACCCTAGAATCGCTTTGCTTATTTTTGTTTGTGTTCCTGTCAATTTGGTTTCTCTTCGAGGTGCTGCTGGTGCGAAATTGAGACAACGGCGTTCCGGTGATGCCACAGACGCGGGGTATGAGCTACTGACTTCTCTACTGTCTCTGTGTGATTACTGTCGTTTTCATCAAATTGTAGATATAGCAATTTGGGAAGCTCTCAAGTATGGCTGTGATTCTTAGATTGGTAATGGTTGTTTAGCAGACAGGAAGGAATCTCAGGGAGCTGTGGGGGTGCTGCACTCTACATTGCTGCTTATGCTCATGGTTGAAAACCTTCTTCTGAAGATATTGTAAGTTCTACCTGCAGCTTTTTGTGGATTCATGCCTGTTAATGTAGGATTTGGAAAGCTCTCCAGTATTATGCTATTGATGCGGTTGCTGATCTGTATTAGTGCAGTGCAGGTTTTCCCTTTTCATCTTATTAGTCACTGAATACTTTACTTGGCAGTGAAAGAATCTCTCTTTCTCGTTACAGGCAAGTGGGCAACCAACCGGAGAAGCAAGGTTTTTGAGAGGGACGGAAGAACGCTTAGTTGCACTGCAGTACTATTAGTCCATCCAAGGCTCAACAATAATCCTAGATGGAAGAAATGTAAGGTGTGGCCTTATTTTTCTCTATCTATGTGATGTTTCCTGCGATTATACATGTTTACGAATTCAGGGATATTGGTTCAGTTGTTGTTGATGATTTAAGTATAAGGTTTTTTTCAGGAAATATTATGTCTGTCATGTGTCCGTTTTCAAAGAAATCTTCCTGGTTATGATCCAAGTAGTACATGTCACATGCCCTTTATGCTTCGTTATACTTCGTCCTTAGGTCCGAAGGCTTGAAACCTGAACTCGTTTTTATCATTATTCGTTTGTGGGCTGATGGGTTTCATTTGTTTCCGCACTGGACTTGCTGTCTACCGGTGCATTTCTCAATTCTTTAAGAAGTTACTGTCTTGCTTGTCAGAAATTTTCATTTCCAATGGCTACTCTACACACATTGTACAACCTTATAAGCCAGTTCATGAATCATCCTGTTAGGGTCATTTTTACCATATACTGGGTGGTCTATATAATGAGTGGTTAAAGTTGATCTCCTCGTGCTTTTAATTTTAATCATTATTCAAACATGGTTAAAAAAGCTGCAGCCTTTATGATTCACACTGTTAACTGATGGAGACCTGCCACTTCGATTGTATGTTTACTCTTCAATGCCACTTCTTAGGTTGGGTTGTGTTCAACACTGGACTAAACAACTGCTTTGTAGATGAGAAAGACGAGAGGTTGCTGTAATTAAAAGCCATGAAAGGCTCCAGCTTTTAGTAGCAGAAGAGGAGGGTTTAGGTTCGTTCCATTAGGATGCGATGAGTTTCTGCTTTCTTTTTGGATATGAATTCTGAAGCTGAACCTCATTTTCTCAGTCTCATGAACTTGGTTCCTCAAACGAAGAGACAATGCTATGCAAACTAATCAAGGGTACGAGAGGATGAAACTGGAAGATGAGGAGGGCATCATTCTTTGATTCTTCACTTGTTACTCACAATCAGGTAGTTAGGTCCAGGGTGAGGTGACTGATGTATATCCACCTGTTATCATCTGTCTAATGGTTATGTTGCTGTATGCAGGTGCTCGAAGCTACACGACTTTGTAGGGAGAAATTTAGGTATTGTGCTCAGTGATTACTCTGTATAAAGTACTTGATCAATGTGCATTGTGTGTTCATCATTTACAACGCCGCTGATTCTACCATGTAATGAATTACAGCAATGAAGCCATATCTGGTTGTGATAAATTGAATATTCATTCTGATAAGTCATGTTGTATCCATCCATGTAAGCGTTCTTTGATTTGGTGAGTGCCAACCAATAGCTGAAGAGTAAATTGAAGGTCTATACACAAGTTCCATTATGTCAGGTAAAGATCCAACATTTACCCTTTTCCTGTTGAACTGTGTGAGAAAAATTGAGCATGAAAGTTTTAGCACGAGAAGAAAAATGGCTATCAGGGGAATCGGTTTTGATTTTTCAGTCCCTCTGCTGGGCACTCATTTGATTGTTCTCAATGTCCTTAGGAGATTTCTTCAGTTTGTTTCCATCCAGTATGTTTTTTCGCCATTAAACGGAAATGAATAAATAGCATACCATGGTGGGCTTTTGTGACCAGATTACTTCCCTTTTTAGCATCGTACAGTTGGAATGGTGAAATCTATATCTTAACCCTTTCTGTTGTTGTCTTTACCCACGTTAATCTCCCGAATCCTTACCTCCTCCATATTTGGTCGTGTTTTGGTGTGATCAGGCTGCTCCACAGTGACAGTAAGTCAGTGATGCACCTGAAAAGGTGGATGCAGCTTTTCGTGAGTCATTCAAAGCAATCACCACTGACATCCAACAGATTCGGTTAAATGGCCTATTGGTATGTTCTTCCCTGATCACAATCTCCTAGCTACTCTGCCTTAACCAGTGTTCAAGAAGACGCGATTAATCTCTCGCCTAGGCGCGATTAATAGCTGGGCAGGACGAAATCGCCTCGTCTAGCCCTGGGCGATTGATCTAGGCACCTAGGCACTCGGAGGCGCGTTTTCACTCTGGTGGGCGACGCCCATAACAACTAATAAAGGGGGAAAGTGTAGCCTTTTTTGAAAATCCCAAACCCTATTCTATTTCCCATTTCCATTCGACCAGCCGCTCCCCCTCATCGACCAGCAGTGAGATCCCTCCTCATTGTTGGCGACTTGGGATTTTTGGGATTGTGGAAAAGGGTTGTATGTGAATATGAATGGATGGATAATGATATGTCAACTTGGGTTTTTGTGGAATACGGCTTATCTATCATATTTTTTTGCAACGTTTAATCTCGCCTAGGCAACGGTTAATCGGCCTGGGCACTGGGCGGTGCCTCCTCGCCTAGATAGCGCCTAGCGTCTTCTTGAGCATTGGCCTTAACTGAATGTACTATGTGCCCTGAGTATGCCTCCCTCACATAGTCTCCGTATTGTTTGCTCTGCTTCCAAGTCTGGTGCTTATTTTGCCAGTACCGACTCTCTTAGGATTACGTGTGTGTGTGTGTGTTGCTAAGGATAGGATCTTTCAGTTTTCTTATCAACTCAAAAATATGAGTGTTAGAAAATTTATTTTACCATCAGTGCGTGTGTTGCTAACTCTATGATCGATGATTCCGTCAAGTAGGTTCATGGGCTTTGCTCTATTCCAACTTCAACACTTGATCAAAATATGAGACAATTGAAAAAAATTGCTGGGGGGAAATGTATCAAATATATTGCACACAAGTGTTTGTAGGATTATTTTTTTCTGGTAATTGTTTGTCGTTTTATTTGAAGCCCCGGTTGATTGAATTCCAATCAACCTTCTCGAGAAAACACAGAACTGTCACAACAGTAATTACATCAAAGCTACTAACTTCAAGCTACTCTTATAACTACTCTACTATACTTCTTCTAAGGTCTAACACAATCCCACAAAACTAGAATTTATAAGCAGATGGTTAAATTCGACATTCCCTGCACTATAACACTTCATCTCTATTACTATCATTTGCAGCACTTCCTCACAACTTCTACTTGCAGCCTGGAACACCCTTTGGCAGCGTTCCCTACACAACATTGACACATACCAGCACCATATTCCACCAATAATCCTTCCATCATTTCCAGCATTCCTGCAAGATGAGTCACCAGATATACCATCTCCTTCCATTCATTAGCCACTGAATCATGGGGAATAGGGATTTCAAGAGCCATTTTGCATAGTCACAGCCACAGAACAGATGGTTCATTGTTTCAGTATCTGCACTACACAACACACATTTATATTCATTGATCACCCCCCACTCCTTAACAGGTTCAGTTATTTAACTGAATCCTCTGCTACTTTGCAATTTGATCCTGCTTTGGATTGTGTCGGGGTACCTAGGAAAGAAAAAAAAAGGCTCATCATGATAACACACGCATTGGACAACATTGTTTGACTATGTCTGCCGGGGCATGAATGCATGCTTACTCCTTCCAAATTAAAAAATAATAATCAGGTTGTTTATGTTGCTTAATGCAGGTCCACGAAACTAGTAACACCAGTTCTGAAGTCACCAACCGGGTATATTAGTATGCTATGCACATATGCTTGTGTCGTGTGCACCGATAACCTACGGTGGGCACGCTTGAGTACCATCTTCATCAGCTTCGCATTTGAGAGGTCTCGAGTGCAGGGTCTGGTTCTTGGGTGTGGGAAAAGATATTAAGAACCAGAGGTGTGGTCACTGATGACCTACGGATGTGCCCCGGGGGAGGGATGATAATGAGAAGATGCGGGATGCAATCAGGCCTCGACATGAAAAAGTGAGCTGGTATGGTATGGAAGTCTATTAGAGCTCCAAGGGATAGAATGTTTGCTTAGCTTGTCATTCTAGACCGTATACATCATACTCTCAATGAAATCCCGAGGTAGAATCCTGAATCAACCCCTTGTGCCCTTCTATGTTGCAGGCGGTTTACTCCTCCCCGGATCAGTCTAAACTCTTGGGTCAGATTGGACTGACAATCACAGCAGCGCAGTGGCGAACCTTTAGCTCCAGTTTGTTTCCTTGTTCTACTCATCGTTGGTCTTCTATTTGGTTTAGAAGTAGTTAGAATAGGTGCCCAGGTTCTACCATGATCTCACTTTTAATCTCTCGACTAAAGGGTATCCAGGCCCCAATCTGTTTCCTTGTAGTTTGAATTGGTCGAGTTGGATTAGGACTGACTCTAAGGCAAGACCCGGGCATGTAAAAGGTGGCTTATATATAAGTTCATTGTTCCCAACTCCCAAGCCTAGCCGTCTTCCTGCATCCGCAATGGCTTCCCCTTTCAGCAAACTCACAGACGATCTCCTGCTGGGAGTTCTTATTCGCCTTCGGTACTGTAGATCCGCTTGCCGGTGCAAAACCGTCTGCAAGCGATGGAACTCCATCATCTCCCACCCCTACTTCTCCCGCCGATTCGTTGCTCACAACAAGCACCGATCCGCCGCCGGGGAAAGGCCACCACCACACCTTCTGAATCACTCATTAGAAAGAAGGATCATCAGCTTTCTACCAATGCCCGCTCCATTCCAGCTCTACTTCCTCGTTCTCGATTGCTTCAAGGACTTGCTCTTGCTAGGGTTCCCGATCTCGCCCAGCGTCGAACTGGCCCGAACGTTCATCGTTTGCAATCCGTTCACAAAGCAGTGGGTCGCCCTCCCTCTGGCGCCGCACAGAACCGTAACGCCGCCCCATGACATTTTCCCATGGACGGCGAGCCTAGTGTGCGATCCTTGTGTTTCCGCGAGGTTGGATTCAGGGGACGAAGAAGCATTCACTCATCACTTTGAATACCGATTCCGCGTGGTGCTGATGCATAAATCGGAATCAGCTTCTTCAAAGCTAGATGTGTTCTGTTCCGAATCCGGGGAATGGACAGCGGTCAACCTCGATCTTCGCGGCCGATTGAAACCGGATCGGAGCCTGGTTTCGGTGAACGGGAAGTTGTACTGGAGAAACAGGGCAGGCCAAGTGATTGGGTGGAATCCCTTCTCGCTTGAAGTGGAAGTGGAGGAATCCCTTCCCCCTGGCGTTTCAGACCCTGATCAATCTGAATTGTCCTTTTGCACCTCACAGGATGCTCTCTACATGTTTCGGAGATCCGGAGATGTCTTGGGTGTTTTCAGCAGACATGGCGGGCAAGGCTGGAGGGCAGAGTATCAGGTTCAGGTGCCATTACGACCTCTTCTCAGGGGAATCAAACGCGTCAGTGTAGTCGGTCAGCATCCTGAGAAATCAGAAATTGTGTTCCTGCAATTCTCGTTTACCTCCGCATATGCGAAGCCTCGAATCTACTCCCTGAACTTGAGGACGAGGGTGCTCAAGTTCTTTGCTAAAGACTATAGCTTTCGATCGGGTTCCATGGTTTTCCCGCAGCTCTGGCCCACTCCAATTCCCAACTATGAAAAATTACGAGGCAGCTATGATGGATCGTACAAGGACTCAAGGAGGGTTGGCTTCAATCGAGTAATCACATGAACCCAAAACTTCTTCACCCATGTATTTTTATTTGATTTATCTGTTAGGTAGGTTCTACTATTGTTATCTCATAGTCGGATTCTCTCAAAATTGTTTGCATTAGACATTTCAGGTAACATGTATGTGGTAAATTTCTTTTTTCTTATATGTGCGAAAAAGTAAAAAAAAAAACCCTTTCGACAAGCACCACATTCAATGATGTTCTTTCTCTGGTTGTCGGCTTAACTCTATTGTTGTTGGTCTTCAGCCGGGGCGAGACCGGTTAGGAACAGGTGCACATTCGTTGAACAACATCTAGATACAGCTTTTGTTAAAACTTAAAAGCCGATAAGTTCCTGACTAGTTTTACTTGGACTAACTTCGAAGATCGCTAAGAAACAACGGTTAATAAACCAAAACCCACATGACCGGACACAACATTACGAACAAAAGAGGTTCGGTTTTTATAAATGGTTTTTATAAATGGTTTTCGGATACTTCGTATCAAAAAAAACCTTTTAGGAATCCTTAGCTGTGTCGGTTAACCATACGTCCGTAACAGTTTTGGTTTTGTTGCATGGAAAACCTAGTTCTCAGTTTCCAATATTGTGATTAACAATTTGATTAATCGAACCAAATACCGCGTTACCACCATGGTTGTCAACTCGAGGTCAAACCGTGGATCAACCAAGATTAACCTGAACCAGGTGGGAAAAAGGAGCTCCAAACTTCTCCCGATCAACTAGGATTCCTGCATTATACCCTAATATTAAACTATATTTTTTGGTCTTTAAAATCTTAAATTATTACATCTATAAATTTATCCTTTATGATGTGTAAAAATGGGCCACTGAGTTGACCCCAATCCAACCAGTAACCCTACAGGGTTCTTTGGTTTATGTTTGGCCATTCTGTTATAATGTTGTGTTTTGTTGCTAATTCATTAACGTTTCTTGAACTTAGCTGTGTTGCTGCTCGAATCGAAATAAGAATAGGGATTTAAGAATCTAATCGAGAAATTCGAGTTGAATTCCTATTCCTAGCATATTTGGCAAGTGAGGTACCAATAGCTCATCGCTTATAACATACAACGACATATAAAGTAAATTGTGTTACCAACTCGATGTTACATCCTCTACTAATGCTGTAACGTCTCTATTCCTTGTTATATTGTGAAATATGTTTGCTAATCTTCAATAACTGGCGGTAGAAATTTAGCACTGTAACTTAAAATTCAATGTGAAACAAAGAAACGGTCAGGAAAACCTCTTTAAATTCAATGTGCAATGTTTATAATCCTTATGTCATTTGTTCAGCAAAAGAGGGAAAAATACCGGATTCCCGAAAATGCCCTCATCTTTTGACAATAGTACATCCGTCATCCGACGATAGCGATCGAATCCTCTGTTTTCACTTCCTCACAAGACAAGAAAAAAAATGAAGCTAGCTCTTTCTTTCATCCTGTTACTCCCATTCTTGTCGATTGTGGCAGCAGAAAATGTTACGTACGACGGCCGGTCGCTAATCATCAATGGCACTCGTCGCCTAATCGTCTCGACTACCATTCACTACACTCGAATCATGCCCGAGGTACAATGAAAAAATATTTAAAAAAACAAGCGGTGAATTGATTTTTTTTAAATGATCTTTGACTCAAAGATTCGAACGCAACACAAAATATTGACTAATTACAATTCACTTGGGATTTTATTTGTAAGATGTGGCCAGAGGCCATCCGATTAGCCAAAGAAGGAGGGGCAAACACGATCGACACGTACGTGTTCTGGAATGTTCATGAAATCGAACCCGACATCGTGAGTAGTACTAGCGGGAAGCTCTCATTTATAAAATACAAAAAAAATATCCAATTATTTATACAATTTTTTTTATTTGTTTTTTGGTTTTTTAAGTATAATTTTGCAGGGAGAAATGATCTAGTGAGATTTGTGAAGCTAGTTCAGGAGGCAGGGCTGTTTCTGATGCTTCGTATTGGCCCATTTATTGGTGCCGAATGGAACTACGGGTTCTTATTTTTAACCCCTTTTCTTAAAAAATTAATTTCTGGTTTAATGAATTAAATGTATTTTTTTAAATAAATTTTGGACTTTAATTTTCTGTGTATTAAATGAAAAAAAAAGGAGGATGAAATATTTGTTAAATGACGCAGGGGTATACCAGTTTGGTTGCACTATATTCCAGGGACTGCCTTCAGAACAGAAAGTGCTAGCTTTAAGGTATCAATATCATACGAGTAACTTCATCAGCCATCAAATTCTCGATCGAATCGTCGAACGACGTCGTATCTGCACTCATAACAACGGTTTGATCGTGAATTTGTCCCTATAGTAAAATGAAAGAAAATACTTATTAGGCATGCAAAATTTGTGTTGCAGTACTATATGGAGAAATTCGTGACGTACATAGTGAACATGATGAAACGAGAGAAGTTCTTTGCATCACAGGGAGAGACGGGTCCCATTATCTTAGCGCAGGCAAGTATATACACATTGACTTTTTGGGTTTCATTTCATCCCATTTTTTTCGAAATTGAAGAGCTTTTAGCATGGATGAATCAAAAGAGTCCGAATGATGCAGATCGAAAACGAGTACGGGCACTTGCAAGGATTCTACGGGGTGGGGCATAACTACAGTGATTGGGCTGCTCGAATGGCCGTCTCCAAGGACATCGGTGTGCCTTGGATCATGTGTCGAGAAGGGGATGCTCTAGACCCCGTGGTGAGTCTCTCTGAACACTCGTCGACGATCAAATCGTCTTATCGCGTTCAAATCTTCATGACTCCTCAATCCCCTATCTGACTTGCGTCTTGCTGATGGCAGATTGATACTGTTAACGACTTCTACGGGGACTATTACCACCCAAATTCTGTAAATAAGCCCAAAATCTGGACCGAAGCCTGGACTGGATGGTAATTTTACAACCCCATATATGTGCATCACAAATTCACAATCCTGTTTTTCCATTTAAATTCCCCTCTCTAGTTAAATTGGCAATTCAAACTTACTTACCATGAGGTAATTAAAATTTACTTCTGTTTGGTAAATAGGATACAAACACATTATGAACCGGTCTTCCATAGGCCAACTCAAGATCTTGCATTTGCTGCTGCTCGTTTCTTCCAGAAAGGCGGTAGTGTAATAAACTATTACATGGTAAGTTAATTTTTCTGTCGAGAGTTTTTGTAACGACGACTAAAAATGTACAAACGACAGATTATTTTGTTTCAAAATCACAACAGTATATAACGACACCAGACGTGTTTTTTTTTTTTTTAGTGACACCAAACGTGCTTGTTAAAACGACATAATACAATAACTAGCTACATTTTTTCATTAACCCTTTTTTTCTTGTTCTAATGTATTTATGTCTTGGTTGGTTGGTTGGTCTGTCTGTGTTAGTTCTACGGCGGAACAAATTTTGGTCGAACCAGTGGTGGCACTAGCGCTAACAATTTTGCCGTAATAACGAGTTATGACTATGATGCTCCAGTTGATGAATATGGTAATAATACCTTTATGCTAATCTAGTTTTGCCAAATCCATAATTAGATTGAAGCTTTTCTCTTCATGTTATGGATTGAACTCTCTCTTGTGCATGCCATGTTAGGCTTGTTGAGGTATCCAAACTATGGGCACATTAAGGAATTCAATGAAGCTATCAAGCTATGTGAGAATCCCATCTTGACCGCCAAACCCACCCAAATCTCACTCGGTCCGCAACAAGAGGTAACTAATCAGCCTCGCGTAAAATCGTGTGATTTTATGATTGATGGTTCAAGATTTTTGAAAATATAGAGACACATTTTTAATTCGATTTGCACTGAAATCAGGGCGCGGTCTGGAGCAATGTGTCGTCTGGAGAATGTGTTGCGTTCCTTGTCAATGTGGACGACAAGAAAGACGCGACTGTAGTATTTCGAAATGCCTCGTACCACCTCCCAGCTTGGTCTGTCAGCATTCTTCCTGACTGCAAGAACGTGGTGTTCAATACCGCCAAGGTGACATATACTTCATTGTGCCGTTGGAACGAATTCGTTTCTAACCTACGGTGTCATCATGTTTTTTACTCGTACAATCTTCAAAATTAACTGTTGATTTAAACACGACGTCCTTGTTTCGCGATTGGCAGGTGAGTTCCCAAACTACTGTGCCTGAAATGGTACCCGAGGATTTGAAGCCATCTCCAGAGATGTGCATGGAGGAGAAAGATGCTGGTGGAGATTCTTCTTCGTCATTGAAGTGGCAGGTGTTTGAGGAGAAAGTTGGGATTTGGGGCGAACCTGATTTCGTCAAAAATGGTTTCATGGATCAACTCGCTGCCACTAGAGATACTACTGATTACCTCTGGTACACCACAAGGTAAATTTGGCCCCTGGCTACTCCATCAACCCACCCAACCCGGTCAATTCGATTCATCCACAACTCGAGTTGATAAAAAGTTCGAACCTCAGTAACCCGCCTAACTCGTAACCCGACTGTTTCATAACCAAACCCGGTCAAATCTGACAAACCCGTGACTCGATTCAACCGATACCCTAACCAACCTAAAACCTTCTAAGTTTTTTCACCTTTATCCAAAAGGGTTGTCTTCCTAAAACTGACATTAAATATTATTGCTTTGAACTGCAGCATTGATGTCAATGAAAATGAAGGGTTCCTGAAGGATGGAAGCCAAGTAGCTCTTGAGCTGCAATTCCAGACCCACTGCCTCCATGCATTTGTCAATGGGGAGTTCAAAGGTTTTGCTTATTACTTCTCCTTCTTCTTGCCTCCTTTGATCCACAGAGTTCTTGTTTGTAGAATGAACAATGGACCTCTTCTGATTTTTGCAACTGTTTTTATTGCTGATCAGGTACTTCAACAGGTGATGCTACAATCCCTATAGTCCTGAAACCAGGGAGGAATGACATCTCCATATTGAACACAATCCTTGGGCTACCTGTTAGCACTCTAAACTAATTTCCATTGTTTAGCTTAATTAGTCTATTAATAATCATGTTTTAGCAAGTGGGTTTTGTCTAAATTCCCTGAAAAATCTTATCTTTTTGTTGTCAGTCTGTAGGCCCTTTCTTTGAGTGGAGAAGAGGTGGACCTATAAATGTGAAGCTTGCAGGTTTCAGAAATGGGACTGTAATAGACTTGTCTACAAGTGCCTGGAAGTACCAGGTGAGCAAAATTTTGGGGGAAAAAAAAGGGGAACTTCTTCTCTTTGCAATGTCACCATTCTTGCTTGCTTTTATAACTAATCGATTTCGATAAATATAACTAGTATCATATCGTTCATATGCACGTTAATTTAAATGAATATCCTCCTAACTCGAACTTCCACTACAGCATACCAGTTTGTCCTGATATTCGATTTATCGCGAGAAAATGTTCACAAAATGAAATTTGTATCGTTATTGCAAGAGAAGTGTTTAAGATCCTCTTCTCGCAAAAACTCGAGCTATACGAATGAGTATCGATTCTTCTTATTGACTGAGAGGTCTCAGTGTTCGAATCGCGCGCGTGTGTTCAACTTCTTGTTTGAGCTAGGCGCACGTAAGAGAAGATATGAAGTGCATTTTAAAACATCTCTCAATAACCGAAGTTATCAGGAAGGGGATGGTTCTCTCCTTCTCGACCGTTGCATGTGTTGGAACCCAATAGTAGTTGTAGTAGTATAGAGATAAAAAAAAAAAATTCCTCGATTTCCTTTCTGATTTCATGGTTTTGATGACTAGATTGGTTTGGAAGGAGAACACCTAGGGATATACAAACCAGAAACACCCAACAATGGGACATGGAAGCTCCCTCCACAAGTACCCAAGATGAAGCCTCTCACATGGTACAAGGTAACACAATCATCAAGCTAAGCTGCACTAATGTGGTTGAATTGATCAGTGGTTTTGATTGAATCATGAACTACTTATAGAAATGTTGGTTTGATTTCTCTCTTGATGAGCAAAATTTCATCAGGCTACTGTGGAGGAACCATCAGGGAATGATCCAATAGGGCTGGATATGATCAGCATGGGCAAAGGCTCTGCCTGGCTGAATGGACAGCAGATTGGGAGGTACTGGCTGAAGAGAAGCAACAGAGTTGGAACCTGTGTTGGCCATGTTGGAGAATGCGATTACAGAGGCCAATATTATAGGGAGAAATGCACAACTGGTTGTGGTGAACCTGCTCAAAGATGGTAAGAGAAACTTGTAACTAAAAAAAAAAAACCCCCACACTAAGACCAAAACCCTAATGAAAAAGTAGTGTGTTTGAGTGGTTGCCCTAATTAACCTCTGGTTGCTCCTTCTTGTTGCCTTGGGGCTTAAGGTACCATATCCCGCGGTCGTGGTTCAAGCCCTGTGGCAACACCCTGGTGGTCTTCGAAGAGCAAGGAGGAGACCCGACTCGACTCAAGCTCTCGAAGCGTAGAATCTCGACCGTCTGCGCTTCTGTTGCCGAGGATTACCCTAACTTGCAAGGAAATGCCACCGTACATCTCAAGTGTCCTAAAAATAGACACATCTCTAGTATTCGATTCGCCAGTTTTGGGACTCCGACTGGGTTTTGTGGGTCGTTCAAGAAAGGAGATTATCATCATCCGGATTCGGTTTCCGTTGTCGAAAAGGTAAACCCCCCCTCAATTTAGATCGAGTCGTAGCAATTATGATACTAGGTCGATCGAGATATATGTACGTACAATCATCGTATGTATGTCTTATTGTGTGTCAAAACGGGTGGAACATTTAATTTGACAAAATGCTGATGAGGGGCATAAGTGATAAAACTGATAATAGCTAACACTATGTGACAATTGATTTTTTTTTTTTTCTAGGCTTGCTTGAACAAGAATGGATGTGCCATACAAGTTTCAGAAGAGAGCTTCAACAAGGGAATTCTTACTGGTGCTACTTCAGCCACAATGAGACTTGCAGTGGAGGCAACCTGTAGCTCAAGCAAAGGGAATTGAAGGTCTCAAATGACACAAGACCAATTAAGGGCAACTCTAGATGAACCAAAGTCCATATGTTATTATGTTGTAGTAGAACATTAACCATCATTGCCCAAATATTGATCAAATGAATTGCCCTTTTCACTTTTGTTTTCGGGTCAATTATCTGATCATTCGTCTCGATTTCGTTTCTGTTCTCTCGATAGATAAGCATCTACCGATTGAGAATGCATATAACGGTTTGAAACCGTCAAATTGAAATCGCATCCAATTAACCAATGATACATACGGTTAAACTGATGTACATCATGGTTGTTTTCATTCAATAAATTGGCTATTACAAGGTTGGTTTGCAAGTCGTTTCATAATCTTAATAACTGAAAGTGAAAATTTACCCTACCACTTCCAAAATTAAATGTTACCCATTATTAGTGGTTACATGAAAAAGAAATGTCTCTTCACAAAGCGCAAAATTTCTACTACTGACAACAACTTCAAGACAATTAGTTGACATCAAATTGAAAATCTGGATTTACGAAATCACCCACCTCTTTAAAATCCTCACCTTTAGTGATTTAGCCTCAAACTGTTACCATTTACAACGCACTTAGAAGAAGAAGAAGAAGAAAATGATGACAACTCTTTCCTTCTTCCTCCTACTCTCATTCTTGTTGTCGATGATGGTGGGGGTGGCGGCGGAAAATGTTACCTACGACGGACGTTCACTGTTCATCAATGGTCGTCGTCACCTCATCATCTCTGGCTCCATTCACTATCCTCGTAGCACCCCTGAGGTATGTACGTGTGTTATGTATGTTTTTTTCTTGTCATTATTAATTGACTCAAACGTTCGAACAAAACCCAACGTGAATCGGTTATTTATTCGTGTGTCTATTAAAAAGATGTGGCCAGAGCTTGTACGTCTAGCCAAAGAAGGAGGGGCAAATACGATCGAAACATACGTGTTTTGGAATGGCCATGAAATCAAACCCGACATTGTGAGTATTGGAGATCAAATTACCTCTAGTTTTATATTTAAATATAAATTCTCTACTTTTGTGTGTAATTTTCGTTGGTGCATTATCTGTTTTTGTTTTTGTGTATAGTATAATTTTGAAGGAAGATTTGATCTGGTGAAATTTGTGAGGATAGTTCAGGAGGCAGGCATGTTTCTGATCCTTCGCATTGGCCCATTTGTTGCTGGCGAATGGAATTTCGGGTGATCATTTTGCAATTTTTCTCGTACAAAAAAAAAGAATAGTATTCGAACTCGAATTTCTTTATCATATTTCACCAAAAAAAAAATTATTTATCATGCAATAAGAAGGCTTATAGAATCTTTTTTGTTTGTTGTTGATGTAGGGGTATACCAGTGTGGTTGCACTTTATTCCTGGGACTTCCTTTCGAACAGAAAACGATAATTTTAAGGTAGACGTTATTGTAATCTGATACTATCGTGATACTTCATCCAACGATTTTCAACCGTAGATGGACTATGTCTAGTCCTGTTGTTCTGTCATCATCAAATCTATGTTGCATGCAGTACTATATGGAAAAATTCATGACTTACATAGTGAACCTAATGAAGCAAGAGAAGCTCTTTGCATCCCAAGGAGAGAAAGGTCCCATTATCATGACTCAGGTAAAAGCATACAAATTGGCATTTGCACTCCATTTCTTCACAACTATAGAAAATTGCTTTTGGAATGTTCATCAATATTGGGCACGAGATTATCGTAGGTCGAGAATGAATTCGAGTACTTGGAGCAAATCTATCCCGAGGGTAAGAACTACGTTAACTGGGCTGGGGAAATGGCGATTTCTCAGCACACCAGTGTGCCCTGGATCATGTGTGGAGAGTCCGATGCTCCGGGTCCAGTGGTAAGTCTCTTATATCATGGAAAGTTCGCGTACGTTTAAGAGATTCATTTTTCCAACATTTTCACATAACTTGATCAATTATCAAGTTGGTTATTCTTCTTTTATATAGATTGGTACTTGTAACGACTTTTACTGTGACGATTTTCAACTTGCATCTGACAAACCCAAAATATGGACCGAGAACTGGACCGGATGGTAACTGCTATATATTCATAAAAATCACCATTTCCTCATCACCCATTAGAAATTTTCCCTTCTGAGTTAATTAGGTCATTTTTTTTGTAGGTTGCCAACATATTGGGCACCCAAATACCATAGGCCATCTCGAGATAGTGCATTTGCTGTTGCTCGTTTCTTCCAGAAAGGTGGTAGTGTAGTGAATTATTACATGGTAATATAATCTTAGCCCTTTCTTCTCCTTCTCTTGAAAAACAAATCCTTTTTGCTTAAGGATTGATCTTTGATTTACCAAATTGAACATTGTTTTGGTTTGTTAATTAGTACCATGGTGGAACAAACTTTGGTCGCACAGGAGGTGGTGGCTTTACAACCAGTTATGACTTTGATGGTCCAATCGACGAATACGGTATTAATTTACTGAAAGATAATTTTCTCGTGATTTTCTTTCACCACTAGATAGCTCGTCATGAAAAAAAAAACAATGATATAAAAGGGATCTCAAGTTCGACCATCCACCCGATTTGTCATCTTGACTGATCTAAGGTTTCGTCATATCATGTAGGGTTAGTGAGGTTTCCAAAATGGGGACATCTTAAGGAACTCCATGAAGCTATAAAGTTGTGTGAGAATGTTGTGCTCAACACAAATCAACCTACCAACATCGCCATTGGTCCTTCCCAAGAGGTAACTTTAACTCGTGTGAGAATCGAATGTTCAGATTACAACGATCTTTTCTTTCCCTTTCTTTACTTGTGACGTACGTTATGTTGCTAGGGCACAGTCTGGGGCGATCCATCGTCAAAGATTTGTGTTGCATTCCTTGCTAACTACGACAACACGAACGACGCGACCGTGGTGTTTCAGAATGCCTCGTACGACATCCCAGCTTGGTCCGTCAGCATTCTTCCCGACTGCAAGAATGTGGTGTTCAATACGGCCAAGGTGATAGAAGAAAAACATAGAACCTTTTGCGACGAATTCCAAAAGTGGTCACTACAGTGTCGTCCTCGATGTTCCACTAAATGCATGTATGCATATATATGGCAGGTGAGTTCTCAGAGTTCTGTGGTGGAAATGGTGCCCGAGGATTTGAAGCCATCTCAAGAGAAATGCGGGGAGGTGCAATTTGGAGGAGATTCTTCATCAAATAATCCTCTGAAATGGGAAGTGTTTGTGGAGAAAGCAGGGATTTGGGGTAAAGAGGCTGATTTGGTCTACAATGGTTTGGTGGATCAGCTCAACGTCACCAAAGATGCTTCTGATTACCTATGGTACACAACAAGGTAAATAACGTGGCTTGCCTCGCCTGAACTCTGATAAACACAAATTATGTTAATTGCTCTAAAACAACAGCATTGATGTGGGCGGAAACGAAGAGTTCATGAAGGATGGAAGCCAACTAGCTCTGGTAATCCAATTCCAGAGCCACCACCTCCATGCATTTGTAAATGGGGAACTTCTTAACAAAGGTTAAACATTAATTCCTCCTTCCTCTCCTTAATTTGATCAACAAATTGTCTTCATTAGTGACTAATTCTATCTGCTTCTGGAAACACATTAATCAGGTAATGCAGTTGGCGAGAATGAAACGCTGAGAATACCTGTAGCCCTCAGAGCAGGGAGGAATGAGATTTCTGTACTCAACTCCATCGTTGGTCTCCCGGTAATTAGGGCTAATTACTTGTTTAGCAAGTCTTTTATCTCAATTGGGATTTGCTCATTTCTGATTATCTTGGTTTCCTCCTCTTTCTGGGCTCTTCAGAGTGCAGGCGCCTTCTTTGAATGGATAAATTATGGTCCATCGAGTGTCAAGCTTGAAGGGTTCAACAATGGAACTGCAATGGACTTGTCCACAAGTAACTGGAGCTACAAGGTTAGTAACTTTGACACAATCTTCACTCTTCCCCTGTAATTTTACGCCATTAAGGAGTCGTTTGGATGTCGGATCGAAGAATTAATCAGCTCATTTCAATAAGCCCATGATGCGTTTCATTCGAATCATCCGGTTTTTGCTGCTATAGATTGGCATGGAAGGTGAAAAGCTCGAGATATACAAACCTGGAAGCACTGGCAATGTGACATGGAATGTACCTTCAGAAGTGCCCAAGATGCAGCCTGTCACATGGTACAAGGTATGTTCGAACTAAGCCTATAGACTCGCTGATTCGAACTTTGGGGTCAACATTGATCACCTACGAATAGAATTTCTCTCGATTCGATTGTTTTCGACTAGGTTATTGTGGAGGAGCCATCGGGGGATGAACCGATAGGGCTGGACATGCTCAACATGGGGAAAGGCTCTGCCTGGTTGAATGGACAGCAGATTGGGAGGTACTGGCTGCAGAGGAGTGGTGAACATGAACAATGTGTCAGCCATGGTGAAGAAGGATGTGATTACAGGGGTTATATGTATCCTGACAAGTGCAGAACTGGCTGTGGAGAACCCACTCAAAGATGGTACATTGCCACAAAAGTAATTAACTGTAGTACAAAGTTTAGTCTTTAGAAGTCACTTGCTCTATAACCTGGTCTTTGTTTATCTTTGTTGCCTTGGACCTTAAGGTACCACATTCCACGGTCGTGGTTCAAGCCGTGCGGCAATCTTCTGGTGATATTCGAAGAGGAAGGTGGAGACCCAACTGCGATTAACTTCTCGAAACGCAGGACCTCTCGTCTTTGTGCTTCTGTCGCCGAGGATCATCCGCCATTAGGGAAGGCCATGGTGCATCTCAGGTGCCCTGAAAACAGGAGCATGGATAATATCTTATTCGCCAGCTTTGGGACTCCAACAGGGTATTGTGGGTCATTCAATGTTGGAGATTACCATGATGTGAATTCCCTTTCCGTGGTTGAAAAGGTAAAAGTCTCCTTAAACTTAATTGGGTTTGGTCGAGTTGAATTGGGTAACGTATCATTATCGATCATGTCATTATGAACTGCTTTTTATAAGTAGGTTTAGATCGTATCGTAACAGATATGACTTGTTTCGATATATACTTTATGCAAATCGGATCGACAGGTTTAGGCATGTCATATAAACATATATCACCTCTATAACAATTTCTTGCAGGCATGCTTGTGGAAAAACGAATGTGCCATACAAGTTTCAGAAGCAAACTTTAACAAGGGAGGGTTTACGGGTTCAACCAAGATGAGACTTGCAGTAGAGGCAGCCTGTGGCTAGGGCAAGTGAGCATTGATGGTGGAGAAATTAATCGTGTCGTAATAAAACACAAATCGGTATTGCTCAAGTGTTGAAATATGAATGTGTCGTGGTTGATTATCTTGTTTTGTCGGAAGTTAACTTTCAAGCAGACTTTGTACGATGTGTGTGGGTTCGAGTTGCAAACTATTTTAATGTGTTATGATGCGACTTTGCAATAGAGTTTTCGTCAAGAGTGATGTGGGTGATATCCAACCCTCGGACCCCCAAGCCCTAACCGGCTAGCAGGCCGACCCAAAACTAAACCCAAACCGCACCATTCCTTTTCCCTCCTCACTTTGTTTGTCGTATCCTACCAATTAAATCCTCAACCACGGAATTGGATTAGATTTCTTATCCTCTCTCAATTTCACTCTCAATTCTCTATCTAATCAAAAATGGCGAACGAACTGCCTCCTCTGTTCTTCCACAACTCCCGTCCACTCTCAGATTTCCACCACTAACTCTACAGTCTACACTCTCCCGCTCCAATTTCCCGCCTCCATGGATTCCCTCTCCATCAGCCAACCCCTTTCCCGACTCAAGCTCTCCCCAAAATTCCCTCTCCTCCCCAAGCATTCCAATCCCCTGTTTCTTCCCCACCACCAAACCCAAAAAGCTCGCACCTTTACCCTCTCCGCCGTCCAAGACCAGGAAACCCAGCAGCCAATCCAAGGCGGCGGCGGAGGGGACGACTACGGCGAGGTCGACAAGATAATCGGAAGCAGAGCCCTCGAAGGCGGCGCCGGGATGGAGTACCTAATCCAATGGAAAGACGGCCACGAACCCTCCTGGCTCCTCTCCGACTACATCGCAAAGGACGTCGTCGCCGAGTACGAATCCCCCTGGTGGACCGCCGCCAAGAAGGCCGACGCTTCCGCCCTCCAATCCATCCTCGAATCGGAACTCGGCGACGCCCGCGACGTCGATTCCCTGGACCAAGCGGGCCGGACGGCACTTCATTTCGTCTCGGGCCTCGGCTCCGAGCAGTGCGTGAAGCTGCTAGCCGAATCCGGCGCCGACCTCGACCGCCGGGACAACGGCGGCGGGCTGACGGCGCTGCACATGGCGGCAGGGTATGTAAAACCGGGCGCCGCGAAAACCCTTTTGGATCTCGGCGCCGACCCGGAAATCGAGGACGACAGAGGGCTGACGCCGCTGGATCTGGCGAGGCAGATCCTGCAGGTGACTCCCAAAGGGAACCCGCTCCAATTCGGGAGGCGATTGGGGCTCGAGGCGGTGATCAAGGTCTTGGAGGAGGGAATGTTCGAGTACGCGGAGGTGCAGGAGGTAATTGAGAAGCGCGGGAAAGGAGACGGCGCTGAGTATTTGGTGGAGTGGAAGGACGGCGGCGATCGCGAGTGGGTGAAGAAGGCGCTGGTCGCGGAGGATCTGGTGAGGGACTTCGAGGCAGGGCTGGAGTACGCGGTGGCGGAGGCTGTGATGGGGAAGAGAGTGATCGACGGCGGGGAGGAGGAGAAGAAGGAGTATCTGGTGAAATGGACGGATATCGATGATGCCACGTGGGAGCCCGAGGAGAATGTTGACCCTGATTTGATCATGGAGTTCGAGGCTCGGGAAGGAGCCGGGTCGGCTCCTTGATTGGGTGGCCTTTTGGGCCTTGGGCCCTGATTGTCTTTATAACCTAGATTTTACTTGGGCTTTTGACACGTTTGAAACAAGGCCTATTGGGCCTGGAACAATTGCTTGATTAATATTTTCCCCCGTCTTTAGGCCCATACATTCTATATGGTCTCAGGCCTAATCCGAGTAACCCACGGACTACCAATCCCAATCCGAGTAACCCACGGACTACCGGCAAAAATATAAACAGCCAGCGGCGCGTCCGGAAAAAACAGAGTGATACTTAAAACTTTATCGGCAAGAAATCAAGAGTCTCGCTACAGCTGCAATGGCGAAGGATTCAATGGTTAGAGAAATCCGTAGTTCATGGGCTGATCTTCACCCGGAGCTGTTGAATTTAATCTACGAGAAACTGCCTCCCTCCCCCACCGCCCGGAGCTCAGGATTCGGTTCCGTATGCAAGCCCTGGCGCCGATTTCACGCCGCCGTTCCCCTGCCAACGCGGCATCCTTCCTACCGCCCGGGGCAATTCCTCGTCTGCACGACCGTCGACCCCATCCCGGACGACAAGATTCGTCGCCAATTGCGGGACGCCTACATCGCCTACAGCTGGCTGAGCAGCGGGTGGCTGATGCTGCGGCATTCACGCAACGTTCAGATCTTCGGTTGCTTCAATCCCCTGCTCTCCTGGCCGCGGAACTACATCGCGCTCCCTGGAGGTTCCAATTCGCCGTGGCCGCGGCAGATCAAGGCGGCTTTCTCGAGCGATCCTGCGGGCCCCGAGGACTGGACCGTCCTCGTCGCGGGAGAGCAGGGGTACGGTTTCAGCACGTTCCGCCGCGGCGACGCCGCCTGGCGGAATTACCGCCGCCGGTACCACTGAGCCATCATGTACGCGGGGGATTGCGTCGCGATCGGGTTCATGGACGGCGAGTTCTTCTGCTTGTTCGGCAGCGGAGACGTCCTGGTTTTCGGGATTGGGGAAGGCGGCGATTGCAGCGAGCGGAGGGTGCTGGTGGCGGATCCCCTTCCGGCGCCGCTGCGGGATCTTCACAACCTGCGAATTGTGGAGAGGGGAGGGGCGGCGGCGTGTGTGGTGGCGAATTGGAAGCAAGTTGCGGATCGGCACGGCTGCGGGAGGAGGTGGCGGCTGGGGAGAGTGGAGAGGAGAAGGGAGGAAGAAGTGGAGAGAATGGTGGGAGCAATGGACGGAGAAAGGAGGTGGAATTTGGGAGCGGCGGTTATGGCTAGACAACAACCTTACTGCACGATCAGCACGAGTGCTTAGATCGAAATCCTCATGCTTTATGCTTTAGGGTGTGCCTATGGTGACATGCATGTCACGGTGACTTGCACTTTCCGGTCGACCTCAGTTAGGAATAGGTCGACCTCATATAGAATTCGGTCGACCTCATATAGGATCCGGTCGACCTCATTTAGGATTCGGTCGACCTCATATAGGATCCGGTCGACCTAATATGTTGTTTCAGTGTAAAAACAGTTCATGGTGCCTACTTTGGATATTCATATCATACAATTGGCTAGATGGAAATTGAAGATTAATGACTTGTTTTGAAGCTAGAGTGTCCCTCTACATATTGAAGTGATTGAGAGCTCGATAGGAAGTCCAGAAGACCATTTTTGAACCTCATCAAAAGGCTATGCCAAAACTGGGAAACTGCCTAGAAATGGCTAAGTCTGGAAACATGTTTGTGAAGCCTATTTTTTAGCTCAATTCGAGAAGCATGAATGCGAGTTGAGTCCAGGAGCCTCTACCACGTTAAATTAGGTATGTTTTTATACAAATTCAAGGAATTGGATGAAAGATTGGATATCTTTAAGGCTTCAAACAAAAGGGTCGAAGTTGCTACGAAGGCTGTTTTTCTGGCAAACTTCGAGCACAAGCAAGCTGCCAGAAAAACAGCCTTCGTAGCAACTTCGAGCCTTTTGTTTGAAGCCTTAAAGATATTCAATCTTTCATTCAATGCCTTGCATTTGTATAAAAAAATACGTAATTTAACATGGTAAAGGCCCCTAGACTTGACTCGCATCCATGCTTGTGAAATTGAGCTCCAAAGTAGGCTTGACAAACACGTTGCCAGACTTAGCCATTTTCAGGCAGTTTCCCAGTTTTGGCATAGCCTTTTGGTCAGGTTCAAAAATGGTCTTCTGAACTTTCTATTGAGCTCCCAAGTACTTTAATGTGTAGAGGGACACTTCAGCTTCAAAACAAGCTTTTAATCTCCAATTTCCATCTAGCCAATTGTAAGATATGAATCTCCAAAGTAGGCACCATGAAACTGTTTGTACACTGAAACAACTGATTAGGTCGACCTGATCTTATATGAGGTCGACCGAAAAGTGCATGTCACCGTGACATGCATGTCACCGTAGCAAAGTCCTATGCTTTATGGTTAAAAAAAAAAATAAGATACACATTGTAGATTGATCATGTGTTTTTGGACATGTGTGTTTCAATTGGATCGTATGAACTTATAAGATTTGAGAAAACGACAGTTCCCTTCTCAAAGGTTACGTCGTTTCACAAAACTCAAATTCAATTAATTATCCAAAACTAATTATTAAAAATTAATTCCAAAAATTAATTAAATAGCCGAAAATTAATTTACTCAGTAGAGTGAGGAGTACCGTATGAACTTTGAACATACATTAATAACCCAAATGAATTATTTTTGTTATTGCTATATAATTCATTATGCGTAAGTATTATGACAATCGCTATGTATATAGCTAGGTTAATTTAATTTATAACCGGGTAAAGGATGTGAGATAATATTCATGACCAGGTTCTCCGGCATGGACCTCCGCCTTGTATTTGATTTCGCCAAGGTGAGCGGACGAGACGGTAATGTATAAATCAAATATTATCGTGTCTGCACCAGCTTCAATAAGATAATATCCTCTGTCCAGACTCACCAACTTTAATGTCTCTGATTTAGGGGCTTTTTTATTGTTCTCCGTCACAGCATACTCAGCCATTTTCATAAATTGTGGGCGAGTTTTCAGATCATGGTCACTGATTGGAGTCATATAGTCAGCCTCGGGGTCCTCATCGAGAAGTCGGGACATCGAGAGTGGAATGTGGAGGAACGCGACGAGCATGATCAATAGTATCATGAAGGTTGCAGTCGTCGCTGAATGTGAACTCCTCATCTCTGTAGACATTGTATATTGTCACGTACGTTCAATTACTTTCGATTTATTTGTTGAACTTGATGTTCCAATTAGCTTATGTTTTGGTATCTGATCTCTCTGTATAAAGGGATGTGTGAGTTGTTGCATAGTTGCATCCATGCCACACACACACATATATATATACTTACGTATGTAAGTTTATAAAACTCATACGCTAACTCTCTCTAATTAATGTGCCTTCATAAATAGAATAAATTGATCGTCCGTTAGTTTTTTTTTTAGGGAATCGTCCGTTAGTTCTTGTGATAAACCTACGTGTGTTGATTTTATTAATTGTTCCTCAACGATCAATTTATCAGGTTTATTAATTGTTACAAAATGAAGAATGCTTAAGAGTATGGTAGGGTGTGAGTACGTGCACCATATTACTTTGTAGATATATATATTTGCACGAGTGCTTAGATCGAAATCCTCATGGTTGCAGTGGATGCTTTATGCTTTATGGTTAAAAAAAATTAAGATACACATTGTAGATTGATCCTGTGTTTTTGGACATGTGTGTTTCAATTGGATTGTATTGGTTGGTATTATAACGAATCGTCTATTCAATCATGTGAAAATTGACCCGACACGAGTTCTTTATAATGTTTGTATATCATAGTGATCTAGTGGAATTGTGATTTTAGCAGTCCAGCCAATCAACACAAATATGGTGAAGACTATAGAGTGGCGAATTGAGGATTTTTTTGCGAAGTGTGTCCGTTGATAAAAATAAAATAAATAAATCATAAAGTACAAAATTTTATTGTTTTTCAAAAAAAAAAATATTATTATGAGAGATTTTCGAAATATTTTTATTTTGAAACTCAGATATTTTTCAATACATACAATACAACCCTTGGTAATCTGATTCTGAATATCATGGTATTAACTTCGTGTAAGCCAGGCTTTACTTTTGGGCTTGGAGCTAATTTGAAACCAAGCCCATTGGGCCAGAAACCATTAAACACGAATCAGAATAGAATCCGTCCCGCACAAGGACAGTTGAGTGTTTATAAATAAATTTAATTTAATCATAGGAAACAGAGATACGGAAAAACAGAGGAGGAACCCTAGACGATGGTTGGAGAAAACGGGAGGCCATGGGCTGATCTCTGCCCGGACCTATTGAACCTGATCAACGACAAACTGCCTCATTACGACGCCGTTCGTCACGCCGTGTTGGGATCGGTATGCAAGCCGTGGCGCAAACTTCACCGCGCCGCTCGTCGCCAGCCGCCGTTGAGACCATGCCACCGCTGCAGAGATCCTCACCCCGCCGGATACCGCCTGCACGGGAAAACACCGGAACTCGTCGAATCGACGACCGTTCCGCATCGCGTTCGCGAAAAATTGTACGGCCAAATCATCGCTTACGCCTGGCCGAGCAATTGGTGGCTTCTGAAGAGTGAAGATTCCCCCGGCGGCGAGATCACTGGTTGCTTCAACCCCTTTCTCCCATGGCCCCACAATCACAGCAAACTGCCCTTGCTCCCCGCATCCCTCACCGACTCCTCACCCAGGGGTATCAGAGCCGGTTTCTCCGCGCCGCCGACGAGCGATCCGGCCGCCGTCGATTGGACCCTCCTCGTCGCCGGCGCCGGCGGCGGGGCTACTTTCAATACTTACCGGCGGGGTGGTCGTTTCTGGAAGAGATACAGCTGTGACTACTTGGAGGGCCAGCCTTGCTTGGGAGTCGGGTTTCAGGGGAGCGAATTCTTTTGCCTGTTCGAGAGGGGAGACGTTGTGATCTTCGGAATCGACGGCGGAGCAGGCACCAGAACGTTGTTAGCTGATGCTCCTCCTCCTCCTCGCCCTCTTCCTCCTCCACTAATTTCTGATCTGACAGTTGTTGAGAGGGATGGAGGAGAACGTGTGTTGATGAGTTGGGAGGAGAGAGGCTCTGTTGAAACAGGGGATTTTCGGCTTGCAGAGGCAGGGGAAAACAGGGGAAGAACGGTGGTTTTTGTTACAGAGCACGCGTGGAACTACATCGATCTGGACTCGTCCATCCCGTACAGGATCCGCCTCAAATTGGAGGACGAATCCATCGTCTACAAATGGCCGAGCAGCGGCTGGACGCTGCGGCAGGATTCGCACAGCTTTCAGATCGTCAGTTGCTTCAATCCCCTGCTCGCCTGGCCTCGGAATTACATAAGGCTCCCCGACCGTTCCAGAATGCTAACGCGCCGGAATTCGCCGCGGCGGATCATCGCGGCCTTCTCGAGGGATCCCGCGGCGGCGGCGGCCGGAGACTGGACCATCCTCGTCGTCGGGGCGTGGCCGTGGAGTTTCAGCACGTTCCGCCGCGGGGACTGCTTCTGGAAGAATTACCACCATTACGACGGCCGCTCCTCCGGTGAAGATTACCACCGGAGCGAGGCCGACTGCGTGGGGATTGGGTTCTGGAAGGGCAGATTCTTCTGCCTGTTCGAGAGCGGAGAGGTTTTGATTTTCGGAACCCGCGATGGCTACGAGCGGAGGATGCTGGCGCCGCTTCGTCCCCTTCAGCCTGGTCGCCTGTGCGATAATCCGCAAATCGTGGAGGTAGGAGGAGGCACAGATTGGGGATCTTGTGTGGTGGTGAGTTGGGAGCGAGTTGCGGATAGACACGGCGGCGGCGGCGGCGGAGGAACTGGAAGGAGATGGCGGCTTGATAAAGTGGAGAGGAGAAGAAAGGCAGAAACGGAGAGAATGGTACAATTAGCGGACAAAGAAAGAATGGTTATCGTTAGAGGAAAACCCAACCACAGGATCATGAGAGGACTTAGCTTGAAAATGCATTGAAGATTGGTTTAGCGGTTAAATTGTTGATTTATAATGTGGAGATTTCAAGTCTGAATCTGGTCGAGAGAAAATATAAAAAAAAGCATGTTATGTTTCTTTTTTCTTTTATTGTCGAATTTTTAATATAGTTATCGGTGTCGTAGTATACGTGATATAATACCATAAATGACCCATTAGTATGTGATATTTCTCGTATCTCATTATTGGCATACCGTGCAATGAAGCTATGTTGTTAGGTGTTACGATTAGGGCTGCAAATGAGCCAAGCCGCTCGCGAGCAACTCGGCGTTCGAATCGAAAAAAACTCGTTAGTGAATGAGCCAAGCTTGAGCTAGGCCATGCTCGGTTTGATAAGCTCGTGAGCTAGCTTGACTTGGTGGCTTGTTGAGCTAAGCTCGCGAGCTGGCTTGTTTAAAGCTTGTGGAAGGATTAATTACTTTTCTAAACATGAAAATTATCTTGTTAATAAGTATGTGTATGGAAATTAGATGTTATTTTTAGTTTCTAGTGTTCTTTTTATCATTTTTAATTTCTAATGTTCTTATTTGTACACATTTTTCAGCAAGAATGGTTTCAAATCGAGCTTATCTTGAGCCGAGCTTGTACTCAGCTTGACAAGCTGTGTTAATGGGCATTTACCGAGCTCTATCGAGCCGAGCTCGAGCTGGATTATTTTTAATCGAGTTGAGCTCGAGCTCGAGCTGGATGATCAAAACGAGCCGAGCTCAAACTAAGCAAAAACTCGACTCGACTCGTTTGCAGCCCTAGTTACGACCTAACCTCTACCGTGAGGTATTCCAAGTGTTTGCAAAAAAAATTGTGTCAATGGATGAATATAAACAATTGTTCCATGATTTAATTCAAATATTGATTTAATCTTACACGATATATTAAATGAAAAACCAGCAAAATTACATGATCAAAAATCGATTTAATCTTTCAGAATTGTCCTAAATTTTAGGACTTGTGCCTCAAACAACCCTCCTTATCTCAGAAAGTCTCCTAATTCAAACAAAACACAAACAGAGCCAGAGCGTAGAGGGAATTGAGACCTTCATCGACAAGAAATCAAGAGTCTCGCTTCGCTGCAAAGGCGATAGAATGGTTATAGAATCAGGAAGAAGACCATGGGCCGATCTTCACCCGGAGCTACTGAGCTTGATCTACGACAATCTGCCTCCCTCCGCCGCCGCCCGCAGCTCGGGATTCGGCTCAGTGTGCAAGCCCTGGCATCACTTCCACGCCGCCGCTCCTCCCCTGCCTCCGCCACCGCCGTACCATCATCCTTACCTCACCGGGCACCTCCTCGCTTGCCCGACCATCGACGACGCGGCCGTCCCCGACGAGATTCGCGACGAGCTGCATGCCGCGTCGATCGCTTACCGCTGGCAGAGCAGCAGCGGGTGGCTGCTGCTACGACATTCACACAACGGCCAGATCTTCAGCTGCTTCAATCCCCTGTTTTCCTGGCCGGAGAATTACATAAAACTCCCGTCACGTCACGCCATCACACCTCTTCCCGTCACTGATCCCGAATCGCCGCCGCCGATTAAGGCCGCTTTCTCGAGCGACCCCGCCGGCCCTGACGACTGGACCATCTTCGTCATCGGAGCAATTCCGAGCGTCTTTAGCACTTTCCGGCGAGGGGAACTGAGCTGGAGGAATTACCAATGCTACCAAAACGGGAGCGATCAGCCGGGCCTGACCGATTGCGTGGCAATTGGGTTCAGGGAGGGGAAATTCCTCTGCCTGTTCGAAAGCGGAGACCTTTTGATTTTCGGAATCGGCGGCGGCGAGAGGCAGAGGAGGATGCTGCAGGCGTACTACCCTGTTCGGGCGACGGAGAGGCTGGTAGAACGGTACAATAATCTGCTGATCGTCGAAATCGGAGGGAGATCGGAGCTGGGATCGAGTGTGGTGGTGAGTTGGGAGCGAGTTGCAGATAGGCACGGCGGCGGAGGGCGGCGGTGGCGGCTCCAGGGAGTGAAGAGAAGAAACGTGGAATTGGGGAGAAAGGCGCCGGAATTAATGGAGGAAGGGACGAGGTTGGATTTGGCGGTGGTTTACGTTCGTGAGAATCCCGACTACGTCGTCTCCAAGATTTGGAGCCGCAGCTTGACTAGGTGTGCTGGGTTGCTTTTGCTTGCCGGAAGTCTGGCCGTCAGTTTGTTTTTAATTGCAATACCAGCAACATATGCGGTTCCAAATGAGTAGAGTTAATGAAATTTGTTTGATTTGAGATTTAAACTCTTTTACTACTATATTCCGCTTGAATTCGGCTCATTAAAAAGTTTAAGATCTCTAATGGAGTTCGACTCATCAATTAGTTCACGAGTTCAATTCATTTGTATTGTATTATTGAGCGAAATTTTTAAAAATATTTATAAATTAAATATTGTAATGTTTGCATGTTGTATATGATACATGTGATCTATGTTATGAATGAAAAAAATTGTTAGTCAATTTTTCATCATGCAAACACGGGTTTGGTTTATCAATATTATCACATGTTCACCTTTTGACGATTTCAAATTCGAATCTCAAGATGAACTTCCCCTCATATCCCCTTTTTTTAGATTGAAAACATTACACCCTGGTATGGTATACAACCAAGTTAGAAAATAAATAAAAAAACGAAACGTAGTCATGTATAAAGAAAGGGTGTTTCTAGCTTGTCACCAAATGGTACAGGAAAACCATTATAATTTGCCAACAAACAAATGACTTTCTCAAGAATGGCTCCATGGTGATTATCTTGTTTATCGATCTGGTTTATCTGATCTTTGACCATTTACGAATTTGTTGGTGATACTACTGCATCAATTAATCATACACTACAAAATATAATGTTAAGATACACAGGTGGTATATTGAGCATTATAGTTGATCCGTCCAAACGTCAATTTGATCTAATTTAACTTAGATTTGGATCGAACGTCTGATTGTTATCACGCATGTCCATAGAGTGAAAGGCACATCCAATTTGATGATTTCAGTTAAACCATGCCGTATTAATTGGTGACCAAACAAAATACTGTAGTCTCCTTAGACCTTAGTTCGTTTTCTTGCACTCTTGCTGCAATTGTTTATAATAAGCGTGTGAATCCGGCCGCGTATCAGTCCCATCGGAAAATGAACCGGCGGGCGGCGGAGTGAGAAGCACGCCGTTACGGTGCCAGCCGAGCAGAAGGTGGGAATGATTCAACAGCTTTTTGCTTACCGCTTTTGTCAAAGAAAGCAGAATGCAAGTTGACGCCAAACGTAGTAAAATAGTAATGAATTCAGCTCGATTGGGAAACATGGTTTAAGAAATCCCATTGTATCAGCCAATTTGACCGAAAATATTGATATTGGGTTTCAAATGGTAGACGACTGTTTTAACGGTACAAAATGGTTTGAATCACGATTCTAGTATAAAATAACTCATTGCTATCTTTTTCGTTATATCTTCCCGTACGGTTTCACGATCATTATTGGAAGATCGAGCCAGTTTGGGTAATTTACCGAGGTAGGGGGGGGGGAGATCTTGTATGGGAATTGGGTCCGAGTTGTATAAGATCAAATCGAGATTCATAAATAGACAAATAAATCGGGTCTAGACTAGAATTGGATAAAAATTCCATTTGCTTAAGTTGTGAAGCTAAAGGACATTTGATGGAATTGGAAGTGAAAGAAAATCGCGAATCAAGATTGGGCGGCTTGAACAAAACATTAACCAATTTATTTAAAAGTCGATTCGATCCAACCTGATTCAAATGGTAGGGATGGGCAATGGGTGGGTCAACCGCTAGACCCACCCAAATCCACCCGATTATAACAAACCCATTACATGTTTGGGTGGATGTAGTGGGTGAGTGTGAGTCAATTTTTCATCACCCACCATAACAATGAGTGAGTGGATTTTGCCCAAAAACCGACCCAATCCACCGATTGCCCATCCCTACCAATTGGGATCGAATAATGGTTGCTTTGGTCCAGTCATTATATCAGTTCATATACAAAATGAAAATAAATAATTTTATAACATAAAGCCTCCCATTTGATTCAATTAATTATTTTAAATTATTATGGAAATAGAATCCAAAGTAAAGCAAACACAAATTGATGTCAAATTACGTATCAATTCTAACCATAAATTTCAAATTAAAAATGTACTCGACATGATTCACGCGGTACTTAATTGATTCATGCGACTTCAAAAACCTTACTCGAATCAACAACACATCAAAATTAACGATACACACTCACAAACTCGAATCAACAACGAATCAAAATTAATAAAATGTTAACTCGCAATAGAGATATCAACCGGTCCGGTTCGATTTGATCCGTTCCGGTAGTCCCCACCCTTCACATTTGTTTCCCAAGTCAGCTTTACCATCGCCGCGCGTGATCACTGATCTCTCTTCTTCTCTGTCTCCTTCCCTTCAGTGACTCTGCCTCTCTGCTCTTTCCTTCCTTTCTCGTCCCATCACACCTTCCTCTCTCAGAGAAAAAAAGAAACCCTTCCAATTCCTCTGTCTCTCTCTTCAATCACTCTGTTTCCTCCCCTGTTTTCCCCTGTTTTTCCTCCCTCGGCTCAAAGTTACCAAAACTCACTCAAATTCAAAAACCTTCCCCCAAAAATTCCCCCCTGATTAAAAACAATGCACGCCAAGACCGATTCAGAAGGCACGAGCGTCGACACGACGTGGCCGCCGCGCTCTCCTCCCCGCCGGCCGGTCTACTACGTCCAGAGCCCGTCCAACCACGACGTCGAGAAGATGTCCTATGACGGCTCCAGCCCCGCGGGTTCCCCGCCCCACCATTTCTACCACTGCTCCCCAATCCACCACTCCCGCGAGTCCTCCACTTCCCGATTCTCCGCCTCGCTGAAAAACCCGCGCAGCCTCTCCGCCTGGAAGCACGTCCAGCTCAACGGCCACCGCCGCGCCGGCCTCGACGACGACGATGACGACGACGGAGATGAGTTCGTTGCCGGAGGCGATCGTGGGTTCGGCTCGAGCCGGTACAATTCCGTCAGGGTTTACATCCTCGGGCTCTGTTTCTTCGTCCTGCTCTTCACTCTGTTCTGTTTGATCCTCTGGGGAACGAGCAAGTCGTACGCCCCCAAAATTTCCGTCAAGGTAAACCGTCCCCTGCTTTTTCCTCCGTTAAAGTTCGAACCTTTCGAGCTAAACTGAGTCGTGGGAAATGGGAATGCCGTCGTTTGACTCGGAAGGGGTGCCGAAATTGCATAGCACTGGAAGGAAACTTCCTTGACCGAGTCAACTCGGCTCATTTCTTTCATTGGGGAACGGAAATGCTCTGTTTTGGTAACTGGTTTCAATTCGTTAATCAATGCTGCAACTTCGGAAACGAAAGGGTGGAAGAAAGTTGGTCTCTTTTTGCTTTCTGAGAAATCTCGGTAACGTAATCTCGTGGGTTTAGGCCCTAATTAAAGACAATTAAATAGTGATTAGCTGAAAGGCATTGTGAAAAGTCGTGATTATGGGGTTTTTTTTTTTTGCTGCTTTTCTTTATTCTCTGTGTGTGTGAAATGCAGAGCATGGTGTTCGAGAATTTTAATGTACAAGCAGGGAATGACGGATCAGGGGTGCCAACAGACATGCTCTCGTTGAACTCAACGGTCAAGATCCACTACAGGAACCCAGGAACCTTCTTCGCCGTACACGTCACCTCCACCCCTCTCGAGCTCCACTACTTCCAGCTCAAGCTCGCTTCTGGCCAGGTAAAGTGAAAAAGATGGAATCTTTCGACTAATTATGACAATTTATTGACTAATCACTGATGGGTAATCAGTACTTAGTTAATTACCCAATAGAACAAGCTTCCATGGGCAGGGGTAGGTTGGTCCAAACCCTTGGGTTCAGAGGGTCAAAGGAAACTTTTTTTGGTCTAGAGAGAGAGAGAGATAGAACATAGGGAAGTGGGGCAATGGGGGAGATTGCAGAAGATATTTGAATAGATAGATAGGGATGCTATCATGCTGTACATTAATAATAAGGAAAGCCTGCAAAGTGAAAAGGACTCTGCAATGTGAGGAAGAAAGGGTCTAGGTTTGGGTTCCTTGTTGGGAAATGTTATGAGATGAGGAGAGAGAGAGAGAGAGAGGGGCACTTGAGCTTTGTAAGGGCAGTCTGTTTGGTGGGGTGGTGGTGGGTGCCCAATTTATTAATGTCTGTGTAGGGTTCAATTCATGACCCATAAAGATAGAAGCTTTTTCTTTCCTGTGAAACTTGGTTATGGGCATTGGGCATTGCCAATTCTGGTTTTGATGATTGATTCTGCTGAAGCCCCAAGTTTGGGAAAGGGAGATGAAAATGGTGGGTTCATAGTTGTTTGCTTTTGTAGGGGAAGCCCTCTACCAATAGGATTTGAGCTTCATGTCATCATCCACACTAATGCAACCAACAGAATTATTTGATCCAGTCTAGAGAAAGTTCTTCAATGTTTTCACATCCATTATCTTCCTTAGGCTCGAGTGTCAACGATGGATGTTTCCTCCTACTATAGTATGAATGCTTTGCAATCACAATTATTTAAAATTTTAGGTCGATTTTGAACATGAATCACACTACTAACCAAACAATTCCTTAGCATTCACATAAGTTACGGTTGACTATGCCTCTCATTTAGTTACGTGGAATGAGAACGTTCACATTGTATCTATCTCAGACTCAATGTGAAGCGTTAAATGTTCCTTCGTGATATCTTTGTTGCTAATGACGCAAGTATGGCCACCATCATCAACTAGTCTAAGCAAAGAATTTAGCGTTTAGCACATCATAATCATTAATAATGCATTTGAAATGTCAATTACACCATAAAGTCTCCATGTGCTTGACAAAATTTATATTTGGGCATTTTTTTTCCAACAGATGAAGAAGTTCTCTCAGCCGAGGAAGAGCGGCCGGACGGTGATCACCGTCGTCAACGCACACCAGGTGCCGATGTACGGCGGGGTGCCGGTGCTGGCAAACGCCTACACCAACATGGGCAGAGTCGCCGTCCCTCTCAACCTGACCTTCACCGTGAGGTCCAGAGCTTACATTTTAGGGAGGCTGGTGAAGTCCAAGTTCTACACCAAGGTCCGGTGCCGCCTCACCCTCCATGGGAATCATCTTGGGACGCCACACAATTTGACGAATGCTTGCTTTTACGGTTGATGAACATATAGACGTGTCATGGTAATGGTGCATTGCTATTGATGTTGATTTTTGTGGGTATGTAGATGTTTTGTTGGTTGGTGTAAATTGCAATTTTGGTTTTGGGTTTAGTGGAAGGTTTTGGTGGAAGTGGAAATTTGGACTTCTAGATCACTCAATCATCTCTTTATAGGAACTAGTAACTAACATCTAGAATCAAGGGACTAAATCAACATAGCATGAGTTGGTCAGGGAAATAATACGACAGGAACTCGATAGATATTGCTCAATAGAACAAAGATCAAGAGTAAATTTTTTTCTTAATTAATTGATTCCTAGTCTACTAAAACGTAATCCACACCCAAATACCAAGTGTTCAACTGCAACACAACGAGAAGCAATCAGTATTTGATGCTAAATCAAAGATATAATTAATATTTGTTTGTTAAACATGACGATCAACATAAATTTTGGGTCAAATCTATCCATTACACTTTGAAAAATTAGCCATAAGCCCATAATTGCCTTATTAGAAAGTTCAGATCAAGACTGTCAATTATGCCAAGGTATTAACCATAATTTCTCACAGTGATAATATCAACATAGTCTTCACATTTCAGTTCAATCCAACAATGCAGACATTGGTGACTTCTAAATGGCTTGATTCGAATTGTGTAATTCATAAAAGTTTGCTTTCTCTGAAGAAAGCCTAGTTCTCATTATCAAAACCAACAACTCAGTGTCATGAATGTCATGCTAGCATCATAGCTCAGTGCTGAGTATTGCTAAAAACGTCAAACCAACACCATCCAACACATTAACTTGTCTTTCCGCAGATTTCATATGCTTCCCTTGTATAATTAGTCAACATGAGAAGCCATTACCTCTAAAGTCAAAATCAAATCTTTTAACTGCTCAGATATCTCCAGCAGGGAGGATGATAGCATCTACAGGCTGATCTTCACTTCTCCCATGTGGCATTTCTGTCAGGGAAACAGTATGGAGAAAACGGATTGAAGGCGTGATTTTGATCACTCTCCTTAGAGTGTTTATTTGCCCCCACTACGTTGTTGCTGGTAGGATTTAGGCAAACCACCCCTAGGTGTCCCTCCAATCAAAGTCAGAAAGCAACACCTTTCGTGACTTCTGTGTTTGTGTTTTTTGGAGAAGGAAAAACGAGAAGAAGAAGATGAACGTTGGAACTCAATCTTCTGGCCAACGTCTCTTATAAGATTTGAGAAAACGGCAGTTCCCTTCTCAAAGGTTACGTCGTTTCACAAAACTCAAATTCAATTAATTATCCGAAATTAATTATTAAAAATTAATTCCAAAAATTAATTAAATAGCCGAAAATTAATTTACTCAGTAGAGTGAGAAGTACCATATGAACTTTGAACATACATTAATAACCCAAATGAATTATTTTTGTTATTGCTATATAATTCATTATGCGTAAGTATTATGACAATCGCTATGTATATAGCTAGGTTAATTTAATTTATAACCGGGTAAAGGATGAGAGATAATATTCATGACCAGGTTCTCCGATTCCGACTCCGGCATGGACCTCCGCCTTGTATTTGATTTGGCCAAGGTGAGCGGACGAGACGATAATGTATAAATCAAATATTATCGTGTCTGCACCAGCTTCAATAAGATAATATCCTCTGTCCAGACTCACCAACTTTAATGTCTCTGATTTAGGGGCTTTTTTATTGTTCTCCGTCACAGCATACTCAGCCATTTTCATAAGTTGTGGGCGAGTTTTCAGATCATGGTCACTGATTCGAGTCATATAGCCAGCCTCGGGGTCCTCATCGAGAAGTCGGGACATCGAGAGTGGAATGTGGAGGAACGCGACGAGCATGATCAATAGTTTTGTGAAGGCTGCAGTCGTCGTTGAATGCGAACTCCTCATCTTTGTAGCCATTGTATATTGTCACGCACGTACGTTCAATTCCTTTCGATTTATTTGTTGAACTTGATGTTCCAATTAGCTTAGGTTTTGGTATCTGATCTCTCTGTATTAAGGGATGTGTGAGTTGTTGCATAGTTGCAGCCATGCCACATATATATATATATACACTTACGTATGTAAGTTTATAAAACTCATACGCTAACTCTCTCTAATTAATGTGCCTTCATAAATAGAATAAACTGATCGTCGGTTAGTTCTCGTGATAAACTTACGTGTGTTGATTTTATTAATTGTTCCTCAATGATCAATTTAACAGGTTTATTAATTGCTACAAAATGAAGAATGTTTAAGAGTATGGTAGGGTGTGAGTACGTGCACCATATTACTTTGTAGATATATATATTTGCTTCTTTTCGTTAGCGATTTCTTCCATTCTCTTAAAAGTGAGAATATGATTTTATTTTGTCAAATCGGTCCAGTTCATTATTAAAGAAGGCAATTGTGATGACAAATTCTGTAAATATAATAATAAGAATCTTTTCCTGATCTTAGATTCTTAATAGCTACACCTCCAAATCTTTTCTATTATTAAACCGCATAGCTATTGTATACTTCCCTTCCAAAGTCTCCCTTATATATGGCAATACCTGAATTGAGATGACAAACTAAAATCCCTTAATTAATAAATCAAAACCCATTTCAATCCCTTGGCTGCAGAGCTACCGTTTCGCCATCTTCTCCATCAAATACCACCGAAAATGCATTACCCGAGAAAATCTCCTATTGGAGTCTAAACGGGTAGATAATTTTTAGCCGTATCAAACCGTTGAATAATAATTTAACCACAATTTCAGTATAAAGTACCTCACTACTAACTTTTTCAATATGATTTTTCAATCATTGCTTGCTTGGTAGCCAAACTCCTCTCAAAGTTGCTAATGGAAGTGAAAAGGATTGAAAGAAAGATTCCTAGTTGGGATGACTAATCAGTGATCACATTTGCCTATTAGTTGAGTTAGTAGAAGGGCTAGGTTTCTGTAGATAAGAAATTGGGATCTCTCCATGGGCCTACTACAGTTTGTGAAAAGGGAATTTTCTGTGGGCCATTATGTTTCCTCAAATGGGCTACGGTCCATTTGTTGGATCCTTGCTGATTGAGTTACTTCTTTGAATCTCACACTCCAAACCAAAGGATGAAGCAGCAGTAAAAAAGGCACATAGTCAAAACAAATTTTCACATTCAACGACTTACAAGATTACAGACACCAGACAGTAAAAACATGGGGAAACTAAACTTCCCGAAATCAAAGTACTGAATTTTAAAGAAACAAGCATTTTTAAACACGCATCTTCACAAATTTGAATAGGGCCATTCAATCCTCTTTTTTAGCTTCATGATCTCCACCGTTCTTGTGGCTACCAGGAATCTTGTCCTTGATCTTGTCCAGGATCCCTTTCTCCTTCGGCTGAGCAGCACCGCTTTCAATGTCGACATGATCTTCATCACCAGGTTTCTTCATCTCCTGCCCATACAAAGGGAGCTTGTCCATCATCTTCTCAATGAAACCTTTCTTCTCCTCCGAATCATCTTCGTGCATTTGTATCAGGGTAGCTTGATTAGCAGCGCCATTGGCCTTATCATCATCATCCCCAGTGATAATGATTTCTGGCTGCTCCTGCTGATGGTCGGAGTGGTGGTCTTCTTCCTTCTCACCAGACAGCTTCTTCTTGATCCTTTCCTTCATCCCTCTCTTCTTCCTCTTCTTCTCTCCTATTTCCCCTCCTTCCTCCTCTTCTTCACTCGACTGTTACAGTTCAAAGATTCAACCTTTGATACCAAAACTAGACGCACGGAGAAAGGTAAAAGCACGGAGTCGTTCAGGAACTTACCGAGCTGCCACCGTCAGAGCGGTGAAGCTGATCGGCGAGTGTGGGGTTGCCGCCGTGCTTCACCTCCTGATGTTCAATGTCAGCCATAGCGGCATCACTTGGAGTCTGCTTATGTTCATCGTGGTGACCGCCGCCGCCGACTTTCTTCATCAGAAGTCCGCACAACCCGCCGGCGGTGGGTTCCTTTTCCTGCTCTGCTCCGCACCCATTTCCGGCACAGGCAGGGTGATGGTAAAGATTAGGATCCGCCATACTTCGCTTCCCTAAAACAGTTTGAAGAGTGATTGATGTGATAGTGAATAGTGATAGATAATGGGATTGCAATGTGGTGTTTATCCAACTGGGTAGTTGCAAATATTTATAGGAGAAACTGAGAAAGCAAGCACTGAGAGAGATGCTGGAAATGGGGGAAAAAGACATTAACTGTGGCAGACATGAGGGTGGTAAGTGTGGCGTGACCATTGCCGCCATTGTCGGTTGAGGACGGTTGAAAAAGTGGTAAAAATAAAGAAAGTAACTGACCTGAAAGGTCGGTCTGGACGGTGTGGTGAAAACCGAGGATGTGCAGCAGCTTGCTGCTCTGTGTTTGGTGGTTGATGGCTTTGTGGGTAATAGTTTCGATGCCAAGGCATCAAATCAGCACTAATGGTGAATTAAAAAAACCATTGATGTGGGAATCTCTATGCATTAGCATCAAAATGCTCGTAGGTTCCACGTGATTGGCTCAAGTCTAAACCATTCACTCCAACCCAAAACTAGTGCTGATTGGCTTTCATTTGGTTTCATAGGCATAGTCATGGAAAGAGTGAATCCACTTACCCAGCTCCAAAACCCCCAATTTCAGCACAAGCCGGCAAGGCCGCCACCAAAGCCACCTGGTCTCGTTCGACCCTGGCTTTCCTCGTCTCATCAAACAGATACAATGCGTGCCCAGCGATGATAGTGGTCCACGACACAACGTTTCTCTCAGGCATTTCATCAAACACCTTCCTCGCCGATCATAGCACTCCACAAGTGGCGACATTTTTTTCCACACATTTCATCGAACACCCGACGGACGCAATCCGTCCGGGATCCACCACCTGCCGTGGCGTACATGTTAACCAAGCCCGCTATTCACAAACACGTTGTTCAAGCAATGCCCTGTCGACAAAGCTCTCCCGTGAAGCTGCACGCCTTCTGTCAAGGAACCAGACTTGGCGCAGGCACGGAGAACAAAGGAATACGTGAACCCAACCATTTGATTGATGTTGTAGGGCTTGGAACTGGAGGTGGCCTGCGGGTTAGCGCCGGGAAGGGCAGAAATCATCGCCGTCATGGCTCCTCCGCTTCCGTTGCCAGCAATTGCACTCCCACCGGCGAGCAAGAGGAGATGAATATGGGCAATGGGCTCCCGCCAACAGAATGATTAGAAATGGACCGTGTGCTTTTGATTTCTCATGGATCTGACTTTGAGGCCTGGTGAGTGCAGCAAGCCCATGTCATAGGAGAAATATGAATTTACAAGATAAGTATTTACATTTTTTTTTATTTGTTTAGTATTCCTAAAAATTGTTCGATACAGATAAGAACAAATTTAATGACAAGGAAAAAAATTATGAGTAATAATGAATGGAGTATTTGTAATCCGATATATCATAATATTAACCAAATACGAACAAAAATGTACGCTAAACTCGTTCGTCTTTCCATTTGCATACGGTTTACCGTCAAGAGGAAAAAATGAACAAAAATAGAGCGGTTAGTTTCTCCATTTCCTCCAAAACTTTAATTGACCCACCTATCACTAAGTTACATATTTCTACTCTACACTTTATAGTTTCATTCTGGTTTGAAGAAATTGGCATGGAGGCCTTTATCAGCCAAGCTCCAAACAGCTCCAACCACCAAAAGAACGCACAAAGCCATCCCCAAGCTACCAAGCAACAAATTCAAACCCCAAACCGCCACATCTCCACCACTTTTACAATCCGTGTTGGGTGCGGATTTCTTCACCTTCATCTTCATCGCAATCCACATCAGGCAAGGATAAGCCAGAGTCAGAGGCAGAGCCACGGCTCCTATCAATGGAGCTAGGCTAGGCAAGAACGGGAATGTCACGGCGATGAAGAACGTCACCCCTCCGAAGAACATCCTCGAGCAGGCTCGAACGAGCCTCGAGCACGGCTTGTTGTTCTTCTTTTGGGAGATGAGACTGAGCTCCAGGTTGTCGAAAACCGGCATGGCGTAGATTGGGTATGAGGTCAGGCAGTTGAGTAGAAGTAGCAAGTAGATGAGGCCTTTCAGTGGGTTCGAAGTGCTCGAGCCGTGGAATGATGAGAATGCCTTCAGCATTCCTCCACTGGAAGGCACCTGCAGAGGAAATTTTCCAGGTTAGATGGCTCAAATTGGTGACTGAAATCATGAGGTTTGATGATTCTTTATGTCATGAAGCTTACCTTGTTTCCATAAGCCCAAAACCCTGCAATTGCTAGAGGGAACAAGATGATCATCACAATTGCGTATGAAATCATCACAGCTCTCCACATTGTCTTCCTAGATTGAATCTTCTGTCCTGAAGGCAATGTCCCCTGCCATCAAACCCCAAAAATCCATTGTTTTCAGTTTCATGATCTCTTAAGTTTGTTGAAATCCTGAAAAGGATTGATCTTTCTTACTTGGATTTCAAGAATAAGATTGTGGCCTCTGAAAGAAAGCATGATGATCCCAATTCCATTCACCACATCACTCATTCTCCCCATGCCAGATTCATTTGATGATGGTGATGATCCATAATCAGCATCAGGAAGCCTTCCTTTCGCGACGGGGAGTGCCCACAGGAAAGTGCAGTAGGAAATGCCTGTGATGGCTGCAACCAGCGAGAACCCAGCAACAGAATTGAGGTTTGGAGCTTGAGCCATCACTATAGCCATGGCTGTGAACACCAAGAACCATTCTACCGCGGTCAGCGCGGAGGTACTAGTCCCTCTGACCTCATTGAAGAAGAGCTCCATGGCTTTCCCCCCATTGATGATCAGCACCACGCAGGATGCTCCTGACAGGTACATCACTGGAAACAGTGCCAGCAGTTTCCCCAACTTTGGACCTGTAGTGTAAGCAAATAATTGTCACTTTTAGGTTTGCAGTTTTGGGAAAGTTTGGTTGAGAAATGAAGAGGGATGGAGTCCGTCAGTACTAACCAAATGCAGCCATTGATAGCTGAAGGAATCTACTGTACCGAGTTCCGGGGACCGATTCATGGAGCTGGACTAGAACCCAGATGGTGTAGAGCTGCCATATGAAACCCAGTGACAAACATATGACTCCCCATGCCCTGCAGCCATTGACACCAAAATTGTTACCTACTAGTTACTACCCATTGACTTTCTTGGTTAAAAGTTTCTGACTTTGCAGTACAATTACACCAGATCATGCCAAGAATTGAGGGAAAATATGTTCCTTTTTTTCATTGAAATGGTTGTTGTTACTGATTGGAATCTGTTTTGTTTGTTTGTTTGGAGGTGGTGATTTGGAATCTTGAATTTTCAAACCATGCAAACCATATTTAAATATTGGCAAGATGCATATATGAGACAAAGTATGTAGATCCAAAATTCCCTTTCTCCCACCTACCGTGGAACAACTACTACTAGATACTGCACCAAAAAGACAGAAAAATTCCAGAACTTGAAGCTCCTATATTGGGATCTTCTGACAGAGATACCATGAACACAAGAGGAAACCCAGGTTAATGTTCTTGCCTAAAGAACATATACCAGACATAAACAGTAAGTAGAGACCATTACCATCCAAGTGAAGCAAATGCAACGGGAAGCAAGAGAGCTTGAACTCCAATTCCAGAAGAAATCAAATGGAAGACACAAGTCCAGAGATTCCCCTCCCTGGATTCTGTTAAGGGCAGCCATGCCTCAATTGGGTTGGCACTGTTGGCCTCAGTGCTGCCCTCCTCTGGACTAATGGTGATGACATGTGGAAGAGATTCATCATCTTCTATGGGACTACTTGTGTTGGGAGAAAAGCTGTTGATTGGGTAAACTTCAGCCATTGTTAAGTGGGAAGGGGAAAGGGAAGAAATGGGTTCAGAGGTGATTGCATGGAAGAATGGGGGAATGAGTTTGTGATCTTTTGTAGGCCTGAGAAATGACAATGGTGGTCAAATGACATCATTAGTGACGCCACGTGGATTGCGTTGGGCATGTATCGCCAAAGGACTGACATCATCATCCTCTGCCTTCTTCTTGTAGAGGGTGTGAATTAAGAATTATTGCAGGCTGCTGATGATTAAAGAAAAGGAGGCAAAGGAGAATTAGTATTTTCTTTGTAATTAAAATGCATTATAGAATTAGGAGGGGGGTTTGGTTAACTGTATATATTGGTGATCAGCTCATATATCCGTTGAATGTGAACCCTAATAGGGTTTAGTAGTGGTAATAACGTGTGACCAGAGTTTGAAAGGGAGCCTACCAAATAAAATAATGGTGAGTCGAAAATGGTATGCTGTAGTATATGGTTAAGCTTACATTGCTGGTGGGAACAACATGGTACAAATGTAGGAGGGGGTTACAGGGACTGGAAAGACTATCAGATTAACGTTATATCATCTTTCGGATATTGATGGGTTATTCGTCTTAAATGTATTTGATATTCTTTCGAGTATTGATAGGTTATTCATCTTAAATGTATTTTGATATTTTGGCAGTGCGACAGATCGATCGAGATCATTATGATAGAATCATAGTCTGAAAATGAATTAGGACATATACATAACTATAGTAAATCAACCCTATAGCCTCTTAGCCTTTCTCTTCCACACCTAAACTCTTGCTTTCTCCCATAAAGATCCTAAACGAATTAGTAAAATACGAAATAACACAGTAATATTAGCCGAGAGACTATATCAATAAGTCGACTTCTATTAAGTTGACAATTATTCATATATTATGCGATCGACCAGTTTCGTATCATGCTAACCGTCGTCATATTACGTATTTCGCTATATACCCACGATTAATGAGTGCACAATTGACATCGCGTTCATCCAGTGATCTCAAGTACTTATCCCAATGGACATTAGGTTGTGTAGTGGAAACGTGGAATTGATTTGGGGCTAAGTGGATTCCTTGGAAAAAGAAGGCTGTTGCATTTTCCATTTTGGGTGCGTGACAAATCCCTCAAAATATATTAGTGGTTGAATATATAGTAACAATGATATCATACCATTTAAAATACGATTGTACCACTGTTGTGTTAACTTGTCTGGGACAGTTTCATAAGTTATATTTTCTACTACATTTTGTTTTATTTAGGTTTTTTTTTTTTTTGCCAATAAAATCCTGCCGGATTTCAATAGTTAAGGATAGGGGAGGCTACATAATCAGCACTCTCACCCATCGACTCAAAGACAAACCAAATAGGAGAAATTAAGCAACGAACACCGAAGACCAGGATAGCGTAAGGCTTGTTGCGCCACACAATGGGCAGCCCGATTCGCTTCTCGAGGTGTGAAAAGTAAAGAGACTTTTGGTAACTGGAGCAGCAACTCTTGAACCTCCCTAAGAATGGCCCCACCGCGAACATCATTAGTATCACCCGAATACAATTTGTCCACAACTGCCTTGGCATCGCCTGTTAATAGCACATCTCTATCAAACCATTGCCACCGATGGATCAAGAATAACGCCTCGCGAAATGCTAGTAACTCAATCAACCCAGGATCAGAGATGCCCGAGATGAAAGCACCACCAGCAAACAAAGGGGAACCACCGTGAAAGCCAACCAAGCCAATGGCACCGGCCGTGGGAGCCTTCGTCGCACCATCCACAGCAATTCGAAAACCTTGGTGAGTGCGGAGGACTTCTTCAAAGTGGGGGCGAGTTGGAGGAGCAAATATCCGTGGTGGGGCGAGCACATCCTCCACCGCAACATTGTTAGAAGCTTGATGATGGAGGAATTGGCGGCGGAGAACAGGGATGGTGAATTGGGCAAAGGGGGAGAAAACCACATTGTTTCGCCCCTTCCAAAGGCGTCAGCAAAGCAAAATCCAATTTGTAATATCATCAGGGTGGCCATGTAGGATAAGTAAGCGCCAAAAAAGGGCAAAATGAAAAGTGGCATCGTAGCCAGGGGGTAGAGAGAGACCCACTGCGTCTCGCAATTGGATAGCCACCGGACATTATTTAGGTTTTCTTTCTCAAAATTAGACACAGTTGGTATCATTTAGGTTAATTTGTTATGTCGGAAAACTTATAGCATTTAATAAATGCTTAATCGTTTTATGATTGGGCCGGGAAAAGTCTAAGCCCATAGGCGGAACACTGTAAAGCAAGCAGCTCACGTCTCTCAAACTCTCACTCACCAATTGGGCTTTGCTGTGATGTTTTGTGAAGTCAAAAGCCCAAGAAACTAAAAAAAAAAAAAAAAGGGAGCTAAATTAAACAATACATTTCTTTCATCCTTGTGAAGATCTCGAATTCGAGATTGGTAAAGAGTACACACTCATTATTTTCACCCAATACAAAACGAATAGCAATTCCCTCTCTATATGCTCACAATTACACATACTTTCAACAAAGATTGGCAACCCCAAAAGAAACAAACAAACCCTACCTCACCACTCATGCCATTTCAAATCTAACCTAAGTAGGCTTGAAGAAGCTGAACTTAATTCCATTGTCAATCACAACATAAACCCCCGCAACAATCAACGCACCACTCAGGGCCAGCCCGAAAACTCCCAGCACCCAGTTCACGAGCCACGACTTGCTGTACCTGGTCGGCTTCCTGACCTTGAGCCACATGAAGCACGGGTATGCCAGTGTGATAGGCAGCGCGATCCCTCCCATGAGGCCCGCCACGCTCCCCAAAAACGGTAGGGCCACGGCCGTGAAGAAGCACGAGAACGCGAATGCCACCCTCAACGACGCCCTGACCCAGACGGGGCATGGCCTCTTCAGCTTGGTCACCACGGACGACTCCATCTGGTCGAACATTGGCATCCCGTAGAGCTGGAACGAGCTCACTGCGTTGACAATCACGAAGAAGCTGGTCAACCCTAGGATGAAGCGCGACGTGTCCTGACCGTGGAAGGCGAACAACGCTGTCAGCATCCCGCCCCGTGGGATCTGTTAATGAGGTCAAAGTGACAATTATGTTAGTTGTGGAATTAAAAGAAGATAATTAAAGTTTAGGGGAGAAGTTAATTAATTACCAGTTGACCATAGGCCCAATATCCTCCAATGGCGAGGGGGAAAAGGCACATGGAGATTAGGGCATAAGCAAATTTGACACCTTTCCACATTGGCACTGTTGATGGATGCTTTTCACTTGAAGGCATTGTGGCCTGCATAAATGCAACAAGAAACATTAATTAGTCGTCATTTGTTAATAAGTTAATTTGCACTAAGAATTATTAACCATTAATTAGAAGAAGAAAATTAGTCAAGAAACAAAACAAAAAGGGAATGGCATTCTTGTCAATATTGGAGGAACAACTATAGCACACAGAAATTCAGCACAAAGTATAGAGATATAATAATTAAAGAATAATTCAAAGTTGTATAGTAGCAAACATAACATATTATCTCTTTAAAAGAACAAGTTACAACTTTACTGTTTCTTAGAGTCACATCCCGTTACTGTTACTTTTTTGCTTTTTACTTGTTCTCATCATTTCTCAATTGACTTTACGTTTCATAGAGTCACATCACACTAGGTACTATTTCGTAATTAACCAAAGCTTGAGATTCTAAGTAAGGGATGATCATTTCCGTAATTAAACAAAAAGCAACTCCTTTTTTTTGCCTTTTCCTCTTCCACTCTTCCCAGCCACACAAAATCAGCTCCTTATCTCAATCATCTCTCTCATTCCACCCACCCATCCACCCACCCTCCTTTCCTTTCTCGGCTGGAGAAGAAGGGAATAGTGACAAAGAATCCAGAGAAGAAGATGAGGAGGAAGAGTGGACCTCATCAAGATGAAGGATAGTAGGCTCGAAGTTGGGTGCGGATCGGTGATAGGGACGTGACGCTCAGATGCAGCGGCGGTGGTGCATGAGTGGTGGTCCGTTAGCGACGATGGGACGAGGCGAGTTGCGGCGTTTGAGCTGAGCGATATGTTCAGGAATGGCATACTACATACAGGGAGTGGTGAAGACCAAAGGCCCGGTTTTCGTTACAGCTTTCAGCCCTCTGAGCATGGTGATAGTGACAGTCTTGGGTTCCATTTTCTTATCCGAGGTTCTGTACATGGGTAGGATCCTGGGAGCAATAGTCATCGTGACAGGATTGTACATGGTGCTGTGGGGGAAGAGCAAGGATCAAGAGCCCGGCAGTGGGAATGATAAGGTGGCTGATTTGCCCACTGCTAATACAGTTGCTGCTACTGCTGCTTCATCAGTCGACGATGAGAAGATCGAAGATGATGAACACTTTGTTTCCCTCGATGTCTCAAGAACTTGATGACAACGAAGAGCCGAGAAAGAGAGAGACAGTAAAAGAGTATCAAGTGCAACTCTGTCTTCTGTCTCTTCTCTGTCTCTGTACCATTTGTTGCTGCTGATGTGATCTCTTTGGGAGAGGAATTTTGCAAAGTGTGGCTGTGAAAGCAAAAGTTTACCTTTTCATGTAAACCTTCTTTGCCCTGTTTTCTTCTTTTTGGTTATCTGTTTTCCAAAGAAACTAGATTGTTCTCCAATTGCCCCATCTCGGTTTCATGTTCCTCTTTTTTCTCTCTTTATCTGTCCATTAGACGCAATTGAAGGGCCGGTAGCCACAACCTGGTGACTCGGTTATCATCGATTGTCAGCCTCCTGGAATCGAACAGAACAGTAAGCTCTTGATACTTACCATTTCTATCTTTGTTTTTTCAGTCCCTTATTTGCGATCAACTGAGGGTTTTGAGAAGAACCATATTTGTGGGTTCTGGTCTGGTTTCACATGATTTTTCAGTCCTTTCTCCTTTCGGTTGATTGTTCTTCTCCTCTTCTTACTAATATATTTGTCTCTCTTTCAGATCTATTTGAGCTGAGCGACGGTGGTTGTCCGTTAGCGACGATGGGACGAGGCGAGTGGCGGCGTTTGAGCTGAGCGACGGTGGTTGGGCTGCGCCGGTGCGTGGGCTGTGGTCCGTCACCGGCGATGGGAGGAGGTGTGACGATGGTATGGTGGTGTTGTGGTGCCCGCGGTTCGGTTCGACGAGCTTTGGTCCGCCTGCGGCTATGGGAGGAGGCGCGGCGGTGGTCTGGTGGTGTTGCGGTGCCTGCGGTCCGACGACGAGGCTGGAAGAAGCGGTTGTGGTTCGTCGACAGTGACGCAGGAATGTAGGAGCCTTACTAATTACAACCGCTTGATTTGGGAGGTTTAGCGGTGGTGCCGGGTTTGGATTTCAGGTGATGGGTCTCTTTCTCCGATTAGTTTGTTTACTCTCTTTTCTTTCATGTTTTAGCTCTCATTCTTTCTTTTTCAGGAGGGTTTATTCGTCCACTCTCAATGACAGAGCTCTCTCTGTTGAAGGGAAGTATGAATGGGAGGCGATGTGGAGTACCCATATCTGCTGAAGTTGTTTAGACCAGCTGAAAATCGAGCCTTTTGTCGTTTCAGTTTTAGGTTAGGTGTTGTTCTTTGCGTATTTCATTGTTGTACTTCCATTTATGTTCCTTTCGGCTGATCAAGCTTTAGTGATGTTATTGTTTGGCCTATTTTGCTTGCTGCCGACCGCAGGAGAAGAGGGAAGCAGCAAAGGAAAATGTGAGTTGGGTTACTCTATGATGGGAAGTGTGATTGTGCCCTACCGCCTATGAATCGATCCATGGAAAGAGTCGGACGACCCACCGACACTGTAGACGGTAAATTGCTGGTAAGAACGGGATGGGAGCACCCCCAAAGATGGGACGATCATCCACCTTATTATTTGTAACATGGTCAGCTTTTACACTACAGTCTATTTGTGCTCATTCTTTGGTTCTTTTGGGGTTTTGGGTTTTCGTTTATGATATGCAGTTGGTTCTGATTGTGTTCGTTCTTTGGTTCTTTTTAAGGTTTTTAGTTTTTGGACTGCCGTTGATTTTGATTGTATTCTTTTTTCGGGTTTTAGTTTATGCCATGGAGTTTATTTTGATTGGTTAGATGATTGATTTTGTGTTCCAACTCTCATCATGTCTCTTTATTTCTCCGGCATCTCAGAATGCTATTTGATGGAAAAAAAACTAGGACAGCTGGTTTTCTCAATGAATTCATCGGGGGAAGAGTACAGGAGGAGACAGAGAGAGTAGTAAGAAAAAGTTTGTGTGCCAGCGTTGTGTTTGTTATGGAAAGGAGCAAAAAAGGGAACTTTCTTTCCTGCCTTCTATTCTATGTTCATTCAAGATTTTCATGTTTTGATTTTTCCTCCCCTCGCAGCTTTTCAGGAAAGGCAAAACAGCAGCGCAAATACGGTATTGTCTCCCTCGATTAGTCTCTCTAAAGCTTCCTATCTGGATTTTCTAGCATATGGTTGTGTTTCTCTCATGTTTTACATTCACTTTTTCATGGCAGGTAGTTCACTTATTTTCATGCGTTGTTCTGTTGCTTGACTTAAGAGTTCCTATGGGGAATTGCATTGGCGGCAGCAGGATCTGCTACCCAGATTCCAGCACTAAGATCATTCAGAACCATACAATGAACAAATCATCAAAATCAGTGAGTTTTTAGTTGATTGGTGTTAGTTGTTTTAGAAGCTCCATAGTTGATTAGTTCTTAGGAAGGTTGGTGGTCTCTATCAAAGTTGTAACTTAGGATTTATGTTTCCTTGCCTTTTCCCCCCCTTTGGTTGATCACTTATTTGTATTAGTTTACCAGTTCATGTCAGGCCAATTTGGAGCATGCGGAAGGTGTGACCAAAGCTCGGCACCTGCTGGGGTAATGGACTTATGATGTTTAGTTGAATACATTGACATTCTTTTATTTTGTTCTGTTAGTTTGGCTTTGTTTTGTCGATTGTCTTTCGATTAAACACTGTCTAATTGGTGTTTAAAAGGTTAGTACTTTTGATGGGTTAGGTCTCTTTTCGAAGTTCATATATTTGATTGATGCCATGAGCCTCTCTGGTGTGACCACTCCTTGCTATGGCCTATTTATAGTCGGTTTTCCATTCTTAGAGTTTGGTGCATGTTCTTTAATTTTGGTTCTGTGTTGTAGCTTCAGTTGTCCTTCAGTTGTGTTTCTCAGTTTCTACTTCTTTTGCATTCCTTATTCTGTTTTCCAGCCTTCTATCTTTATCAGCTTTGTAAAGTGTTCATTATTTGCAGCTCTGTTTGGCATTACATTTCTATTTTCCCGGCTCCAGTATGTAGTCACCAACGGGGAACTCACTGGTTCCGGTTTGTCAAACTATGTGGTACTTTATTGGTTTTGTTCTGCTATGGGAATCATACAAATAGACACATGAACGAAACATTCGAAGCATCTAATGAATGTGTACGTTGGTTGCTCTTTGTAATTCTATTTCCATTTATATACATTCCTGTATGTAGCCCTTTGTATGTTTTGCTCTGAACTATGTCTCTCTAAAGCTAATTGTTCATCATGAACTGTCAGCAAATTTTATCTTCTTAAAGCTAATTGTTTGCATTAATGTTTAGGGGAGAGTACATGCACAATGGAAAATTATCTTCACTGCCTCAGTTTTCTAAAAATGAAAGGACCATATACAATACAGAGAGGAGCTTCCGCAGAACATGACAGTGACTTCCAATGTTTGTTGATTTGTTTCTGATGCGCGTACTTGCTAACATTTGTCTGCTTCTATTAGATTGCACAACAGTGTCTAAAGGTCTTTTCCATAAGCAACCTTGGTCATGAGTCATGACTAAAGATCCTTCATTAGGAAGTGGGCATGTCTTCCCTTCTACTCAAATATGGGGAGATTTAGAGTGCCATAGGCGATTCTTCAAATCTTCCAGAGGTTAAGTTAAACGTGTTTGTTATTATTACTATGATAATTAGAGTTGCAACGATATAATTGTAGTATTGTTCGTGGCGATCTATTGTATTACTATTTCATTTTGTTAAACTGAACTGCTACTTTTGCTGCTCATCAGTCTGTTGGAGGGGATCGAGTTGGTATCTTTCATCTTCTCCTCACTCAATTATGATAGCCTCGGCCCCCAGTCGCGCCCAGTTGTGAGTTTCATCTTTTCCTCACTCAGTTGTTGATGTAGTTAGTCTTGAGAATATCAAATGCACATGGTGCCAGTTTTAGGTTCTAAACTTTGTTTGGCATCTTCGTGACGGAAAAAATTGACATGTAATATACTGATTTCCTTCTCATGGAAGAGATGAACGAGATTCCCTTGGTTTGTGGTGGTTGGTGAGTTATAGTTTGTTCATTTACATCTTTTTTCGAGTCCAGGTATTCGTTCTGTCTCTTTCATTTTGATCCTTATATTTTGCCAGCTTCAATTACTTACAGTTTAAGTGGTTTTAAATTGTGTTCCCGGAAAGAGGGATGTAGCAACAGATGGGTGCATATATGTGCTTTCTAATTTCGCATGACAATTGCCTTAAAGAATCACATTATTACCATGGTGTTGTATGCTCTTCTAATCTACATATACAGAAATGATATGGTGCATTAACTAAGAACGGTTAGGCTGGTGGGATGGTTGTGTCGAGGTTGATGATCATGTGGGGGTCATCTCAACGATTTGCGACGGTAATGCAGCGACCACAACAGTGACATTTGAAAAGAAGGCGCAAACCAAGAAAGAACGGACTGGAAAATGAGATCAATCAGGCATGGGTATGTATTTTTTCTTCTCACTCTTTCATTGTAGGGGTTTCATGGTTTTGTTCGTCAATCGTCAAGCTAGGCCATTCTCAGATTGGGGTCATTTTTGCTAATTTTTTTCAGATCAAAGTTTGCACGGGAGAGTCAAGATGGAAGACGATGGATCCAGATGTTTAGTTTGCTAAGTATGGATCCAAATGGTTAGTTATCTATACTGGTTTCACCTTTAGTTAATATGTAGCTTTAGTTTCCTTCTTTACCTTGTGGACACCAAAATCTGAAAGTATGCTTTTCCTTTCGCCATTGGCCTTAACTAGCTCCAGCTCCTTTATCTTTCTTTTCTTTGTCTTCTGATTGTTTGGGATTACTTTGGCATGCTTGATTTCAGTTTTATTGTGTGATTGGGGTGGGGAATTGATTACAGGAAGACCATTTTGGCTCTCACCCACCCTGTCCCATTCGCTTTGAAAACACTAACTTTCCTGGTACTAACAGTGAAGGGATGCATGATGTGTATAAGAAGCATGATATTTTCAAGCCTTTTTGCCTTGATAAGGAACCTAGGCCCCACGATCTCTGCTGTGATGAGGCAAGGGACACCAATATGTTGATCCGGAGAGGCCGCTGTAGGTATGGTGAGAAAGACTTTGTGACGACAATCGAATGGGCCACTGGGTGGAGAGTTCCTCCGGCAGCCATTATGAAGCTCGACCAGCCCCTCCTCACCGCCGTGGGATTGGTTCGGGTAACAGAGATGCCAAATACGACCAGCAGGTACACAAACTACTTAAAACCTTCTATTTTTCAAAATTAAGAACTTAAGATTTTCAGTTTTGCTATCATGACCACAAATCCTTGTATACCTCATTCATGGACCTTGTGCCACAGTGAAGTGCCAGCAAGACTTGTGTGAACTTTCAGTCATGTATTCCATCCTTACCAGAGACTTCAAGTTATTGAAACTCAGCTCAGGGTACGTATCCATCCTTTTCCCTTTTGCTCGATTCTTTCCTGCGAATTTCATTGACACGCGAATCTTCATTTTTATCATTTGCTCCAGTTTGTTGCTCAGGACCATCCGGTGGCAACATTTTTATCGAATTGTAATGGTGGTTTTTGGTTTAATGAGACAACCAGAAGGGTAAAGATCAGATTCTTTAATTTGATTCTTTCTCTATTTTCCTTTTCTCTCTAATACTCAAGCTTACTTTTCGTTGATTTCTCTCATCTTGCTCTGATCTGGATGTTCTAATCTCTATTATGCAGTTGAGCGCAACTAGCATTGATTAAATTGGCTGAATCTTTTTGGCGTCATCGCACTAAGTTTGCCCTCAAACTGTCCAGTATGTCTCTTCTAAATTTCCTCTCTAGAGTGATAATGAAGGTAACGCTTTTAACTCACCACATATAGTGGGTGGTGTTAATTGACATTTTAATCGACCATTTATTTATTTTACCGTGTTCTTTGCAATAAATCATATGTTATGGGTTATTGGCTGATCTGGCATATTGAAAGCAAGCAATACAGAATTGTGTAGGAACTCACTCTGTAGATGGGGCCATGGAGGAGTCTAGCACCACTTGGATTTCTGCGCTATTAGATTCCTTGAAATCCTCATTTGAAGCCACCAAAGATGTTCAATATGTTGAGGTCGGTGATGTGGTATTTTTTTTTTTGTATCTTTATGATCTATATGATTATCGAGATTTCATAGTTTTCAGCTTTCGTTTCAATGTTTCCTCACCACATATAGTTTTATTATTTAGTGCTCCAAATGGTCTCTGTTTTAGCCTTTCAATCATGATTTTATTTTCCTTACTCACCTACGGTGCCTTGCTTTTTGTAGTTCGGTTTCAATTGGTGTCTCATTTTATATCAATCAAGTATGTTGTTAATCCATGCATAAGATTGTTCAACTAATCAGTTAGCATTTCCCATTATTTGTTGTTGTGCCTATCTAAGAAGATGAAGGGAAAAAAGAAAGCCGGAGAGAAAGATGGAGGACGGGGGAAGAGGAAAGAAGAAAAAGATGATCAGAAGATCTTTTATAGGCAGAAAAATAGTTGATCCAATTGTGTGGTAATCTATTTAGGTTTGTAGACAGATGCGTGAATGTTGGAGAATTCAGGTGGACATTAATTGTGTGGTAATCTATAGCACTATCAGTGTGATTTTATCGAGCTTCGTTGGTTTTGATGTGTCAGTTGGGTTCTTAGGAGTGTCGATATGCTTCATTGCATACATGAAAAAAAAGTTAAGTAAACCTGGCAGGAGAGTCGGTCTAATAAGTTCAATTGACTTATTGTTAGATTTATCAGGTTTCATGTAGTTTTTTGCCTGAGCTATCCGCCCTTTTTGTTTATGTTTATAAATGGGTGTATGCAATTGAAGTTGCTATCAATGGTGGAACAAAAGTTGCAGAAGATGAATTTGTTGTCTCAACAGAACTACTGGTGTGGCAGTTGCTTAAACTGGATACTAACCAGTCTGAAGGAGAAGCTCCAGTTCAACGGAAAGATCAGGTAGCCATAACTAGAAACCAACGGTAGGTTCTTTGATTAGATTGATACATTTATTCTTGAGTTAAATAACTGGAAATCCAACAACTCTTGAAGTACAACTTCTTGCTATGCTGAAGTTTTTATACTTTTGTTCACACCTTTTACATTTTCATCGTGGCACAAGGCGTGACAAACTCCTACTACTTTCTCCTCAACCACGATGCAGCAGACGCATTATTCCAAGAATTTCGTTTGAGGTGCGTACTCGACCTCTACACCTCAAACGAGTTGGTCGCCATGAAGTTATCAGGACGTGGCATCGCCATACACGACCATGTTGAACAACAAGGCTCTTCACTTTACAACAATCGATTACCTGAATTCCGCTTGGTTTCACAATCATGTCATGTAGCATTCCCTTTTTTTGTCAGATTGTCTGGCTTTGCTTAAATTAGCAAACATTGTCCTCCTTATAACTGATGCCTTAATCTGCTTGCTTGACCACTTCCTGGTACCGTTTTTACAGGGCCTTTTTCCCTTAAACCAACAAAGTGCTTGCCTGCCTAACTAACTTTGCTCACCTATTTTATTTCCCTGCAGGCTACGCAATACCGTTGCTTAACACAAACGCTCCCCGCAGAGCCTTCACGACCGTGGTTTTACTTAGGATGTGCCTTTTGTTTTAAGACAACTAGGTAGCTTCCTGGCACTAATGATTTTTGGTGTGATGAACATGGCCAGTTGATACCTCAAAAAACCCAAATTTGCTTAGTTTAGCATCCAGCATTTTTTCCCATTACAATACCCATGAACAACGGACCTCTGAATTTTTGATACATTTTTCCAGCTACAAAGTCCATTTGACTGTCAGAGACACTACTGGTTCGGCGTACTTTATCATACTTGGAAAGACCGCTGAATATTTGCTTGGGGTTACTGATGACGAACTATTAGTGCGCCACCCCCAACACCATGGATATTTCCCTCCAAAAAATGTGGCCATGAATGGACTTTGGTTTTCGTTGCATGTTCAGCTTCCTAAACCTGGATATTTGCCTGAAACCCTCTAGAGTTTACCATCCTTTCTGCAGTCGACCACAGCCAACCTCAGCAATAGACTCATCAAAACAGTCTCTACCTGTGGAAAAAGTAATTGTGCTAAGATGTTGACAACCATAAATCTTTTCCTGTATCTATCCGGGAAAAAAAATAATAAACAAAACTCTGATCATCAACTATATACCATATTACCTCTGCTGTTGTGAGTGCTTGCATGACATGCAATTATGCTTTTCGACCCTCCTGCCTATTTAACTAATACTCCTTTTGTACTGCTATTTGAAGTTTCAAGGGGGAAATGTAAATATCTCCACAAATTTCAAGTAGCGGTTAGGTACCTTTCACTTACCCCACCATCACCAGATAGCACTCTTCTAAACCACATCCAATGCAAAACAGCAAAATATCTAAGCTGTACTTTCCCAATCAATAAATCTAACAGCAACCAATGTTTCTTGCTCCATTATATGGTAACACCCGCCTTGCAATATTTAATAAGTTTGTGTATCTGATATGCACATAAAAACTATTAAGGTGCACAAAAATCTCCAAATTTCCACTAAAAACTCTACATTTTCCCAATATAACCTCCCCGCCGCGAAGCGCGGGCTTCCTTACTAGTATAATTCAAAGTTCAACCAAAGCCAGCCGAAGAAAACTTTTTTAATAGCATGTTTGCCCAACATTTGACTCAAAGTTGCTAGGATTCATTTTTCTTTCTAATTCAAGTGAATAGGCCAAAAAGTATTAAATTATCAACACTCACATACTAAAAACAATCCTATTAAATTATATTAAGCCATTTCATACCGTTTGGAAAACGATACTGAAAATTGTACTGAATAAGTTATCGAAATGATATTTTGTTTGTGAAAGAATTTATAGAATGTATGTTAATAGGATATCATTATCAAAATATTACTAGCTAACACATTCCATTGGTAATTTATAGATTGTAGCTTCCCGATCCAGCTTTTGATAAAAATTTGTGATCTTACCACCAATATAATACGGTATCATAAATCAGTTTCAGACGCTTTTTTATTATTATAGAAATTTCAGCTGTCTTTTAAAATGATGTCACCCTAGCTTTACCTATAAAACATTCTTATGTGTAAATTTTTTACTTCTGATTTTAGTCGTGGATTTAATTAATCTCCACGAGTTAATAATTTACCTGAATTTCGAGTACGAGATTATGTCCCCTGAAAGCAAACGCGATGATCCCAAGCGCGTTCAAGACGCTGAAAACCTTCTCAAGATCCGAACCCGGTCGAACCGGGTTGTACGACACGCCGGGCATCCGCCCCTCGGCGACCGACACGGCCCATATGATTGTACAGTACCCGACCGCCGTGATGGCTCCGACGAGGGAAACCCCGGCAATGGAGTTGAGGTTGGGGAGCTGCGACAAAAGCACCGCCGCGAATGTAAAAATCAAGTACCACTCCACGGTTGTCGGGTCGTGTGACGAGCACGCGCCGCCGCATATGGTCTGGAACAACAGCTTGGACGTGGAACCGCCGATGATGATCAACGCCACGCACGTCCCGCCCGACAAGTACATTATCGGAAACATCGCCAACAATTTCGATACCCTCTCACCTACACATATATAAAATAATTAACAAATTACGTCAACGATAAAGATTCTGATATCACGTCAAAAAAAAATTTTAACAACTCGTTGATAAAAGTACTGTACATACCGAAAGCTGCATTAGCGAGCTGGAGGTACCGACTGTAACGGACGCCGGTTTCGACCGATTCGTGGAGCTGGACGAGGATGTGGAGCGTGTAGAGCTGCCATACGAATGCTAGTGTCAAGCATATAACTCCCCACGCCCTGGTCAACATCAATTACAAACCGATTAAAACACGTCGATAAAAAAAAATCGAGAAATCGTATGTTTGAATTCAACTCATATTTTATCGTCTAGACAGTTTATTCAATCAAATGTGATTAAAATCGGCCTACTTTTTTTTTACCGTCGTGACTAATCTCGTTTGACTAGAGCAAGTTAACGGTTGACCAGACGGGAAGTTAGAGAGAGAAGACGACGGAAGAGAATTAAAACTAGTTGGGAAGAAGAGATCACACTCTTACCAACCAAGGGCGGTGAAGGCGACGGGGAGGATGAGGGCCTGAATCCCGATGCCGGAGCAGAGCGTGTGAAACGCCGCGTAGACGGCGTTACCGTTCCTCGACTCCGTGATGGGGAGCCACGCGTCGTGTGGGTCCAGCTTCGTCATGTGGAGGGCCTTCCTCAGCGGGGAACCCAACGGCGTGATGAATCGCGGCGTCCGGAACCTCCCCGGCGTCCTGGCGCCGCTACGCGGCGTCCGGCCGCCCATCGGGGTCCGGTTCGTGCTGACGGGGGCCGTCACGACGCGGTCGGGTGACATCATGAGGAGCGGCGACCGGGAGAGGGACGGGGAGTGGAACTGCGACGGCGGGGCGGATATCGGCGGCGGCCGCGGGGTCGTCGGATTGGAACCGGGGGCCAGCACTTGGTCCAGGGAGTAATGATCAACGTTGGCGTCGTGGCGGTTCTGATCGTCGTCCCCCATTTCGAGTCGCCGGATCACCGAAATTGAGTTTCCCCCCTCTTTTTGAACGCAGTTGGTCTCAAGGTTCGAAATCAGACGTTAATTAGTTCGGACTGGACTTGTTGGGTTATTGAATAATTTGATTGGTGTGTGTTTGTGGTTTTGGTATGTGTGTATATATAGAGCTTAGGTGGAACTATAATGTGTATTTTTTTTTAATAATAATTGAGGGATATAGTGGTGGTAATAAAAAAAATTGATGTGGAACCATTTGATGGCCTAGTTGTTAGTATTTAAATCAATTAAACTAGTCGATAAGGTATAGCAGCCAGCAGCCAGCCATGTTTGTCAAAATATACGAGAAATTTGGGAATGATTTTTGGACTATGATGTTGGTTTAACCTGTGTATTTTCGATACAAGGATTATGTTGTTGATTCTCTTGTTTACTATTTGTAAAAAATGTATTATGTGTATAAAATTTCATTGGCCGTTTCCTCACACTCTACGTACTATTTTCAGAAGAAAAAAAAATTATTAGCGTGATAACCAGTGACGGAACTATAAATCTGAATGAGTCGCTTTTGATGGACTCTCCGATTACGTATGCACTCGAAATAATTTTGTACGTATTCGCCAAGTTGCTCGGAGTATAGATATAAATGAGAACTAGATTTCTTTTTATCTTTGTTTGGTTTGGGAGAGCACCGGCGGCGGCGGTCCAATGAAGCCGCATGACAAAAATGGTGATGGATGTTATTTATACAGTAGTATTGATTATGGTCAGCGTTGGACGCCTGGGTTCGTCGTTTGATCTCATCTAAGTTTGGGATTTTTTATTTTAATTTCATTGTACTGTTTTCGTCCTTACTCTTGTCGTTGGTCTTCGGGGCTTGCTTGGTGATTTCCAAGGTAAAGCCATGTTGCAAATTAAACATGCACATATGCATGGGGAAGTTGGTGAGAAGAGGGGTGGCCAATTAAAAACGTTTTTCTTTTATCAATTAATGACAATTTGATATTATTGATGTGAGATTGAATTGGAATAATTTGTCGTCGAATGAAAGTTATAGGGTCTCAGCGAGTCAGGGGTTTAGGGGCAAAATGTTTGGTTAGGAGGTTTGGGGAAATCTTGTTTCCCCGATAGGATTTGGGGCCAACGCTCTCAATCCACTGTGTATGAGTTTATACATATGTGAGTCTCTGTTCTGGACTCGACTCTCTTATCCGTGAACTAACCAACACACATTATGTTGATTAGTGAAACAGATAAATATATATTAATAAATAATACTGTAAAGTCTCCGTCGCTTGCTCTCGTAGATTTAATGATAGATATTCGTAAATCGATGTATATGCCATAGTCCCTTGTCTAGTGGGAAAAACAGATGACGGTGGAGTGGATTATACATATATAGGCATGTGAAGAACAGTTAGATAGTTTGTAAATGTGGAAGGAATTGTCGGGTACGTTAGTCATCACATGGTCATAGGTCAAGGCTCAAGAGCCTCCCTTTGACAAAATAAACACCATTTCGTCTAATTCCTTTCACCGATTGTAATTAATATTGAAATCGAATCGAATCCATGTAAACTATATTGAAAATAAATGAGAATTGAAGACCAGAATTTCATCAAACCGTGTATTTGATTCTTTTTTTATTAGTTATTAAAACAAATTCATAATATCAAAATCATATCACACCAATCTCATTTTATTTGTTCCCGTGCAAACCGAACCGTGTCCCTTTTTCCACGGTAAAGGAAAGATAGCAACACATTACTTTTCATCTTAGTGAAGATCTCAAATTCGATATTGGAAAACTACACTTTATTTTCACAAAATACAAAATGAATAGTAATCTAAGCTCACAATTACACACTCTTTAATAAGTTTCAACAAGGATTGGGTACCAAAACAAAAACAAAAGCTACCATCCACACAATTGGGCCATCAAATGGCCCATCCCAAATTCTTCTCAAACTAAATGGGCTTAAAGAAGCTAGCCTTCACCCCAGTATCAATCACAACATAAACCCCGGCCGCAATCAAGGCCCCACTAAGCGCCAGCCCAAACACCCCAAGAACCCAATTCAGGATCCACATCTTGCTATACTTGGTGGGCTTCTTCACGTTGAGCCACATGAAGCACGGGTAGGCCAGCGTCACGGGCAGGGCGATCCCTCCGATGAGGCCCGCCATGCTCCCGAGGAACTAGGGGTGGTAAACGGTAATCCGGTAAACGGTTTACCGTTTTACCGAACCGGTAACCGGCGGTAAACGGTAAACCGTTTACCGGCGGTATCGGTAGCCGAGCGGGAAGTTGGGGGAGTCGGTTTACCGAAAACGGTATCGGTAAATACCGACGGTAAATCGGTATTACCGATACCGAATCCCCCCTCCCTACTCCCTAGTGTTGCGCTGCGTTTTGTTGCTTTATTATGAAAAATATTACATCATTATTCACAAATATAAAATATTACATCATGAATGTAAGTATAGGCCTCAAAAATATTGTAAATAAGAGTTAATAATAAATTATTAATTACAAAAATGATGAAAAAAACTCAAAAAAATCGAAATATTACAACATCACCCCACTTCCAGAGATTCGGTTCGGTAAATATTCGGTAAACCGACCGAAAAAATCGCCCGAAATCGCCTTTCACGGTATTTCGGTAATACCGGTTTGTTACCGTTTACCGGTAATTCGGTAATCGATAAACCGGTTACAAACCGGTATCGGTAATCGGTAACCAGTTTGGCCAACTTCGGTATACCGAAACCGGTAAATTCGGTAAACGGTAAATTGTTTACCGACCGAATCCCACCCCTACGAGGAACGGCATGGCCACCGCCACGAAGAAGCACGCGAACCCGAACCCGACCCGCAACGACGCCCTGATCCACCACGGGCACGGACCCTTGAGCCTCGTCACCACCATCGACTCCATCTGGTCGAACGTCGGCATCGCGTAGAGCTGGAACGAGCTCACCGCGTTGACCACCACGAAGAAGCTGGTCAGCCCCAGGATGAAGCGTGACGTGTCCTGCCCGTGGTAAGCGAACAATGCGGGCAGCATCCCGCCCTGTGGGATCTGTCAGATGATTTTCGTCGTTGTAACGAGTACGAGTCAGATAAACAAATTGATTTTCGAATTGATCGATAATCGTGTAATTTGATTTAAGTTCTACTTTATCGTTAGGGTACATTAATTTACATACCAGTTGACCATAGGCCCAATATCCTCCAATTGCGAGGGGGAAAATGCACATAGCGATTAGGGCATACGCAAATTTGACTCCTTTCCACATTGGCACCGTTGATGGATGCTTTTCACTTGAAGGCATCGTGGCCTACATATATGCAACATAAAACATTAATTAATGAAGAATTATGCTACCTAAATAACGAATTAATCAAAATTTATTGTATGATATTATTTTTCCAAATTTTTTTAATGGTAAATTCTAAGATCAATTAGTTGAAAACTAACAAATGTTTTAGAAATACTGTCATATCGGTCGGTCAGGTCGGAAATATCGAACACCAGACCCAAACAATAGGCGATTTTAACCGTACGAAAACGGTAGATTACCTGGATTTCGAGCACGAGATTATGACCCCGGAAAGCAAAAGCGACGATTCCCACGGCATTCAACACGCTCAATAGCCTCTCAAGATCCGACCCGGCACGAACCGGGTCGTACGAAACGCCGGGCATCCGCCCCTCGGCGACCGACACGGCCCATATGTTGGTACAGTACCCGACCGCCGTGACGGCCCCGACGAGGGAGACGCCGGCGATGGAGTTGAGGTTGGGGAGCTGGGCCAGGAGCACCGCCGCGAAGGTAAAAATCAAGTACCACTCCACGGTGGTCGGGTCGTGTGCCGACGAGCACGCGCCGCCGCAGATGGTCTGGAACAGCAGCTTCAGCGTGGACCCGCCGATGACGATCGAGGCCATGGACGTTCCGGCCGACAGGTAGAGTATTGGGAACGTCGCCAACAATTTTGTGAACCGCTCGCCGAGAGCTGCGGTGGCCAGCTGGAGGTAGCGGCTGTAGCGGACGCCGGTGTCGACGGATTCGTGGAGCTGGACGAGGATGTAGAGGGTGTAGAGCTGCCATGTGAATGCTAGCGTCAAGCATATGATCCCCCATGCCCTGTAAAAAAAAAAAAAAAAAAGTGAGCAACCCGTTGACCGGTTTTCGGAATTCGGAAATTGAATCGCGAAATTTAGTGATTTATGTTTCAATCGTTTAGCAGCTGACCGTTATAGAGTTGTTGGTTAATCACTAATAAAACCGTTCATGTGCTATATAACTAGAGTTGAGATATTGATTTCGGGGGTTTGATCTCAAACCAATTTGTATCTTTTCGCGCTTTCGGTTCAAATTAAAAAATCGAATAAAAGACCGTAATGGAAAACATTACACGAGAGAGATTCAGGGTCTTCTGTTTAGATTAGGGTGTAGGGGTTTTGGTCTTTGATTTGGAGGGGGGATCCTAGCTCGATTTTTGAATTTTTAGTCGTTTTGATTAGGTTAAAGAAATCAACATCCCTAACTGTATCGTAACATACATATAACAATTGAATTCATTACTCATCATAACCGTTTCCAAATCATGTATCATCGATCACCAAAATTCCAACAAACTATTCAAACTGTCTTTTTAAAGAAATATAAAACAAACAAAAAAAACAAGTTAGTAATTAGGGTGGTAATCGATAGTAAACTACGGTAAGAGCTGGAAACAAAGACAAAAATTTTTCCTTCTTTTATTTAAATAATAAACTAGTCATACGAGTATAATTCATCTAATTTCATGTCCAACTATTAAAATCGTTCCATCTACGGCACCAACTGTTCAAACAAATGAACCAAACCGCTATAATAACCGGCTTAATCATATACTTACCAGCCAAGGGCGGTGAAGGCGACGGGGAGGACGAGCGCCTGAATCCCGATGCCGGAGCAGAGCGTGTGAAACGCCGCGTACGCGGCGTTCCCGTTCCTCGACTCCGTGATGGGCAGCCACGCGTCGTTGGGGTCCAGCCTCGTCATGTGGAGGGCCTTCCTCAGCGGGGAACCCAACGGCGTGATGAAACGCGGCGTCCGGAGCCTCCCCGGCGTCCTGGCGCCGCCCCTCGGGGTCCGGGTCGCGCTGACGGGAGCCGTCACGACGCGGTCCGGGCTCAGCACGAGGAGCGGCGACCGGGAGAGGGACGGGGAGTGGAACTGCGACGGCGGCGCGGAGATCGGCGGCAGGCGTGGGGTCGCCGGGTTGGACGACCCCGGCGCCAGGACTTGGGAGAGGTCGGTGTAGTTATTGTCGCCGTGGGACGGGTGGTGGTGGTTCTGATTATCTGCCGCCATTTTTCTGAGTTGCCGGATCGGAGACCACACTCAGCTGCTCAGGTGAATGAGTGTTGTTTTTTTGCTCTCTGATTTGTGTCTATATAACTATTATATATAGAGTGGAGGTGGTCAGTAGAATAATTAGGTGGAATTATTTGAAAGGATATTAATTAGTATTTAATTATGTTTGTCAAAATGTGTGAGAATTCATGGGGAATTTTTTTTTTATTATCTTCTTTTGTATTGGACAAAATGTTAATGTTGTTATGCAGTGCTATTGAATATGGTCAACGTTGTACGCTAGGGAGTTGTTTTGGTTTATTAAGAACGACTTTGATTTATGTGCTATTAACACAATTCATTGGTTTGAAGTTTGTACAAATTTAGATAAAAATTATTACAAACTTTGATATATATCATGCAGATTCCATAACCATTGTCATTTGCATAAAAAAAATTTTTAGATAATCCTAAGTTTTAATAATTCCAATTTTATGTAACGAAATGTTTTCGATGTAAATGACAATTTAGCAACATTTACGTATATAAGTTGGCGTGGTAATGTATGAACATACAGCCCGCCAGTGCATGTGAACAACAGCTCAAAGTTTTGTAGGGTGGAAGGAATTACCACGTTCTCGTCACGTGATCAAGAGCATCACTTGACTAAAAAAAATCATATTCGGTCTTCGGTCTTCATTCCCCTTCCAAATCGCAATTAGTTAATAATAATAATGAATCCTAATAACAATGATTAACTTGTGTTTATATTGCCAATGATTTTTCCATCTTAGCATATATGAATTCATAATTAGCTCTTTTTTTTTTGGTTAAGTATATTATCTCTTTAAAAGAACAAGTTACAACTTTACTGTTTCGTAGAGTCACATCCCGTTACTGTTACTTTTTTGCTTTTTACTTTTTCTCATCATTTCTCAATTGACTATACTTGTTTTGCTTTTTCTGACCAAAGGGAGACTTTTTATTACTTATCCCTTCTTTCTTCCTCATGTCTAATCCCCCATTCCTCTCTCCATCTTTCTAGATCTGCTTTCTCTCTCCTTCTCTCTTTTGTGCTGAACGACGAAGAAGAAGCAAGGTGAAGAAGAAGAAAAGGAAGATCGAGACATGGGTGAAGCAGAACATGGAGGAGATGACAGAAGAATCCGGCGAAATAGAGCACAAACCGGAACTCACAGATTATCCATCAAGATAAAGTCGGTTCCTTTCTTCTAGATTTCTTCTGGGTTTTTGTTCAATATCGTTCTTGGAGTTCATTCTGCTTTCTGTTTCTGTTTTTGCTTCTGATTATTGTTTTTAGTGATAAAGTCGGTTCCTTTCTTCTAGGTTTTGCTGGGTTTGTGTTCAATATCGTTCTTGGAGTTCATCCTCCTTTCTGTTTTTGCTTCTGATTCTTGTTTTTAGTGTTGTTTGCGGAGATGGACGAAGAAGAAAATGACAGAAGAAAATGGCGTCGACGGGATCGATGATGCTGCCTGGTGCGGATGGAGGGTTGTCACTGGCTCTACTGAACCCTTGTTTTCTAAATGGATTCATCGAACTTAAATCCACGCCGGTGCTGAGCTTGCGTATGGGATACAGGTTGAAGGGTGAGTATCGAGCCTCTTTTTTGGTTTTTGATTACTTTTAGGGTTTTGAATTTTGCTAAAAAGTTGTTTTCCTAATGGATTCATCAGTCCCACAAATCCCTCCGCCGGAACTCTCATCCTCCGACCACACTCGGATATGAGTGATCCCGGGAAGCTGAATACCTCGAGCTCCGAATTGGACCTGGATCGGCCCAACATTGAAGATTACCTTCCTTCTGGAACATCCATTCATGAACCCCACGGCCAGCTTCGACTGTATTGCTATCTTCTTCTTCTTCTACTACTCCTCCTCCCATTCAAATTTCTTCGAATTTGGTTTCCTCTGCCAATTGGGTCTCTTATTGTTAGTTCCTCCACTTGTCTTGGTTGAATTAGGCGCGATTTGCTTGACATCTCCCCAACGTTAACTGAGGCTGCCGGGGCGATTATTGATGTGAGTTGCTGCTTTCTCTTGGCTCGCTTTTCTCTTCTATGTTTCAATTGAAATGGGGAGGTTTCACATCTTACTTGCCAGTTAGCTGATTGGCAAAGGTTAAAAAAAGATTGGAACTTTACATGCAGTAATTGAACTATTTGGGCGTAGAAGATGAAAAGGATTAGTGGGTAGGAAAGGACTATAAGTGAACATGATGGAAAGTTCTCTGCTTTGATTTGTGAGTTGATTAAGGTTTGAGTTGGATTGTTATGGTGCATCAGGATTCGTTTACAAGGTGTTTCAAGTCGAATCCGCCGGAACCTTGGAACTGGAATGTGTACCTTTTCCCTCTATGGTGTTGCGGTGTGGTGGTTAGATACGGGATCCTGTTCCCTGTCAGGTTGGCTATCTATGTTTTCCCACTTGATTTCATTCGAATTGAGCTTCCTAAGTCCGACTGATTGTTGGTTTTGGCCATCTATTAACTTATGATGGCTTACCAAATTGTTGAACTTGGTACTGTGTGTTGGACTTCTGAAGCATATGTTGAATTCATTCTGCAGGGTTATCGTGCTAGCAATTGGGTGGATAATCTTTCTCTCGGCCTATATTCCTGTTCATGTTCTACTCAAAGGACACGACAAGTTGAGGAAGAAGATCGATTGACTTCTGAACGACGAAGAAGAAGCAAGGTGAAGAAGAAGAAAAGGAAGATCGAGACATGGGTGAAGCAGAACATGGAGGAGATGACAGAAGAATCCGGCGAAATAGAGCACAAACCGGAACTCACAGATTATCCATCAAGATAAAGTCGGTTCCTTTCTTCTAGATTTCTTCTGGGTTTTTGTTCAATATCGTTCTTGGAGTTCATTCTGCTTTCTTTTTCTGTTTTTGCTTCTGATTATTGTTTTTAGTGATAAAGTCGGTTCCTTTCTTCTAGGTTTTTCTGGGTTTGTGTTCAATATCGTTCTTGAAGTTCATCCTCCTTTCTGTTTTTGCTTCTGATTCTTGTTTTTAGTGTTGTTTGCGGAGATGGACGAAGAAGAAAATGACAGAAGAAAATGGCGTCGACGGGATCGATGATGCTGCCTGGTGCGGATGGAGGGTTGTCACTGGCTCTACTGAACCCTTGTTTTCTAAATGGATTCATCGAACTTAAATCCACGCCGGTGCTGAGCTTGCGTATGGGATACAGGTTGAAGGGTGAGTATCGAGCCTCTTTTTTGGTTTTTGATTACTTTTAGGGTTTTGAATTTTGCTAAAAAGTTGTTTTCCTAATGGATTCATCAACCTTAAAAGCACGTAGGAAATGAGCTTGCTAAGTTGTCGATTGACTTCTGATGAAGGAAGAGTTGTAGTTGGGGTCTGCGCCTTCAACGGGAACAACCGCAACAAGAACAAAAAATACAGCAAAATAAAAGAACAGAAAGAGGAGGCGGGTGGCAAGACAGTGTCTTCTTCAATCACAGTAGGTGCTTCTGTCTCTATTTGTTATTTGTACATTCTTCGCATCGGAGCATAGCTTCACATCTTTCTGACTCATTCCTTTCTGAATCTTCCAAAATCGAATGCACCCAATGATCTTGGTGCTTCTTCCCCATCAAATATGTGGTCGTTGGCGCTCGGGGGTTGTCGTGATGCTGCCTGGAGGAGGGAAGAGGTGGAGTTGCCATGTGGCGGCGGCAAAGGTGGTCGTGGAAGAGGGACCGACGGAGCAGGCATAAGTGGATGTGCCCATGTCAATTAGCTCTTGCCCTCTTCCTATCCACTCAATTTCTCACTGCTGTACGGAAAAACAAGAGAAATGAAACAAAAAAACAAAACTTATCATCAGTCTCTTTGTCTCAAAGAAGGAGGAGAAGGGAGAAAGATGATCCAGCTTAGAAGGGAAGGTTTAAGAGAGGAGGAGATCTCTTTGGTCGATTTTACTCATCCCAGGGGCAAGGTTGATCTCTATTGATCTTTTAAATCTCTCTCCCGGGTTGGATCAATGGGAGATCTCGAGAAAGCTTCCTGCCATGAGAATCGCAATAGAGGAAAGCTTTTGAGATTGGACGGGGATGAACCTTACAAGAAAAGGGAGAAGATCAGTCTTTAAGGAATCTGCGAAACCAGGTACATGGTTTTAAATTTGCCCATTTTTAGTTTTTTTATTTATTTCCAGCTTCTGTAAGCAATATGGATGTCTCAATTGGCCTATTTAGAGTTAGCCAAACCTTGCCGGAACAACGATAGTGTTTATTGATACGTTTAGGGTCGTTCTTAGTATTATTTTCCTTATTCTTCCTGCTGCTCTTCTTTTGCCTTTTCTAATATCTGTTCTACTTGAATTATGAAGGAGATTAAGTTTTACGGGCAACATTAGTTGAGCCATTGAGCCTTGAGTAGGACTGAGATGGCAGTGGTAAAGGGAAGGTATTACCTTTGGTGTTTTTTGGTCCGCAGAAAAAATGGATTGGAGTCCACATCTTACTGGCCTATATGTTCAAATATTGGTTTTAAGGTTGTATTTTGTTCCTTTGTACTAGCTGCATCATGTGGTTTGCAGATTTATCTTTCATATTTCACGAATGGTGTTTTCTTTGTTCTTTCCCGTTTCATTGTCCTAATTTCGCTGATATAATTGTTCTTTATATCTTACTACTGTTTCACTACTTCCTACCTATCATTGTGTGGCCTTTTTCGTTACTGCCCTTTCGTAGCTATCAGATCATCCACTTTGTTCAGGCTACATCTTACGACTTCGAGTAAGGTCCAGCTGTACAGGACTCTGCAGTATGTTACCATTGGTTTTTAGCCTTTCAGATTCTGTTAAAGCCTGTTATATAAAGTTCTGCAGCGTCTGATATGATGGTAGCATGGGTTTCTAGCCTTTTAGATTGTAGTGGAATGGAGATACTTAACTTTTTTCATTGCATTTCTCCAGGAACTATGCTTTCATCAATCTGCAGTAAATTGTAGTGGGATGGAGGTACTTTAACTTCCAATCTTGCTGCTCTTGCTTCATTTTTTTTTGCCCGCAAGAAAGAGGCAGTTGCTGTACTGGTCATAATATAATTCATTGCCAACAACACCAACATGATCGTTCTCAAAGCCTTGAGGAACTCCAAAGGTTTGAATCGTTCCCTTTAATCTGCCATTTAAGCCCATGATTGACTTATGCGCAGTGTTAAATCTTCAGTAACGAGACATTTTTCAAGCCTGTTTCTATCGGTTAAGAGCTACAGTTTCCAGTTGCTAAATGTTTGTCACATAATGGATATTTGCATTGTAGTTTACTCTGCTGTGTTTGCTGCATAATGAGATCCTTCTCTTGCCGCTAGAGGAAACATAGCCTTCTGCTATCGGTGGGACAACTATCAACAGTGTGCAAGGTGAGTTTTTAATGTGGATTTGTTCCTTTTCTGTTTTTTGTATGTTTCGATTTTTTACTCATCGGTTACTAAACTAATCAGCCTTTTCTCTTTGGCTTTTTTAGTTATGACAAGAGAAGGATAAGGGGGGAGCTGTCGTCAATGTAGATTTCCAAAGGCATCAGAAGCAATTAGGTAATCTTCTTCTTTTTGGGGTTCGGTTCTGTTTATATTCTGGAATTGACCTTTCTTTGATATGATTCTTATATGTTTTTTTTTATTGCTTTCACCCAGACCCAGGGCAAGAGAAAGAAGTCGTCATTGCTGATGGGGGAAGTGAACCCATTCCATACTGCAGCTCAACAACAGACTCGAAGAGGGAATATGTCGTGATCAACAGAGTGAAGGAAGGTTGACTAGGGGATCGACAGGTACATGTAATTCATTCTTCTACCCTCTGTAGTTTCCAATTTGTGGGCAATTAGGTCTATGCTCAGTTTTATGAGTAGCTCTTGAGTGAAAATAGTTTGGTACTATTGTTCCTAAATACTCCTACCATAAAAGATATGTTCCCAATCGACACTCTCGAATCCAATCATAATGAAGAGTTTCAGTGGACATCATTTTTATTTAGAATGATGATCCACTTGATCATTACAAATTTGTTCTGCATTTTATTTGTGTGCTTGCATATTGGAGTGTTGCACAAAAGATTAGAGGTAACCCCTGTAGGCATCGATAATAATCTGAAAAATGAATTTGAAACTTTTGTTCTTTTGTTGATTTTCAGATTCAAGTGTTTGTAAGATGCATCCTAAACAACGTGGTTACGAGAACCTGCAATTGTGGAACAATAGTTAGGAAAATTGTTTTTTGTTTATTATATGTCTGATGCTGAATCGTTATTGTTGAGGATCTGCACTTTTTTGGAATCTGCTTCGATCTCCATCGCTATAGCCTTTATGCATTTGCATTGAATACATTTAGAACTAATGATGCAAAATTGCGCTTATGGACAGTAAATGTGTTTTCATTTCCACATTCCTCGGAGGTCTAGATGACTCTATGTATTTGATTGATGTCTTAATGTATGAAGTTTGTAATTTATCACTTAAACAAATGTTCTTCGTTTAGAGAAGATGGAATTTTACGTACATATTTGATGTTTGGTTTCAGGTGATTGTTCTTGCTCTGCGCCTGTGAGTTCAATTTTATTTATTTGCATATCCTTAGAGAGTATTTTTCAGGCCCGTTCTTTCTCTTTTATGGACTTACAGAAACTATCATAATTTGTTAACTCAATTCATTTACCCCAGCTTTCATAAATATACCGTCGTCCTGATACCTCTTTCTTTTAAGTAGTAGAATCAACATTTGGTCATAGCTCGATACCATCCAACAGATTAAAGCTTAAGAAAAGCTTGTGAGTCATATAGTTTAGTGTCATAGGTACAGTTCTACCTCGCATCATGCTTGCTCTATTGACAAATGTGTTGGAAATGACTTGGATAGAAATGTTCGAAACTCTGAACCTTGGTATATCAACATTGATATATTTTAATGTGTGCCCTTTATGACATTCCTTATTACCCTCGCTGGCTCATTTTTTTTTTTTTTTGTCTTATAACATCATAATCGTAGTGGTTTTACATCCAGATGTTTCACAGATCGGTCATTCTATACACTGGTTTACGTGAGACTTGGATTGATTTTAGAGTTGTAAAGTTAACACATACAATCTATTTGGTGGGTTTGGATTCTATAGCCTCTATTTTCTGAATTTTGCTCAATTAATTGGATACTTGCATATCCTTTTTGCTTTGTTAAGGAGATGGGGAAGCATCAATGTAGGCATCATCTCTTTTGTTCCGTGTGTGACTCTTTCGACCAGTACCTACTCTTTGTTGATTCCATCACTCATGAAATATCCCTTTCCTTTCAGGAGGGAAGAGCAATTGTCGAACAATGAAGGAAAATGAGATTATGTTTTCCCCATCTGTCACTGGAGTAACCACTATTTCAAGAGGGAAGCACAATTTTTGATTCAATCATAAGGGCCAGAGCCAATGCCGGTCTTCTCTGCTCCTTCTCTATGCCACCCATACATTATTCGCCTCTTGCAGGTCAACACTTCCACTCCTTATTGTCTCACATATTCTATGTTGGAATTTACAAATTTTGCTTGCTTAACTTGGGTTGAGTACTAATTCTCTATCGTTGGTTTCAGTTTCGAGCATATGGATATTTTCTGTGAGACCGGGTCTGAGGAATGCAACTAAAATTTCGAATCAAAGATATTAGATCAGTGG